CAAAAGTCACTCCTCGTAGGAGTACCATATCTTCAGGACAGCTTTGAGAATGTGTGATACTACTGTACTCGTTATCCCTACTCGTACTAGCTAGTAGTTTGAGAGATCATATGTGTGTTTTGAGAGATGAAGCGAATTTCAAGAGAATGGCATGTGATTTCTTTACTGGCATCTTTATATTGGGTTTACGTTTGCTCTTGCAGCCTAGCTGAAAACGTTCTGGACGAAGATGGAGCCAGTCGCTTTGATGCCCAAGTGAGGCCACGTGACAGGCTCTTCTCTGTCAAGCGAGCTACCAACAATGTACCGAATGCACGAAGTTGGGGTGCAAACTCTCGTGCCACAGGGACGAGTTTCCTCAGACGATCCGTGTCAACGCTGCGACGACCGGATTCCGGCTCAATCGCCCCTTCAAAGTCTCCGAGCAAGAACTGAACAAGCTTTCCAATCTGATTTACCATCTGTTTTAAAATGACGGAATGAGTGGTGCCTGTGAGGATACGGATTCCCGAACGATACTGCGATGCAACCAGGAAGGAGACTTACACGGCGGTCATCATCACTTAGCTTGGGATTCAATGCTTTGAACAGCGATGGAACTGGAACGCCTCCAAGGCCGATTCGCGACACAAGCTCCTGAAAAAGGGAGTAATCCTTTGTGAGGAACGTGTCATGGGGAACGCATGGCGCCGCAGCGACCACTTACCCGAAGCGCTTGTCGGCTGGATGCATCCACCACAGTCACAATCTCTTCCAGCATGAACTCTCTAAAGACTTCTCCTTCCGGACCGAAAAAGAAGAGTAGTGCTTCTCGAGTGGAATTCTCGTCATCGTCATTCTTGCCATTGTTTCCACCACCACCCGTGAGCACCGGGAGCCCGTCTGTTACAGTTGACACTCGGAAGCGGCCACCGTCGATATCCGTGTCGCGTTCGGATGTATCAACTATCTGTGATCCCCTGAAGTCACCGGCTTTGCCAACCACGCGGTTGCCTCTCACGCCGTTCACCTTGAATGAAGTTCCATCTCCATCGTCACGCACAGCACTGAACTTCTCCAAGGCTTGAAGAAGATCAATCAACTTCTCAGCGTCAAATTCTCCTTCGCGGCCGTACACCATATACCGGAGTGCAGCTCGAAGTCGGGGTGACTTATCTGTAAGTAGTCGCCGAGCAATGTAGGGGAAGGCTTCGTCAACAATCGCAAAGTCAGGTTGTCCAACCAATGCAATACCCTCTAGCACAGAGATGGCTCGAATGACGAGGGCAAAGTACGGTGGGATTCGAAAGGGGAACTCAAATGTGATCTCAGCCAGGTCCGCCGCAAGTTCCTGAAAGTTGATACTCTTGGCACCACCTCCAGCCAAGGCAACGTCAAACACTTTGGTCAAGGCAGGAACGATGGGCGTAGTATCTGTATCCGGTGGGATAAAGTCCAAGTTTTTGAAATCTTGACCGATTTCAGTGTAGTCACGGTTGATCAAATGTGCAATGGCTTCGATCATGCCATACTTTTGATCGTCAGTGATCTCCGTCATCAATCCGAAATCCAAGATACACAGCTTTCCATCGTCCGTTCGAAGCATGTTACCTGCTCATGTAATGGGATGAACATTTTTGTCAGTGAAACGAAATGTCCCAATTAGCCAACTTAGCAATGAGGTTTCTACGACGTACCGGGATGGGGATCTTTAGCAGTAAAGGACGACGAATCAACAAATTGATACAGAAAGGTGAGCTGACCATCCTATGAATCTTCGATCACACTGGTTGAACAGAGAAAACTTACCGGCATGGAAAAAGCCTTCAAATGGATTGCAATAGCAACGAAGCATCACATGAAGATAGTTAGAACTTGCAAGCACAAGCACGCCGCACACATTCATAACCCGTCATTCCTTCCTTACCTGACTCCAAGAGTTGACTGAGGTAGGTGATTACACCCAAGTTTACCAACGCTCCCACATCATCGGCCTTGCTCTGACTGAGTTTTTCACCGTCTACCCACTCCGCAACATGCACTCGTCGTGCAGTGTATTCGGGGTAGTTCTCTGGGATCTTGACCATGGGCAAGACGTTCATGTACTCCTTGATTCTAATTCCATTTTCACATTCGAGGTTGTAGTCTAACTCTTGGTAGAAGCGATAGGCAAATTCGTCCAAGAGAGCGACCACGTCGATCCTGCTTGACAAGTCAGGAAAGTTTCTCGCGAGTAGCCCAATTTCCCTGGCCAAGTAGAGATCCAACGATACAGTTTCCAGGACGTTAGGTCTTTGCACCTTGACGGCAACCGTCTCGCCTGTGGCCCTGAGTTTGGCCTTGTAGACCTGTCCCAATGACGCGGCAGCCACGGGTTCAGGGGTGATCTCACTGAAGATTTCTTCCACTGGTTTTCCAAGTTCTCGCTCAATAGTGGCAAATGCTACCTTGGAATCGTAGGAAGGTACCTTGTCACAGAGTTTCTGCAACTCCACCATGCTTCTGGGAGACAGAATGTCAGGTCTAATAGAGAGAGCTTGTCCAATCTTTGTATATGCGTGGATTGTCATGTGAATTTGTTCGGGGAGTCAAGCCAACAGATGATAGCAATTCAAACAGGAGTCAGATGACAGTATCGCAGGACCTACCGGTATCGAAATGCCCCTTCACTACTAACCTTGATATAAAATGGTCCCAACGAAGTGATCTTGTCGCGCAGTTCCGCTGCTCTCTTAATCTCCAAATCTGGGTTCCCCTCTAATCTGTTGAAAAGATTGTCGAGTATAGTTTTGAATGCGAATCCTCCCAACACGGTGGATAGTTGAAAGAACCTCGTCACCACAGCTCCCGGTCTCTTCCCAAAGAAGTCTTGCAAAAATATCGGATCGTATTCGTAGGGCAATCGATCATCTTCCTTCCCCCCAATGTCCACGAGCCGCATTTCCAATCCAGCCACGGCAGAATCATCGTCGTTGAGATTTTGTCCACGCAATGCCTGCATGACCAAATTGGCTTCTTCATTACGGGACAACTCTTCTCGCATATCTCGTAGCATGTCACTGGCTTCGCGGGAAGATGATGAAAATATCGCCGTCTGCTGCCTCTTTGTTGCGGCCATCGGAGCCACAAAGGCACCGGTTGGCTCCTGCAACAGGAGGAATCCCAGAGCCTGCAAATGAAATCTCATTGTAGTTTTTCTGTGTGGCGTTTGCAATCAAAAACTTTTCTTTTTCGAAGGTATCTATGACTTGGTTTGGTTACCCAAAGTACTGTAATGATACTGGACTGTTCCAACGAGCCAACGTAAATGAACCACCACCTCGCACCTACAGTATGGCTATCTGGCAAAGGCTTCTGAGGCAGTAGGAAATTGTGAGTCAGTATCTTGCCATTGCCAGCATTGTCCTCGTGTCTTCTTTTCAGGTGCTTCTGCGTCGTGGCGTTTCGTACCGGTATTGCCTCTTGTTTTCTTCCTGACGACAACAGGATCGGATGACGCCAACAGGATGACGTGGGCATCACAGCTCTGTTGGCTCACTTTTCTACTTGGCTTGGTTTGGCTAAGTCAGCGGGAGCTGCGATACTCGGCAGAAAGACAAATAGAAGAAAGAGGATCGTGTTTGAGAATGCACCTCTTCAATAGCCTTCCCTCATTATACCTCTTTTTATGGCTAGCCCGGCGACAACACCCGACTTCGTCGTGTGTTGCCGCCCACTATCATTCCTCATTGTAACCTTCTGTTTTATATTAAGCTAGCATTGGCGTAGCCACGGGCTAACCCATAATTACAGCTATCATTCGATTGTGTAACTCTAAATTTACAACACTGCTGGCTTATTGTGTTTTTGTCCTGAGTGCACTAACCTTAAATTACATTGATATATTCCTACCCCTAACTTTTATTGAACCTTCAATTTCCAGTTTTGCCAGCTTACATTATCTCTATCCTTATCCTGGCTTCACCGGAATAGGGGATCCCACAGACACAAAACAAGGGGATCCCACAGACAAAAACCAGGGGGATCCCACAGACAGAATATTTGCCAATCAAGTCAGCGGGAGCTGCGATACCTCGGCAGAAAGACAAATAGAAGAAAGAGGATCATGTTTGAGATTTTGTCCTTCTTTCAAGGTAGCCCTGGCGACAACACCCGACTTCGTCGTGTGTTGCCGCCCGGTATCATTCCCTCATTGTAACCTTCTGTTTTATATTAAGCTAGCATTGGTGTAGCCACGGGCTAACCCATAATTTACAGCTATCATTCGATCGTGTAACTCTAAATTTACAACACCTGCTGGCTTATTGTGTTTTGTCCTGAGTGCACTAACCTTAAATTACATTGATATATTCCTACCCCTAACTTTTATTGAACCTTCAATTTCCAGTTTTGCCAGCTTACATTATCTCTATCCTTATACCCTGGCTTCACCGGAATAGGGGATCCCACAGACACAAAACGAGGGGATCCCACAGACAGAATATTTGCCATTAAAGGGGTAGCGGACTCAGGCAGTTAACCTGCCGAGGTAAAGGGGTAGAGGACTCAGGCAGTTAACCTGCCGAGGTAAAAGTTAGACTGCAGTGGTTACTAGTCTACTTGCGGATGTGGGATTGTTGGATTGCCCTGAAAAAGAAGCACCAGCATACATGTAATGCTTGGAAATACGGAAGATCAAGAAATGGATTGAAAGGGCCCGAAATGGCGATTTACACCAAATTCCGATTTATACTTGTGTTTCGATTTTATATTTTGGTTTCGGTTTTATACTTAGGTTTCGATTTTATATTTAGGTTTAGGCTTGATTTCACTAGTTATTTACCATAGTAATTTGGTTTCGGTGTTATATTTTGGTTTCGGTTCTATATTTTGGTTTCGGTTTTATATTTCGGTTTGGAATTGATCAATTTAATTGGATTCTTAAAATCCTGATTTCGGGCCCTTTCATTCCAAATTCTGATCAAGTGAACAAGTGCCAAAATTCAACTAGACTACAAGAGCTGGCGGGAAAAAGAGGTGAGCGCACAAGTCATGATTGCCAAAAAGGTTCCCATCTGCGCCAGCAAAACTGAAAAACTTGAACTAGAAAGATTCATACGGTAGATCGGCTGACAAGAACTGTGTGCTATCAGCATAGCAGAAGGCTTCTGGTTTCCCCTATTGCAATAGATCCACTCTCTATACCGTAGTCGTATTGCTTTCCAATATTTTCACCATTCCTTCCATTCTTGGATGCATCTCATATGCCATTCATTTGACATTGCCGTCCACGTGAGCTTTTCCTATTTCCTACATGCAGTTGGAGGAGGTGAGCGCATTAGTTTTATTTATAATCGTATCTTCAGTTCTAGGTTAGTTTTCTATGTCTACTTTCTGCCAAATTGTCGCATCGTTCGTGTTTGCTGAAACTCAGGTCTCTCATTTAGCAGCTCCGTGACCAGGGCACTGGAAGGTTCTTCCTTGCACGATCCTAGTCGAATGGTACGCTCCACAGCGGCACCACCAACATAGTTATCGTCATCTTCCAAGTACGCAAAAAGTTGCCAATCATAAGGGTACGCTTTCACCGCAACACACTCTTCTCCACGACAACTGAATCTCAAGAGGGAGTAGGACTCGTTGTAGCCCTTGTCAAAAATGATTTCTTTCGCCATTTTCTTGGCTCCGGGGGCCAAGATATTGATTCCCCAGGAGTCCAGGTTTCTCCAGAATGGATTGACGAGTAGAAAAAGTCGTTTCCCCATGGCTTGATCAATGCTGTCGATATCCTTGATGTATTTGGTATCGGTATTGGGTAGGACCAAAGCTTGGACATCTCCATTGGCTCCAGCCTGGGCTTCAGCTGTAATGAGCGCAGATCCATCAAAATCCCAAATATCTTGTTCTTTGACAGTTGGGGGCAATCGTTGTTGTCTGCTGGCTTCTTCTGTGGCTTTGGTAGGAGCATGCACTTGTTTCAGGAGTGCCTGGGTGAGTGGTTTCGCGCTTTCGCGAGACATTTCTTGGGCACCCCCTGGCCATTCATTCACCTCGTTGACATATTGATCTGGTCGAATCAGGGCAAAACGAACTGTTTGTCGTGTCTGTCCATCTTGAAAGGCCCGTTCTACTGATTGCGACGCTTGTCTCACCATGTCATCCATAGTACTCGGGACTTGCAAAAACCGGCCATCATCCCTGGAAGCAGCAGCTTCTTTTCTATTTTGCTTTCGCTGTTCTTCTTGTTGCTCTCTTCGCAACCGTATGTTTTCCTTCTTTTGTTTGGCTTCGTCTTCGACCTCTTGCAATGTCTTGCCCTCCATGGCCGCAATTTCAGCTCGAAGCTGAGCTGCTTTCTCCCGAAGCTTGGTCGCCTCGTCGACATCGGTTTCGGTGCTAAAGAGTCTGGAATTGCCAGTGGTAGCACTAAAAGGCATCATTGACGGAGTAGTAAAAGCCGCACATCGCCATGGAAATGCCACCATGGCAACCAAGAAAAGGCTGTAGTTGAGAGTCTTGGTCAAAGTCATCATTGTTAATCTTTCTCTTCTTGTATGTAGTCTTTGTGAGATTGTGTCAAGAAACGAGTTTTGCGATTCCGACGATCTTCGAACTGAGTCTGATTTATTGTGTCAGAATGCCAACAATGCGGATGATTTCCAATCAATCCCATCAGCCACAACACAATTGAGGCATCCATCCAGTCTGGCGGGCTATGAGAAGCAGCATCGATGACACAGAACATTTTGATCTTCCGATTGGCTTGTTCCGATGCTGACTCAATGCCACCAATGCTGAAATCAAGACGCGTTAGTTGCCGCAGTCACACCGGTATCGGTACCGTACAATACAGCCCTGCTGGCTAGTAGCCACAAAAAAGCACTTCGCTTCGCCTTACGGCGAGAAATGAACGTTCCGGGCCTACATACACTTTGTAGTAGTCTCCAGCGAAACTGCCGATATGCACAAGCTAGCACTCGCGCAACAAATTGTATATCCACAAAGTTCATTAGCTAGCTAGATACTCTTGCAACTAACTATCATGTGTTCATCCACATCTGTCTATCAGTTAGTTATCATTCTACTTGTGTGTCTTTTCCGTCTTCATGGCATCCTGGACAAAATCAAACATCTTATCTTCCTTCTTGGCTGCTGGATTGTCCAAGAAAGAGAACCCAGAACTTGTCCTTCCTGCATGAGGTCCCATCACTCCAGGGCCTACACCCGGCATCATTGACATGGGAGCTCCACCCACTCGAGGCATGCCGCCACCACCACCCTGCATTGCCATGGCCATTTGCATCTGCTGCATTTGCATCGCTTGCTGTTGCATGAGCATCTGTTGGTAAGCCATGGCCTGCATCTGCTCCGGTGACAGCTGCATCATTTGTCGTTGTGTATTGGGTGAAAAGGCACTCAAAGGATCAAAGGATTCCACAGTGTTTGGCTGAGCTGCCGGGGCAGCCGCAACGGCAGGTGCTTGCGAAGAATCAGAATTGATGAATCCAAATGCAGACCCAGAGGCTGCCACAGCAGCAAGGTCATCTGTATCTTCTGATCCCTTCTTTTTCTCTTCCTCAACATCGTTTGCTTTGACTGATAAGGAACCAAACATGTCAATGACCTCAGGAGCCTTTGCAGGGGCTGCTGGTGCTGGAGCTGGCGGGTTGTTCACAGTCAATCCATCCAGTAAGAATCCACTGGTCGGTGCTGGCGGTGGAGCCACAGGTGCAGCAGCGGGGGCACTCTTCAGCTCCATTCCACCAAACATATTTCCACCGCCTGTTGCTGCTGCTGGCTGACTGGGAGGCGGTGGAGGAGCCGATGGTGGGGGAGCTGGTACCGCTGCAGCAGGGGTGTCATCAAAGTCCAACAAATTGACCGGTGCAGCAGGTGCCGGAGGAACCGGTGGTGCTGCCGCCGGGGGTGGCGCAGCAGCAGCAGGTTCCGACAATTCCACACCCAACAATGCCAGGACCCTCCGAGCGGGGTCTTTGACAGCTGCCCTGGCGTGATTTGCTAGTGGTTCGACTTCTCCCCGACAGGTGTAAAAGAAGTTGGCGTATGGGTTGGTATTGTCAGGTCTTGCGCCTGCCTGGATGCAGGTTTCCATCACACAAAGAGCTTTGGCACGCATGATCCATGGATGCCCATCTTCCAAGCAATCCAGCAAGACGGGGCAGATCAAGTCAGGGTTTAGGTTGGGAATTGCTTTGGCAAAGTTGAGCAGCTTGTCAGGAGGTGGCACCGGTTTCATTCCACCAGGGGGGCACAACTCAATGACCAAGTTCTTTTCATAGGACCCATCACTGACAGCCGTCCCACCAGAGCCACGGTTGATTGGAGCACTTGGAGCCGAGTTGATCGTAATCGAGGGCGTAGTAGAATGCTGATCAGCGTAGGAAGGTCGAGAAGCCTGTGATGGAGCTGGTGATGCCCAAGAACCACCGACTCCCCCTTGAGAGCCGTGAGCGTCTTTGTTGGCCCAAGAAAAAGCATTGTTTCCTTGCTCCCGTGACTTGTAGTATGCGTCGTTGGAATTGCTGGAACCCCCGCCTCCTACTGCATTGGGTCCTCTGTTGGAAGCCATGGTCCATTGTCCACCGGTGGCATGAGCCAGTTCACTTCGACCAGGAGGAGGGCGTCCGTACTGCCAATATCAATATCATTGAATTTTGAACGTCGTAGAAAGGTTCCAATAATATGATTGTGGTCGTCGATTCAATTCGGTTCGATTGTCAGAAGCAAGAGCAGTATTGGAAATCGTATCAGCCAGAATTTTACGTCAATCACAAATAAATAAATTTGCTCGCAACACATACGACAATACAATACAATGCAATACTATACACCCAAGCCTGGAAGAAAATCAAACAAAACAATAATAAATAAAAATAGAGACGTACCGTTCCAGCATTGTGCGATCCAAAACCCTGCATTCCACCAGGACGAGGCATTTCTCCGTGCGAATTGGAGGTTCGAACATCGGCATTGCGAGCCAGTGGATCCTTGATCATGCCTACAAAGGATTCTCCAATATCCTTAATGACAGATTCTACCGAGTTGGACTGTGGTTCTAGGCGTGGATCGGAAAACATGGGATTTCCGATTCCTTCCATGCGGCGACCTGGAGGAGGCATTCCGCCGGCTCCAGCTCCAGCACCGCCTCCACTGTATGCATTTTGTTGATGAGGAGGAGCCCCGTAAGTGTTGGACATGCCTCCTCCTCCCGAATTGTAGGGACTCTGATCGGCTTGTGTGGGCGTCTCTGAATAAATCATGTCGAGACACTCCTTTGCCGCGAGACGAACACGGTTGTAGGGTTCATCTCCTCGCACTGGATCGGGAGGACCTCTAAAATTGGTGGCTAGACGAATGGCAGCCACAGCAGATTGGTCTTGTGCCACAGCACGCTTGAATTGTCCTCTACTGACGGCCTCTGCCGTCTTGGCAATGACTTTGAGACACTTCCATTTGATGTTGGCATTTTGTTTGTTGGCCAGCTTTCGCGTCAAAAAGGTGGCAATTTCCTGACAAGCCATGGGCGATGAGGCTGCATTCTTGGCTATATCAATGTACAGATATCCTGGAGTAGGGGCATCCGAACCATCCGTGGCTCGGTTCAACAGTTGGCGGTCCATGATATCGATAATTCAATTCGCTTGGTTTCTTTCACCAATGGATCGACCAACGAGCTCAGCTCTTTCACAACAATACTAGCTAGCTAGTCTAACAACGGGCGGCGCCTCTGTTCCTTGCTCAGAGAATGGCAGCGACGTTCACAAACCAGCCAACAAGTATCAAAGCATAAATATAATCTCCACAAGACTTGGATTGCTGTCGGGTGAGTTGATTGCCGATCTTTTGCCGGCTCTTACAATTTCGCGAGCATCGCTCAATTTTAGTCAAGCCGCACATTTGACCCATTTGATTTTGGCGCCTTTCGGAAGCATTTTTTCCAACATTTTTCTGAGCATTGGCTTTGGCATCAACCGTCGTTCATCACAATCTCTGTTCAATAACCTGTCTACCCACTACTACTGTGCTACTAGCTAGTACTACAAAGTGTTGTTGTCTACACCATGTCCTCTGCCAGCCGCCGCCAGAAGAAAAGCGCTGCTTTGGCCAGTCTCCGCCAGCGTCGGCAACAGGGATTTGATTTGGACGATGTAGAGATCAAGGATGAAGAAGATATCTATGAAGTGGTTGATGAAGAGGAATACGGAAAGTTGGTCAATGCCCGCCGTCAACGAGAAGATTTCATTGTCGACGATGACGGATTGGGGTACTATGATGATGGAGAAGAACATTTGGGAGGAGAGCCAGATGAGGGCGGTAATACTAATCGCAAGAGAGCCAATAACGGCAATGCCACATTGACCAAGACGGCATTGAAAAAGGCCAAACGCAACAAGACGCTCTTGGATCAAGCTGGAATGGAACAAGACAAGTCCCAACCAAGCATGTGGAATTTTGTCACACAAGGAACTGCCACAGGTCCTGCTTTTGGAGGTGGATCCAACAACAACAAAAACAAAAAGTCCAGCAGCAGTCGATATGGTGGTGCTTCCGCGACTACCAATGTGGATGATCTCTTGAAGCAGCTGGATAATGCTCCTCTCTCCACCAGTCGACGCCGCAGTTCGTCTGCTCCTCGTCGTCGCAGTCGGGGACGTCAGTCGAATTCTGGAAGGAGGCGTTCAGAATCACAACCTCGTCGCAGCAGGGAAGTGGACCGTCAGAAAGCGGATGCCCATGATCATGAAGAAGATGATGATGATAATATGGGCATGATGCCCTTTGACGATGGAAACGATGATGATCACTATGACGATGACGACGTTGGAAAAGATCAGGACATGGCACCAGATGAGGAAAAACCTGACGAGGAAAAGACCAACACCGAAGGTACAAGGGTCCGCTTTGCTCCGGACGCCAATGACGGAGGTAATGATGGAGACGTTGAAATGGCTACGGATGAGACCAAAGACGGCAACAAGGATGATATCAACCGCGCAGCTGTGGATACCAACCATGACGCATCTGATGATAAGGACAAGGAGGAGGACGAAGAGGAAGCTCCTCGACCACGCAAGCGTCTGGCGCGAAGAAAACTGGGACAAGACATGTCGGCTCCCGCCAAAAAGGCAATGGAAGAAAAGGAAATTGCCAACCAAAAGAAGCAGCCGGAGCCGACACCAGAAGAGCAGTCGAAAAAGTCTGCTGTCACTATGGCTGCCATGACTGCGACATTCAAACCGGACGAAATGGCCGCTGCAGGATCCTCCAACGCCGCCACAACCGCAGCGTCCTCTGCCGAGCTGGGCGCATTCCTTCAAACCAAAGAAACAGAAAGTGGCGACGCCGAACAGTACATTGACTTTTTCTGGATTGACATTGCTGACAGGGGAAATGGAGAGATCCTCTTGTTTGGAAAGGTGGCAGTTCCCCCGGAACCAAAGAGCAAGAACAGCAAGCCACAGTTTGTCAGCTGTTGTGCTCTCATCAAGAACAACTTGCGCAATCTTTTCGTGTTGCCTCGCGTCAATGAAGAAACGGGAGAGTATGCCCCTCTTCAAAAGGTTCATCAGGAAATCAATTCCGTCTTGAAGGGGCCGATCATTCCCAAGGTGGAAGGAGCGTGGTGGAGGGGCAAACCCGTCACTCGCAAGTATGCATTTGATGACTGCTCCATTCCTAGGGATGAAACGGAGTATCTCAAGGTTGTTTACGATGCCAAATTTCCCAGTCCGTCCCAAGAAATCTGCGAAAAGGGGGGAGAGCACTTTCAGAAGATCTTGGGTGGTGGCGCGTCCGTCCTGGAGACATTCATTGTCAAACGGGAGCTTTTGGGACCCTGTTGGATTCGTATCAAGCAACCAGTCGCCACGCGAGCACCAGTTTCTTGGTGTAAGCTAGAATTGCAGGTGAACGACCCAAAGAACATTAAGCGATTGGATCTTCTTGAGCCTGGCAATCGCCCCCCACCCCCTGTTGTAGCAGTCTCGATCAAACTCAAGACGGTGGTCAACCCCAAGACGCAAAAGTCGGAAATCGTGACCGTCAGTGCCGTCTGCCACAAGGAAGTTCTGTTGGATACTGCTTCCGATGAGTCAGTTCGACACATGTCGCAAATCACCATCATTCGCCCATTGGCAAGGGGTGACCTCGGGGGAGCTGTTCCCAAGTTCCCGCGAGACTTTGAAAGAGAGGCGTCCAGAAATATGCCAGATCTCTGCCGCGAGTACAACGAACGAGCCCTCTTGTGTCGTCTCCTTGCTCAACTGGGACAGTGGGATCCTGACGTCCTTGTGGGGCACAATATCTGGGGCTTTGACGCAGAAGTCCTGCTGAATCGTTGCCGGGAACTGAAGGTGTCGCTCTGGTCCAAGCTGGGCCGTCGTCGTCGCATGCAAATGCCTTCCAAGAGTTCACACTCTGGACGCAAGGACTACGCTATTGCTGATGCCATGTCCGGACGCCTCTTGTGTGATACCTACTTGAGCGCCAAGGAACTTCTTCGGGAAACAACGTATTCACTCACAAACTTGGCTGCTACGCAACTCAAGACACAAAGGGTGGAGGTTGAACCGGTGGATATCCCTCAGTGGTATGAGTCTAGCAAGACAATCGTGCGGCTGGCACAACACACGCTTTTTGATACGCAACTCGTCCATCGCCTCATGTTCAAGTTGCAAATCTTGCCACTGACGAAGCAGCTAACCTGCATCGCCGGAAACCTATGGTCGCACACGATGAAAAGTAACCGCGCAGAGAGGACAGAGTATCTGTTGCTACATGAGTTTCATCGCCTGAAGCACTTGGTGCCCGAGAAACGACGCCCTGGAAGCAAGAAGGGCGCTGCTGGAAAAGGAAAGGCCAAGTACAGCGGAGGTTTGGTGCTTGAACCTAAGAAAGGACTGTACGATTCCTTCATCTTGCTGCTGGATTTTAACAGTTTGTACCCTTCCCTTATCCAAGAGTACAACTTGTGCTTCACAACCATCGAATGGGCCACGTTCGCCACGCCGGTAGAAGCTGCTGAAGGCGAGGAGGAAGAAGTGTCCAAGAACTTGCCTCCGCTTCCCGACGAGTCCAAGGGGCAGGGTGTCCTACCACGAGTCATTAAGAATTTGGTTGAGCGCCGACGAAACGTGAAGAAGATGCTAAAGTCAGAAAAGAACGCTGACAAGGCGAAAGAGGTAAGTATAGGAAGATGGAGTTTGTTTTTGTCAAGCCAAATATTGCACTAATCATGACTTTAACTGTCCTTCTTCAGCTTGATATTCGCCAGCAAGCGCTCAAACTCACAGCCAACTCGATGTACGGTTGTCTCGGTTTCTCTAACTCTCGCTTCTATGCCCAACCTATTGCTGCCATGGTTACAATGATGGGACGCGAAACTGTGAGTATTCAGTTGGCAGCCTTCTCCTGGTGGAACTGCTGCTTTGTCCATGACTCACGTTTTCACGTTGCCGTTGTTGTCTCGCAACGAAGCTTCAACGAACTGTGACTATCGCCCAGGACTCGGTAGGACTCGATGTCATCTACGGTGACACTGACAGTATCATGATCAACACGCGCCTTAGCAACGAAGCCGACTTGCCGAAGGTCAAAGAGCTGGGTGAACGAGTCAAGAGAGAGGTGAATCGACTCTACCGAACTCTGGAACTAGAAATAGATGGAGTCTTTCGCTCAATGCTGCTTCTCAAGAAGAAAAAGTACGCTGCCAAGACTGTTGTGGAGGGACCCGACGGCATCACGTACGGACAGGAGCTCAAAGGACTCGATCTAGTTCGGCGTGACTGGTGTATTCAGTCGAAGGATACTGGTCGTTTTTTGGCTGATCAGATCCTTTCTGGGGAAGATCCCGAAATCGTAGTGAACAACATCCACAATCACCTAGAAGAGCTTGCGAAAAAGATGCGAAACAACGAGTTGCCACTGGAAAAGTACACAATCACCAAGGGGCTTAGCAAGCACCCCAACGATTACCCAGACGGCAAATCTCAGGCTCACGTCCATGTTGCAAAGATGATGCTCAAGGACAATCGACCGGTGAACACGGGAGATCACATTCCCTACATCATTACTGCACCCATTGGGACCCCCAACAAAGACGAAAAAGTGCCCACACCAGCTGAGCGTGCCCGCCATCCCGATGAAATCCTCCGAAGTGGTGGCGTTCTAAAGCCAGACGTCGAGTACTATCTGGCCCAACAGATCCTGCCACCGGTGGCTCGTCTCTGTGAGCCTATCCAACAAACTTCGCAGCGTGTTCTCGCATCCAAGATGGGGCTTGACTCAGCCAAGTACAGTCAAAGTGCCGCTTTCGGTGACGAAGAATTCGACAACGATGATGTTGATTACACTCCAGAGTCTTGTAAGCCGGACCGCGAACGTTTCCAAAACGTGGAGAAGTTCAAGTTCCGATGCTCTGCTTGCAAAGTCGAAAGCGAGTTCCCGGGCGTCTTTCATGTTGCCAAGAATCCTGACGGTACCGTTCTGGTGGAAGGTCTCCGTTGCGTGAATCCAGAGTGCTCTTCACCCAACTTTTGGGGGTGCAACAATCACTTCCAGTGCTTTGCCCGACTCGGCAACGCCATGACGCTGTGGGTACACAACCTCCACAAGAAGTACTACGAGGGTGTGATCCGCTGTGATGAGCCAATGTGTAGCCTCGAGACTCGCCAGCTGTCTGTCCACGGCGGCATTTGCTTGAGGCGTGGATGCAACGGGCGCATGAAGTCAGTTTGCACGGAGCGTGCTGTTCATACACAGCTCAAGTACCTCGAAACGCTGTTCGACATTGAACATGCATGCGAACAGAAGAAAACATTTGGCAAAGCGAGAGACCTTCAGAAGAATCTCTCCCGAGAAGGCAAGGTCGTCTTTGAAGAGTTGCACAAGCGATCCCAGCAGTATCTGAGTGTGAGCGCCTTCAATTGGGTCTCACCTTCGTTTTGGCAGTCGATGATTGCTGGCGGGGCTCAATCCTCAGCACTTCAGTAGGCTGTGCTGAAGTCGGGCCTACTATGGTACCGGTAGCTTGAAAACGGGCCAGGGAAGATATTCGTTACTTTAGCAAAAGGAAATAACCTGACTATTTGGTGTGCATGGACAACAGTTGTTCTATTCCAGAGAACTAGATCTACTTTTTGATTTGTCTCTCGCATCAGACAGCCAGGTTGACTGTCACTTTTACACGTTCAAGTTACCAAGCACACACAAAAGTAGCAGCTACATGTAGGAAAGGCCCAGCAAATAGTGAACCCGTACCGGTACCGGTTCCCGCGGAGCAGCTTTGGTCTCTGATACTGGCTGCTGGCTGCTAGCTGCTGGCTCCAAACGGCGTTTTCGGGTAGCTTACCGTCTACAGAAACAAACAACAGGGCGGGATGGTGGAATAGATTCTCCCGTAAGAAAAGGATGTGATTTCCTATCCCCCAGCATCGCTTTTCCAAAACCTTCAACCAGGTCTAGCTAGTAGAGGTGGTGGATAAGGATGCAAGGCTTGCACATGATTGACATTCCGAAACTGACTAAAAAGTGAGCAATGTGGAACTGTCGTGACGAGCTCGTCACGCTCCTTGCCACTCTGTGACCAGTGATGAAGCAGCATTGGACCTAAAGGATGTGGCTACTTATAGTATGCCATACTCTGTACAGTACTGAGTACCTAACGGACCGGTAATAACACAAGGCTGTCGTTAGGTCTTCTCTTGCACTGATAAATTTTGTAAATAGTCTACTGCACCTTCTCAAAGCAGTCATCCTTTCGAGTATCGTCTGCTTAAGTACACTGTACAAGAGTATCGAGGTGTTCCACTCAATACCGTACGGTACTCAATGTCTTGGATGCTTTTGACAATTGCGGACCAGTGTAATGTTGTGTACTTTTGGAAGGAAGCGGGAAACCTTGCATATTTTCTGTCTTTTGAGAAACCTTTCAAGGAGCTACCGTCCGGTACCGTACGGTACGTTCGGGGTGAGGCGCTACAGGTATCTTTGCAAATACCGTAGCCATCAACGAGGTTTGCCAATTAGAGTTGTCTGTCTATTTGTCTCTGTATCTACCTGTATGGCAAGACCTTGAACAATAGCATTGGGCACTCCATACGTGTACTATGCATAGGTACTAGTACTGTAGTTACTAAGGATCCTAAGTTGTCCGAAAGAAAACCCAAGGAGCAGGTAGATATGATAGACAAAATAGGTTTTGGGTTGACTAATAAGTAGGCTGGTTCCTGATGAATGAGTCGCTAGAGCTCTGTCTTGGATGAGGCATCACAGCGCGAAAGCTTGCAACCTTTTGCTGCAAACCATCTGCTTTGTTTGCGTTGCCTCCGACATTCTACGCTGCCTGTTCTTGACAATGAGAAATTCAGCAGTAGAATTGAAGGCTTCTACCTGTATCGATCATAGCAGGGAGAGAAGATGATGATTTTGGGCTTCGAAGATCTAAAACTCAACTCAGTGATTTCCCGCATCTAAATAGCTCTTTGAAACCTCTTCCCCTTCGACGTCCGACCCTTTTCGAAATTTATTCGTCAACATCAGTCTTGTATCTTCTGCAACGCCCCTTCCCAAAACCAGCAAAACTACGTTCTACTCAGTACATGCAATCGGTGGTTATTCGCTGGTGGGGCTGGTATCACCCTTCCCGAGTTTCTCTAACCAAAACAACAGATCTCCACTAATAAACACTGCTCAGAACCAAGCGAGTGGACCGCCTGATCACCTGAGTACGGTAGTCAGTCCAGTTTTCTATTGTATCACATCACACATTATACCACCATGATGCTTCGACCGAGAGCCATTGCCGGCCCCCTGCTGGGACTTGTCGTGCTTACAGCGACGGTACTTTCGGCAGAGGAAAAGCGAGGACCAGTGCTGACCGATGACTTGGAATGTCAATTGGTGGCGCTTTTGCCATTCAGCGATGAGTAAGTCTAGTTAGTCCATCCAATTAAGTCAAGGCAATCCAAGCCAGAATAGATGGACGATCGACGTGTTGATGCTCACTTTTGCTTCTCTCTTTTCCTTCAATCAGACGTGAGGGTCCTCCCAAGGCAATCCAAGATGAGGGTGTCGAGTACTACGGCTACGGGATTTGGCCTGACAAGGAGACACTGGAGAAGGCCTCTTTTACCCTCATGTTGACTGCTGAATTGGCTGTCAAACACTTTGTGAGTTGACGAGTGACCATGGAAGTGGATGTCTCTTTTTTCAATTTTTGTGGAGCGATGAACCCCTCACAGGTATACTTCTTGTTTCTTCTTTCTTCTTCTCTACTTTTACTGATACGGTAGAATGAACGTGACGCTTCCATCGTCCCCGAGATTGCCGACATTGACTATTGCAACATCACCTTCCCTTCCATCCTCTACCGCGACAGCGGATACAGTCGTCCCATGGCAGTCGACGCACTACTCGACATTACTCGCCAAGCTGCCAGCAACAACCAAGATCCTACCAAAGCCATGTGTGCTGTGATTGGACCCACTCATCCTCGAGTCAACGAAGGAGTTTCGGCCGTCACGGAAAACCTATGGATCCCTCAAATGGCCTACTCGACAATTGACCGTCGACTGTCTCGTCGGGCTGATTTTCCAACTCTAGCTCGAACCATTACTTCTTCGCAAGACTACGGATTCGCCATTGCCAATTTCGTACAACGAGACGTCGTCGAGCGCAAGTTCTTGGCCATTATTTATGATGCATCGGACTATGGAGAACAGTATGAAGATCCATTGGAAGACGCCGAGGACTTTTTGGAGGAATACGCCACTATCACGGAGCACATTATCGAAGGAGACAGAGGATCCATCGAAGAGTCGCTAGAGACCACTGTGGAGGATGGATACCACAGCATTCTATTGGCCACCGATCGTCTGGCGGTCTTGGATGATGTCGCCGACGTTGCAGCAGACATGGGGTTGTTGGGAGACGACTATTTCTGGATGCTTTCGGGAGATATGCTGACTCCCGCCATGCTGCCACACATCCAGTATAAAGTCGATTCCCCTACTGACAAACTACTCCGTGGTGCTGCCGTCTTCACCAACTACGACCCCTTCAAATACTATGGCGAAGCCGATCCCTTTTTGAGGGCTTGGAGAAACCAACCGGACAGCATTGCCGAACATTTCAACGAACCAATGAACAATCCACTCAACAAAACCATTCTCTCAAGCATGGAAACTGCGGGGTACTTTCGAAGAGAGACGCCCACTGAGTATGCCAGCTTCCTCTATGACTCCATCGTCTTGACTGGTCTCAGTGCGTGCAAGGCTCACAGCGAAGGCGGAGAACACGTAGCCGAAGTATTCGAAACAGAGTTCCAGGGCGCATCGGGATATGTTCAGTTCTCCCAATCCCATGAAACCAGTGAGCTAGCGTTGGGACGTCTGAACGGTAGAGACATTTCGGGCGTCATTTACGGAATGTACAATCTTCGACCGACGACTGTGGATGAAAATGACATGCAAAGGTAAGCACGAGGAGCAGCCACAGGGGTGGGGGGTTGCATGACGTACGCAATGTTTGGGTGCTCACAAGACTTCATCTTTGTACATGCAGCTACGAGCTCGTCTTGACACACCTGTACACCAATGACACACAGGTGGAAGGCTCGGATATGCCAGTTCCGGGGAGCTGGGTTCCTGTGGAAGGTACCGAGTTTCTCTTTTATGATGGTACCACCAACGAACCCCAGCCACTAAAGACCACTGCAGAATGGAACTACTTGTCCCCAGGAATTCACGCTTTTGGATTGTTCCTCTGCTTCTTTGCTTTAGTCCTCGCTGTTGGCGCCGGAGTTTGGGTGTACGCCATGCGAGAGGACCGTATTGTGAAGGCCAGCCAACCCGAATTCCTCTATTTGTTGTGCCTCGGCTCGGCAATGGTGGCTTTCTCCATCTTCTTCATATCGTGGGATGAAGACAAGGGTGTGTCTGAAGACACGCTCAGTGGATTTTGCTCAGCATTCCCATGGTTTTTCGTGATTGGATACCAGGTCATGTATCTGGCCCTTTTCTTCAAGCTGTGGCGATTGAGTAAACTGCTTTCCATGAGACGACAAGCAGTACAGATCAATCAGGTGCTGATTCCATTCGGCATTGTCATTTTCCTCAGCGTTATCATTCTTATGGTTTGGCAAATCGTTGACCCCCTGGTATGGAGTCGGGAAATCACCAATGCAGACGAAGAAGGGCAATGGATTTCCTACGCTGAATGCAACAGTACGGGCGACGCTGGTGCACTACCATTCATCATCCCCCTGGCCATCATTATTTTCATCTCTGTCATTATGACTGGAGCAATATCGTGGAAGTTGAAGGATGTTCAGGCAGAACTCGCAGAGTCCAAGTGGATCTTCTTCGCAATCTTCTCGCATGTGCAAGTTTGGGCAATTGGCATCCCCGTGTTTGTCATCCTAGATGGAGTTTCGAGAGACGCATCCTACTTGATCATGGCAGCGCTTGCTTTCATCTTCTCGGTTACCCTGGTCGCTCTTGTGATTTGGCCCAAGATGTATGTCTGGACACGAAACCACTATTTTGGTGGTCCTCCCAAGCCAAGAATGTCAATCTCTGTAGGCAAGAGCCAAACTGTCGTGTCTGGGCTGGACACGGCGGGTGGCACAGGGTCGACAATGGCTTCAAACACATCTTTTGCCGGTGCCGACCGGGCTCGAGCTGAAGCCAACGCGCGACGAGTCGTAGCACTTGAGAATGAAATGGAAGAAATGAGACGCATCCATGAACAAGAGCGTTCTCACCTGAGTGACATCGTGCATAATCTCGAATCGCAACAAAATGGCTTGATCATGGATGCAGAGGTTCATGCAGCCCCGCCGGCCCCAACCTTTTTCGAGGAAGCAGCCGCAGAAAAAGATGTCTGGAACGCACCCGAAGGCGGCCGCATGGGACGTCCAAACCCCTCGTCAGACGGTCCGTCGGACTATACCCTCGACGACGAGCCTCGGTCTTAGCTTCGTTTAACTGGGAATTCTGCTCGCTCCTCTTTTGGCGCCTCTGGGGTTGTGGCTGCTTCTTTCATAAGGAATAACGAACACGAATGTAACACTATTTGGTCTTATCTTTGCAGGGCCCAATTCACAGAGACTTTAGGCTGTTCCCGAGTGGTGTGGTTTACCTACGAGTTGGTTTGCGACAAGCACTCACTACTGTACCTATACCATCATCTGGGGAGCGGTTAATATATTGACATTGTCTCAGCTTCAAACACCTCTGGCACCAAAGAGGAACCAACAGTTGTAAGCTAGCCTAGACTAAAGAATAGAAACGAATGGAGCAAAAGGTAATTCAATCAATCTTATGTTATGAAAAGAGTCATATCGCTACTACTCCCCTCTATGCTGTACGGTATTAGGAACCGCCAGTGATTGATGATGAGGCTGAGGCCTTTTAATCACGAAATAATGAGATGATGGTCCAGCCAGAAAGTAGACCCAGACTTTGCAACATGCCCATGCAGACACCCATCAAAACTAGAGGAAATGGACAGTGTTGGCATACGCCTTGTGATCAATGTTTTTTCCACAGTCCACCTGGAACAAAGAGGCAGTCATGTAAGAATTTGAAGCAATACAGAAAAAGCCAACAAACATTGCACACATACCATTGAACCTCCCAGTTCGGCAAGCTTGTGAGCATGCATGCAAACGCTGGGCACCTTGATTGGTCCTATTGTTTGAAATGAAAGAACAAACAGTTTCCATGTTAGAGCGACCAATAGGAAATGAAACTCGGCGACATTTGAAATGCACCAATCACTCACCTGGCCAATTGGGGTAGTCGTGGCACATTGCCCAAGTCAACAAGGGCATGCTGGTCCGATTCAGTTGCTTGTCTTGCTCAACAACAACGAATCGGACCGGCTTTGGAGTGCTGAAGGGGGGTGCACGGCCCTGAATGTAAAAGGTGTTGTATCGCAATCCCTGGATCCCTTCGACTAGTGTTCCTGGTGGGGCTCCAAACTTCCCATCAGGGTGGCCTTGCACTCCCCGGGTCACAAACTTGGTAGCAATTCGCTTCTGTGCTACAATGTAAGAAAGGGGAACTGGTGCAGATTGCTGCTGTCCTGCCCCCACAAGCTTCTGCCCTCCGGCCAATCCACGTCGAATTCCAGCAATCTCTTCGAAGGCAAGAGTGTCGAATGCCGAATCGCCAATTCCGTCACGCCACACCACACAACACATGGGATTCACCTTCAAAAAGCGGAGGGCATTGGAAATAGTCGAGCTCAGCGCATCTTGGAGACCATACTCCTCACCAGCAGACCGCGCAACGGTCTCCGAGTAAATCTCTACTTTGTGTCGTTTCTGGTCGCCCGGACGAACCACCTGCACGATAATGGCAGCACAGGATGCCTTGGCCACACGTTGTTTCTGGACAGGGTCGTACACACGAGGAGCATGGAACACGTCAACTCCAACAAACACTGCGGGGAGGGGGATTTCCTTGGGGAGCTGCACCCACCACAACCTGAGGCATGCCACAAAGGAGAAGTTGAGTTGACGGAAAGACACAACGTCAATCACACACTATTTCCAATACGTACCGGACGCCCGCTTTTTGCAGAATTTGCCGTGCTACGCCTTGCAGGATGATGCTGCTGCGCTTCATATCCCGGGGCTGGTCATGTTGGTACGTATTGAAATTTACAAACTGGCTCAAGTAGCCAGATTTGGTCAGCTGCAAACAACAGTCAAAGTGAAAGAGTGAGGATCCAACGCAAGTAAGATGAGTCGACATGCACCAGGCAGCCAAACGTAAAACTCACCATTTGCTTGATGACCGGATAAGCCGGATCAAGAGTACCTCGCGGCTTTGTAAAGTCCAGGACAAAGATGTTTGACTTATTACCTCCAGAAAAGTATCGCTCCACAGCACCCCAATGACGTTCTTGTTCCTCTGTTGTTCAAGGTAAGTTTTTGGAGAGAGAAGAAGCTGTCAGAATACAAAGATAATAATAATGCCAACAAAATAAAGTGGTAAGCAACAACCAAAGGAGTCTTGTCATACCTGTTTCAATCAGTGCCAATGGAGCCATGCTGAATGAGTAGCTTGTCTTGAAGTCGTTGACAAGTTTGGCAATGCGGTTGTACACATCTTGGGCTCCACTCTTTTTGAGTTTCTTGCTGAAGAAAACAACTGGTTTGAGTTGTGTCGAGCGATTCGCCTCTACATTGAACTTGGCTCGGCCAAGCACAGGAGCCCAGTTTTCGGCTAAGGGAGAGAAACAGCGAAGCGTACATGGTCAGGTGTCGGCCTGAGACAATACCGTACTAAAAAAAATCACACTGACCAATACAAAGAAAGTACGTACATTTCTCTTTTGGGATCTGAACCCCAGCGGCCATCAACATGGGCACTGGCATCACCGTAGCTTTTGCTTGAAGTCGGTTTTCACTCATCACAATACCACAGGCTGGAAGGAGGCCTCCAGCTCCTTTGGTCTTTTGAGCTCCGGGAAGCAGGTATGTCTTGATCTTCTCGATCGCCTCGTTTCGCTGATCGGGCTTGTAGCTTGCAATCATGGGGAGCATTTCCTAAAGATCAAGAAGATGAGAGCGGATTTCATTTTGAGATGGAGCGACAATAATACAAGACATGAAGAAAGTGCCAGCGCATGAGCTTACCTTCACTCGGCGATCCAACTCATTGCCGCAGATGAGCTCAGCCGGCAAAAAGATATTTTGCTTGCGCTTCCCCAACACTTCGACCATGGGCTTGGCGTTGGGATACTGCAGATTGATGTTCTTGCGGTCCTTGAAATACTGAGCATGAGAGACCGGCTTTCCACTGATCTCCAAACCTTCGACAGGAAGAGACGCAGCGCTGTGGTCAAACTTGAAGCCAACAATAGAATAGGTCTTCTTGTCAATCTTGTAAATGACCGTCTCGCCAATCCACTGACGCTTGATACGGTCCTGGTCCTTTTGAGAGAAATTGCGACCGGGTTGGCCATCACTAATGACATCGAGGACACTCTGACTGCGCAGGAGCTTCGCTCGAAGATCGACGGTGAGTGCCAAGTGAGCCTTGTTGGGTCCCTTTGGACGAACGAGTCCAAACTCCGCGCTGTAGGCTTGGTAGATGATGACGCCAAGCTTGTTCCCTTGTCGGTCTGTCGCCTCGTGGCTCTTGGTAGGATCAATGTACTCTCGTCCCCACTTGGCAAGACGTTCCGACAGAGCACGTGACAAGACCATGTTGACATAGCTCAGAAAGACTGGAGTCTCGGCTGCCTTGGCACCAGCCTCTTTTGGATCAAAGACAGGACGATGGCCAGTCTCTTGACAGTGCTGCAAAAGACCACGAATGTCAGGAAATGCCTTGGTGCAATCTTGACAGCGGTGGTCACAAACGATGCTTCCAGAAGGCACAACCTTGGGAGCTTCGAGTATCTCCTTGGGAGCAGTGAACTGCCAGACCTTCTGCACGGCAAAACTGAGAGAGGCAAAGCGTGATGTGAGCTGCATCTGTCACAGGACGGACACCGTTTCATGATAGGAGTGACACGGCATATATTGTCACATACCTGTCGCCATCGGTTTTGCTGCCATCCAAGAGCTCCTTGGGTAGATTAGCCTCCTCGAGGCCAGGAATAGGTCGAGCCGAGTAGAAGAAACTTCCGCTGAAAAACACCACGCGCTCGAGATCCGTGAGCTGTTTCTTGGGCATATCCTTCAACAAAGTCTTCCAGATGGCCTCGTTGAAGAGAGTTCCACGGCGAGACAAGCTGTCGAGGCCCTTGCCAGAGCGATCTTTGCAATCGATGGAGTACATGAAAAAGCTAAAGTTTGGCGTCACGGATGAAAGGACAATGTTGGACAACAGACTCGTGACGCCCGAGAGATCAGGAGCTCGGTCTGGCATGGTCATGATGGGAGAGGGAACATACATGGATAAGCAATTTGACAATTGGAATCGAATCGCAGCGTGACAAAGGAATCAACAACACGAAATGACTAACCTCCGCGTCCGCCACCACGGCCGCCTCCTCCTCCACGGCCGCCTCCATGGCGTCCTCCTCCTCCGCGTCCACCGTGGTAATTGTCGCCTCCACGGCCACCATGGTAATTGTCGCCTAATGAACAAACGGAACACGGAAAAAACGATCAGATAATGAAATATGGCCGACCGCGTCACAAGGAATCAAATCAAATCCATTAACTCACCTCCTCGTCCTCCTTGTCGTCCTCCATGACGGCCGCCGCCACCACCATGGTACCGACCACCGCCTTCATTGCGATATGGAAGAGAAACAGAATTTCAAGTGAGACCATGAATTCTTCTTGTTGCCAGGCAAGAAATCCATCCAATGAACCACAGAATCAGATTTGGCTCGACTTACCACCTCGATTTCCTCGATCACGTCCTGACATGGCGAAGGCTACTTGCTTGTGTGCTCTTGTTGCTTGATTGCTGCTGCTACGATGGATTGCACCGCCAACAACGAGAACTCGGCAAAAACTGGTTTACAGTTTTCCCAAACTCAAATTATGAAAGCTTCTGAGGCGAGACTGAGCTCTCTCCAAAGACAAAGATCTAGATCCCTCCACAAAGCCGACGATCTCGCTCCACGCTGAAAACGAATTCAATCAATCGAGAACCTTCTCTGAGATGGCTGGACCGATGTGGGAATGTGTATTTGTCGAGACTTGTCTCAGCGCAAAGCGAGAAGGCTTGTTAACAGCGACGATCGAGGTTTGTTCCCTGAAAATTTTCAACCCCTAGAAATACAGCGTTAGCGAAAAGCTTTAGAGAGCTATCTTCTCGTTAAATCTTCATTGCTCTTATTGTGACGTGAGTCTCGCGAGTGAGTTACACAAAGAGAGAAACGACACACACGTGTAATACCGTACCTATGGTTAAGTAGTGTCATCCAAAAAAAAATGTTGCTCTTTCTTTGTGGCAATGGCTTCCTTTGACTGTCAGGACCACACTACAGTAGGTGGATTAGATGGTTCACCAACTACAAATGCCGATTACAGCATCGCCAAGTGGTCAGTTCGGGTGATCATTTCTATTATCATTTTAGTTCTTTTTGCAAAAAGTGAGGCTCGCCTCGCGTCCGAGACATTTTTTGGCATTTCAATCCGAATTGGGATTGAAAAAGGCAAACCGTTTCTTTAAGTCACAGTCAGTCACATTTCTCAAGTAAAGTAACACGATAAATCCCCGTCAATCAACCAAGCACCATTTGACCACTGAAACACCTATTGACTCAGTAAAAACAGATGCTTTCCCTCACAAGCAATCCACCATGCAACTGGTGAGATGGTGAGAGAGTCAGTCGCTCGCGGAAGCACGATGCAATCGCAGTCGCTCACAAATTCCTCCAAGATCCGTCGTGAAAGATCCGCACGTCATGAAGGTTTCCCATCAACATGCCTTCAATCGTGGTGAAAGATCTTCACGTGAAGCCCACAAACTCAATATTAAGACAACCAACCACACTCAACAAACACACAGCCACAATCCCCATTGTTGCATGCCTTGCAACAATCACTCCTACACCTCATCTGCAAGCTAGGAATCCAAAAATGGCAACAGTTCAAAGGGAGTTAGAAATAAGAGCAGATAAAAGCAGTGCAAACAGCAACACAAAAGCTCACCTTTCCATCCTCTTCCTCTGGAATGAAATTCGCATCATCAATCTCGTCCCCATTGTCGTCAAACTGAACCTCGTCTTGATCCACCAACAAGTCAATAACATTGCCGTCCTTGTCAAGCTCAAAGCCAAAGAGATTGCCCGTCTCCAGTCGAGCCGCCACATCCTCCGCACTCTCCTCCTGGAGAACCGCATAACCACCACCAAGATGCGGAATCGCATCGTCATGCCACCACTGATACTGCATCGTCAGAATATCATCCACAACATTGCGGTAGCGAGCACCACCGCGACGTTCACGAATGTACCGTCCTTCACCATTGCCGCCTTATTCTCTTGCGCTCGAATACCTTCTGGTCGCCAAGGCCTGGACGACAGCGCCGTTAGCCAAGTGAATCGCCATCATCGAGTCTTCGAATCGATTCATATCCTGGACGATGCGTTCGCTGGGGGTGCGCCTTGGAGGATACGATGGTACGCTTCCTGCCACGCTTTGGTGTCGAGATGTGAACTTGGTTGGGTCGTCATCGTCCAAATGGCTCGTATGATGATATGACGATTCACTGAATCATTCACGTCCTTGTTGAGAGACGTATCCCAAGCGTTGGCCTCTGGACTGTTGCCTGACGGGAACTTGTCGAGACGATTGCTGGTGAGGTTCAATCCAACAGGAAGAAGCCAGTGCGCAAGGTAACCGTGTTCCTCCATCCACTCGTAGCATTCTTTGGACGTCATCTGGGACAGGGCATCGTGATAGAATACCAGCCGTGAAAGTTTGGTCGGTGCTTGTGAAAGAAGCGCTTGGATTCCTTGTACATGTGCTTGACGACCTCTGTGACACATCGTCGAATTCAGGTAGTGGATCGTTGAATGAAGTCTCGCCAATCCTCACCATAACGGGACTTGTAGGATTTGCACGCTTGCGGTAGTAGTTGTGTGTGGGACCACTTCGAAGCCTTCCGACATGCGCACGCCAACCTTTGAGAGTCTTGAGATTTCTCACAACAAACGGGATCATAAAGGTACCACCACCTTCGTCCACCATGGCGTAATCTTCCGTCATGTCCCGCAGCTCGAAGGTTTCAGCTTCTGCAAAGTCACGAACAGTGAAGATGCCGTGTTCGTTGAGCTTTTCGATCTTTGCCTTTCCACAGTAAGGAATCATTCCTTTTACGAGGTTGTCCGACATGTAGAGTTTCCCCACTTCCCGTGTCGTAGCCAACCAACCTTGCGTCTTGGCTGGACCATCCCGCATCTTCTTGATCCTGACAATCTCAATTTTGACAAGCTCGCGTATTTCTTCAAGGAGATGATGTTCCTGCCAGTGTAATCAAACGGATCCAACACCATCCCTCCTTGCGTTCGACAACACCATCAGCGTTGCGGTAAGAGACTATGGCACAACACGTCACTCGCACGCTTGACACGCCTTGCTATTGCTTCCTCGGGAGTTGCAGGAGTGACAGTGCTTCGGTCATGGCGGGCTTGTTCCTTCTTGGATCGCTTCTTGCCTCCTTTTTTGTGCCTCTTGATGCTGCTCCGGCGACCGGTCTTGGCCATGGTGAGCGTGGGAGCGACTGAGCGACGAGTGGGAGCAGCGGCGTGCCGCAGTGTGGGTGGATCGGAAGCAGCCGTGTAAGATGATCGTTGAGGAACGGAGCGAGCGTGGACCTTGTAAGATAACAGCGACGATGAGGGACCAGCGGTAGCCACCGTAGCAAGCAATAGAAGAATCCCAATCCCGATGAAACGACGGCAGATCCCCATGGCCATGGCCGATCGATCGGCGGAAGAAAGATAATGAAAATATCATGGTGGCAACCAAGCAGCGCTTTCCCTGTAAAGGTGTGTATTTCGAATTTATGAGACGCTTTCCGCGAAGAATGAAGAATGAAGATGCCTCCGACTGATTCGGATGCGATCTTCGTCAGTTGGATCCAGGAGGTTTGTCCTCTCTCACTGAATCTTGCGGCAACCAACATGGACACCAAGGGAAACCCATGGTCCCCAAATATCGATCCCATCTGGCAAAGAGGCAATACATCATTGTGGAATTTCAATCGGATGTGTTGTGAGAGGTCACTCGGAATGAGTCAACATGAACAACATGGCCACGACACTGATAAACATGGTCTGAAAAGAGATGCCCATGATCACGAAACTTGTTATGCGATTTTCTTTGGATGCAATGACTAAATAGAGAACTCGAAAGACATTCTGTGACTGGAGAGCCAGCCATCTAGTTTAAAACTAAGCTCACATTTTCAGCCTCACATTTTGCCAAATCCATTGAAAACGTGGCAAATCACTCATCGCCAAAGGGGGGGACCACTTTACAGTCCAGGAAGTGACCAACAATCAAGAAATGAGGCTATGCAGGCCTCCGTTATACTCTAAGGTATGCCTGCAACCCCTCTTTTATTGGATTTGTTCATCTCCTGATAGAGAAAACTGGTCCCCCAAATTGGATTCCGTGATGAAGCCATTGGTACGGTACTACAACCGTACCGGTACAGTAGTAAAGAGAGGCCCCCAAAAGCACGCACCTTAAGGTTTTGAGTTTCAAGGGTATCATGCATATAATATGTATCGTACGTATTGTATGTATTGTACATATTGTATATATCATACGTATTGTACGTATCATATATATCGTACGTATTATACGCGCGAACGTGGACCAATGAGAACTCCCTTCCCTTGATCAGCAGCAGCCATTTTTAAAAAGCACACCAACAACAAAAACACCACCATCCACACTTCTTCTTCTCTCCTCTTGTTGCTCCTGCTATTGTTGCTTCTGTTGTTATTCAGCTATCACACCATCTCTACCACTACTATCAGGTACATTTACTCAGCTTCCTGCTTGTGAAATGGTCAGAGAGAGTGGCTATTCATCAGATGAGCAAAAGTTGATGTCATATCACCCTCTCTTCTTTCCTCCCTCCATGCCATACCCAAGTCTCTCAACAATGCTTTCACTCTTTCTCTATTATTCATAGACTGATAGAACAAGGTGAACAAGGAAGGACACCACCCAGGAAGTCAAGGAAGTCAAGAAACAGCACATTTCCATTTCACCAGTAGATCACAGTACTGAAATCCTGTAAGTACCCTTTGTATCGTACGTATGATATATATAATATGTATCGTATGTATGATACGTATGGTATATATTGTATCATACAAACCTTTTGTATGATATGTATGATATGTATCGTATGTATGATATGTATCGTATGTATCGTATGTACTATATCTATTATATGTATAATGTATATCATGCATATTTCTGTATTGTACTGACTGCAATCTTTGTTTCTGCTGTTTGTATATGGCTTTATTCATAGGTATCATGGCTGAAGGTGACACTAACCCCATGGGGGACGATGCCTTAGCAGAAATGCAAATAGATGAAGTGCGCGCTCCTCCTGGCCCGGACAATTGTGGACCTTTTTGGCGTTGGGAAATCTCTGAAGAGCAGCTTGTCGAGTGTGTGAAGGACAAGATTCCCCTTGTTTTAAGGTCTTATGTTGATCCCAAGAAGAAGGGCAAGATTCAGCTTCATACTATCTTAGACCCACAGGATCAAGTCTACTGTCTGGACTGCGTGGCTCATGCTATTGGTTTACCCGAAGACCAGATACCTTTAAACCCCCAGTCCCTCAAGCTTCACAAGGCAGGCACGTCATTGTACCAGCATTGCATGGGCAAGACGGGTAAGACTAAGGGTGTTAAGGAAAGCAAATGTCTCAAGTGTTTTGGTGGGGTTGCACAGAAATAGACGTGCTGCAGCTGCTCAACAAGAAGCAGAGGAGCAGCGCAAGATTTTGGCAGAGAAGGAGCGTGCTGCTGAGGAAGCTGCCCGTCTAGCTGAATCCTCTCGTCCCTTTCAACCAGTTGAAGCCGAAACAATGACGGTGGAATCATTGTGCAAGCAGTTTCATTGGGATCTAAATGATCCAGCAAAGGTCCAGCAGGCAACGGCAATGATTGACGCTATCCAAGGTTCGGATGAGAAGCAGACAGCCAAGGAGCCACAACCACAGTCAGACGATGATCAGTCAGACAGTGAGCAGTCAGACAATCCGGGTGAGACGATGACAGCCAAGCAAAAGTCGAAGAAAAATGCGTCGAGCCAGATGATGACGATGACGAGGAAACCTCAGATGTCATCAGTCCAACTTTCTGGCATGGGTGGTCACGCAGTCTTTCTAATTTGTCGCTCATTGCTTTGTGGTTTGTGTCACCAACGTAAAGTCGATACAACTTGAAGTTCCTGATCTTGGCATGGGTGGCAATCGGCTTCCTCTCAAGCAACTTGTATATATGTCGGCACGTAATTGAGTACCCATTCCAATACCCACACGAACAGACAAGAAACCGTTTTCCAAATCTCTCCACCACTTGAACCTTCCGTGTGGTCACAAAGGTAGGTATGACATGATTTCTCCTGATGGAAACCTTTCTCCAGTGATCCAGAGTTCCAGTCTCATCCACCACAGAATTCTTTGCCTTGAGACATGTCGATGCTATGATTGGGTTTGGGACCAAGAGCATCCCTCTTCATGGCGGAGTGTTCAACTTCACTTATGGTACTCGTAATCATTCCAAAGTGAGCTCTTTGCTTCAGATGATACCCAAACAGGAGATCCCTTCGGGGAAGAAATGACTCGTTTATGAAAACCTTCAATTTGTCTCTCAAAGCTTCCCCCAGTTGCCCCCGATGGAGAGACTCATCTTCTTCAAGATATTCGGTAAGCAGCTTCAAGGATAGGTCGGATTCTCCCTCGGTTTCATATCGTGCAAATCTCCACAGCCATGATACTAACACTTCCCATTCGACCAAGTCATCTCCATCTAACTCGCTGACATATGAAACAAACTTTGGAGATTTGGTTAGATTTCTGTTGAGTTTGTGCCAGTTACAAAGTTGGACTGTTGCATTGGGAAATAGCTTCCCTGGTCCACACTGTTCTTGGAAACTTCCAAAGGCTCTTTCATCTTCGTCAAAAGCAGCAACTTCGACCCGTGCCAGAGTATTAGCACTGTGCAAAAGTGGCATTGCATCTCTATAGAACCAGCGAAAAACCCAACGTGGTGCCGCCGGAAAATAGGCAAAGGTATGACTGAATGTTTGCCCATCTGCAGCTTTGCCTGATTCAGTCTGTAGCTCTCTCTTCTCCGCATTTGTTTTGAAAGTAATATCACCTGATTTATACTCGGGGTACATTCGGAAGAGCCGCTGTGCACTTTCTGTTGTCCATGCTAGTGCAAGAAGAATCAAGCCCGATCCAGTAATGGATAATGCATTCCTAACCTTTTCAGAAAATGCTGCAGCACTGTCGACTTCATCAGCCAGAGCATTGGAATCAATGTCTTGAGGAGCGGCACCTCTTCGTCTTTGTCTAAATCTCAGGTGTCCAGTTTCAAAATCGGCAAACAAGACTACAAAAGCCTTTGTCTTATCTGACTGGAGCCGTGCGAGTAGCCGGTCAGCTGCTGTTGCTTCATCAGCAGGGACTTGCGTTTCAACACCATCAGCTGACATTATCGAGAGCACAATCCCTTGCCGGAGATTCCGCTTCATGCCCTCCAGCTGCTTTGAACTCAGGGTAGCACCAGTGGTTTCGTACAGCAAAGTTTTTATCACACTGGGAGGCAAGTGATTTTTCAGGCACTGATCTGCCAATGTGACTGCCTCGGAACCCAAATGTTTGATCTGGACTTGAATTTGGCTAGGGTCGAGCTTCGGATGTCCAATGTGTTTGGTGCTTCCGCCTTGTTTGGCTGGCAGGAACCATCGCCTGTGCTCATTACTGAAGTAAACATTAAAATCTTTTCCAATTATAGGTAACTGAGTTTGGGTAGTAGGACTGTGTTGGGTTGCCTTTGATGGTGCTTCCTTATAATACCTATGTCTCGGGCACACGACAGTAAGGTAGGCTCTTCGTCTGTCATAGCTCTGTTTTTAACATTAAAGCCTGCTTCCTTGCATGCAAGTGCAAATACAGACATCAGTTCCTCTTTGATAAACTTTTTGTCATCTTTGTTGAATTTGCTTGGCCCATACACAGTCGGTCTTGTCAATTTGAGCATTGCCAAGCTGGCCAAGCGTTTGCATAATGTCAATTGTTATAGGAGTTTCATTTATTAGAGACGTTGCCACAGCTACATAATAGAAGGAGGGATCCACTCTTCTCATTGGTATCATATTGGGCAACATCATTCAGTTCAGCAAGATAGGTATCCATATTGGTTGTTGTGACACTTTGGTGGGTGCTTCAGTTCAGAGAGATCTGGCAACTTAGAGAACTGGCAAAAATTCGTCATATCATATGATACATATTGTATATATTATATCATATATATCATATGGTTAATATATATAATAATATTATATCATCTGGTTTTTATGATAATTGTGTTTCGTATGATATGTATCATGCATATGATATATATGATACGTATTGTATAGTATAACCCTTCCTCTAAGGTGCGTGCTTTTGGGGGCTTGTCCGACATTCCACAAAGGTTCGAACAGAGTGTCCGGACATCCAAGTCCAAATTGCAGTGAGTGTGACAGTCACCCTACAGTACTCGTGTAAGCATTAGAGGAAAAATGTAAATGCCTTGATCGATGACCACAGGGGGAAGTGCTGGGCAAAAAGGACGAAAGGACTTGGACTTCCACGTGTCGGAAGGATTTTCTCAACCGTGCTTCAGGCAAACGTCAGAGCTCGGTCGCAACCATCAAAATTTGCAAGAAAACAACCAAATCCACACAATTTGTTTTTCTTTGGGTAGTTCGCTTTCGCTTCAAAGAGAGCACCATGAGATTGTCCTTTATCCTTTTACTATCTGCATTGGCATTGACGTTGGCCCAGGAAGCAGTGGTCGAAGAGGCCGAAGCAGCCGCCGTCGAAACGGAGGAACTGGACTTGGATGCCCTGATCGAGGACGCGAATGAGTTTTTGGCCACGGAAAATAATGAAGCCGTAGAAGAAGAACCCGCTTCTGCAGCCTCTGCAGCAACGGAGGACATCCCAGCAGCGCAAGAGACTGTCAACGCAGAGGAGATTCAGGGAGATCAGGAGGAAACTGTTGATGCCACTACAACCGCGACCACAGCAGATGAGCAGCAAGGAGACACGACAACAGAAACAGCTGAAAGTAGTGAAGCAGAAGCAACTGAATCAGCAACAGCAGAAGCATCCGCTGCAGAGGAAACAGCTGCAAAAGAAGAAGAACCACAAAAATTGCCGGAACAAGCTGGACCCTTTATTGACCTTTTGGGTCCTCAACTGTATTCCTTGCAAATGATTGATGAAAGACAAGCACAGCTGACGCCCCAATTAACCAATGAAGCTTTGAAAGGCAAAAAGGTTATTGGACTCTACTTTTCGGCTGGTAGGTTGCGCAATTCGGTTTCCTCCTCGGCAAGGGCTGGAACCTTGATTTATCCACCAAGCTGCATCTTTTGATTTTTGTATTTCTCATCTCCTTTCTCGCTTCGTATTATTATCGTGACATCATAATAGATTGGTGCGGCCCATGTCGCAAATTCACACCCGAGCTCGTGGCCTTTTACGAAAAAATGAACAAAAAACGAAGGGATGACTTCGAAATTGTTTGGGTATCGCGATGTCGCGACATGCAATCGTATGGACAGTATTTTACTCACATGAAGTGGTTGGCACTTCCCTTTGAAGAAGCGGCCGGACAACGAGGACAATGGCTATCCCAAAAATACGGCGTCAAGGGAATTCCCTCGTTCGTTTTGTTGGATGACCTTGGAAATGTTATTACTACCGATGCCCGCAACAAAATTCCACAGGACAAGGCCGGCATTGGATTTCCATGGGGCAATCCCTTTTCCACCTTGCTCAAGACGGTGGTCCCACGAAGTCTGCGTCTCATGGTCAAGACGCAAGTGGATACGCTCAAGGGGAAGCTGGTACAGCAGGTCAAGGGACTCGTTGGCATGTCCAAGACAAAAACAGCATAACGCTACAAAGGAAACCACACGCACAAACAGAAAACAAGCAAACTCAAAACGCAATTTCTAGCTACACACAAGAAAAAGGAACCGAGCTGTCCGGATCGCTACATGTAGTAGGCAAAACCTGCACTGAAACAGCCACATTGGCGCAAAACAATCAACTTTTTAAAAACCGGCCTCTATTATCATTATTCGTCGTCCTCGTCATCATCATCAACTCCACCGGTAATGCCCAATTCTTCATAGATCTTGCCAATTTTCTCGTATTGCGCCAGGAGATCCAGCAAAAACAGTTTTCGTTCCTTGTCATTGCCATGCAACATTAATGGATCTGCTCGAGATGCCAACACGGTGTGGAACCGATCACTGTAGGCTCGAACCAGCTCCCGAGCCGATTGCATTTGCTTTTGAATGCCTCCTCGATTGGTGGTAATGTATCCCCGACAATCCAAGGCGGGGCCAGCACTGCCCATGTAAGGATTATCTTCTTCGCGCGTGTCTTCCACGGGAATGGTAAAGCCCGAACAGCAAAACCCCGTCTCGGGAAAGATGTAACTGACCGATCCAAAGGTATGGCCCGGTGTGTATACGGCAAGGATTCGTTTGTTCTCTTCCTTGGCCCGAATGGCTTCTGGAGTATAGTCCGCTTCCGATGTTGTTACATTGTATTTGACTTCATCAATTGGCTTTCTCCCTCGCAAATAGTCTTCTGCTTCGTCATGATCCCACAAATTGCTCGTGTATGTCAACGGTCGTCCCGTTTCCACAAAGGTACAGTTGGTCGTTTCTTCTTGGAGTGCAAATGGCCCATACCCATCCAATACTTGCGTGACGAATTCCCGACAATCTCGTGGAATATCCATTCGATAGGCAACGACCTCTAATCCAGGAAACGCCTGCTTCCAATGCTCCAAATCGGCCCGTCGCATGCGGTATACTGCCGGGGCATCATCATAATGAATTCCATCGCGACTGGTGATAAGCAAGGCTGCCAATCGGGAATTTTTTTGTTCTCCTCCCATGAACACTTTGATTTTGGCCACCAGTGATGGCGAATAAGGAGGCATATCCACCAATGCAAAGGTTCTCATCTTTGTCGTGTCGTCGTCGTCGTCTTCTTCTGTACTGGAGGATTCTTCTGCTGGTGCTGAGGAATTTGCTGGTGATAATGACACTAGATATCTGACTGGTTCAAAGGACAATCGAGATTCCGAGGTTGTGACAATCTGTGCGGCAACCTCCGTGTATCCTGTAATGGGAACAAGCTCTGTTTCGAATCGGTCCTTCTCGGCCATCTCCATTTCATCCGTCACGGAGATCCCCGTGGAAGGAATATGGACACCTCCACTGGTCAATCCATCGTCGTCGGCAGGTAGTTGCTGCGCTTCGTCTTGTGGAGTTAATGTGGAAAATAATAATGGAACAATACGGTTGGTGTGCCTTCCAACAAATAATGATGGACTTTTTGGAGCAAATGCACATACGGCAAGGATACCCCAACTGAGGAATCCAAACAGCAGATTCTTCTGTGTCTTTGACATCATAATAAATATTCAAGTACCCAAACTAATGTTGACAAACTTCTAATGTATTACAATGGTACAAGGAAAGACAGCGGCGATGATGGCCCACCAAGAAAAAAAATGCCAAAATCGGATCTTTGTGATGGACGAGTGATGGGTGGCTGTTGGAACCTGCAGAGCTGCTGTTACAACGCCGAAAGCAAAACGGCGTGGAAATGCCGTGTGGCATGGCATGATTAAGGCCACGAGCTCAAACTACGGACAAGCCACTCTAGATCAAGGAATGCTAAAGGCAGAAGAGAGTTAAGCTTTCACTCAACGTCCAACCCACCATGCATTGTCAGCGAGAAACCCTACTGACAATGCTTGGAATTGGGATTGGCACCATCTACTTTCTGAGTTGAAAACAGCACCATCACTTCCAGCACAGAACTGAAGGCAGTCTCTAGGATACCAAACATTTTCCTGCATCTTTGTCATGTTGATGGTGGCCCCATGCAAGTTTACCTCCTCCATGCTTCTCACAGTTGCTGTCATGCATCTCCAGTCATCAGGGTTCTGCTCACAGTAGCCCAAAGTACAATCTGGAATTCCCCACTTGGAGTAGATAAATGTTCTGGCTGGTTCAAAGTCTGGGCTTGTCCAACCCATGTCAGTTTCATTTGCCCATGGTGCAAGGCACTCAACATTGTCATAACATTGTCACCAGCTACTACCAGAGTTGTAGATCACACCATCACTGCCGGAACAGAACTGTAGGCAATCAGTATGATGGTACACATAATCCTTGGATTGGGTCAGGTTCAAAGCAACCCCATGCAAGTTCACTTCCTCCATGGTTCTAGCCGTTCCTGTCTTGCACCTCCAATCAGCAGGGTTCTGTTCACAGTACCCCCTAGCACATTCTGGAGTTTCCCTCTTGGAATAGATGGTTGTTGTTTCTGGTCTAAAGGCAGGGCTTGCCCAGCCAGTGTTGATTTCATTCGCCCATGGTGCAAGGCATTCAATGTTGATAGAGCACTGGCACCACCTGCTATCTGAGTTGAACATAGCACGTTCACTACCAACACAGAACTGCAGGCATTCAGATTTATCCTCTGCATTCCCCTTGTGCTTGGTCCTGTTCAGGGCAGGTCCATGCAAATTTGCCTCCTCCATGCTGCTAGCATGTGCAGTCATGCATCTCCAGTCATCAGGATTAAGCTCACAGTGGGTCAGGTTGCAAAAGGGCATTTCTGTCCTTGTGTACATCATTGTTTCTGCTGGTCTGAAGGTTGGGCTTGTCCAACTTGTGTCCACATCATTTCCCCATGGGGCCATGCACTCAACACTGTTGTAGCACTCACAAAACATGCTGTAGGAGCTGTAGATGGCCGCGTCGCTGCTCCAACAAAACTCAAGACAACCTGCTCCTTGCCATTACTCTTCACCAGGTTTGTCCCTTGGACATTGCCAACCTGGAGGCTTGTTTTGTGTTGAGACAAACAGTAGTAATGCGAAGGGTCGACGTTGCACAAAGGCTCGTTGCAGATGGTCAAAGGCTGCTTGGAATAGACAGTACCTCTTGGAATCAGCTCTGTGTCAGCCCGGGCGCCCTATGGCAAGGCACACTGTGAATTGTTGTAGCAATGACAGCGCGCGTCCAATTCTTTCGAGTACACAGCAATGGGATAGGCAGCACAAAACTCCCAGCATGTTCGGCTGGAAGCAGCATCAATGCTGGCATGGCCTTGTCGTTGTTCGGCGCTGTTCCGCGGCCAAGCAAATTGAGTTGAAATCGAATTTCCAGCAAAGCATTTCCAATGGTCTCCATGGGTTGGCCTGGCAGAAATCAAATTCACACAATTCCAGGCATGCGGTCGTGAAAACGACACCATCGACGCTATCTTGGAAGGATTTTTTGCCCCAACTGGCAATGCAGTCAACATCAGAAGACAAGCAATGACATCGATCTCCCCCTTGGTTCGGAGGCGCAAAGAATCCTGTGTGGTACCCTCTGTCGGCGCATTCAGTAATGCAAGCTGCTTCAGTAAGGTTTGAAAAGGTCACGGATGGAACACCCGCAGGGTGGACAGTGAATTGATTCATCGGGTATCGGTAGACGTTTCCTCTGCAAAAAGTAGAATGATCTGCTTCGGGTTGGCCTCCGCCAACGGAGATGCCCACAATTCCCGCCAGCAGTATCAACATGCCGACTGTAAGCAGTGATAGGCTCACTACTTTTGATCGCACTGCCGGCGCATTGCTGTGGTTTCGATGCGTGGGCTTCTCCTCTCCTTGCTTTTCGAGATCAGCTACGAAACGGACATCGTTGGTTTGAGAAGAGTCCAAGCTGACCTCACGGAAACTAGCACTTTCGAGGCCGGGTGTGCAAGAGCTGGGTTTTGTTGGTTCATCATGGTAGCGGTAGGTTGTGAATCTGAGGACAGCGACAGTTTCGAAATACAGGGTGTTCAATTATTAACCCATATGGTCAAAAATCGATTGGCCCTGTACCTGCTGTCGCTTCTCCTAGTCGATAGAGTGTGTTGTTGCGGTCTCAGAACGACCTTGATCATTGCATTATCTCATCGGCAAGTGGTCAAGTCGATCGCTTCAAGATTGATTGTTGTTGTTGTTTTTCGGTTAGGCGATTGTTCATCTTGGGTGCCGGCAAATGCTGTTCTCCCAGAGTGCAGCGAAGGTGGTGGTCTTGCTTGGGGTTCGGCTTTGAGACTTGCCTTACCCAACGGTGATGGATAGCTCGACCTGATAAGCAATACAACAACAGTGCGGCTAACAAAAGTTCCCAACCTCCGCAGGCCAGAGATGACACCGTGGCTAGCTGGCTACAAATCGTCCCGACACGTACGGTACGTGTACTCTAGTACAGTACACTTGAGTGATGGATCCTTGAGGCAGCAAGAAAAGAACATTCGGCTTTGGTTTGTCTTGTTCGCATTGCTTCTGCGATGCATGTAGCTCTAGCTAGCTAGCCACAGCCCATCGTGGGTAGGCCGAACAGGAAGCATCTTTTGAAAAGACGGCCTACGGTATGGAGCTGTTTCCCAAGCTCTGTCCTCTTCTGGCTTTCTCCTTCGTTCAATAGCTACACCAAGTCTAGCTAGGTAGCTGCAGCAGCTAGTCCTCTAGTAGCTGGCTGGTGCTAGCTAGCTAGTAGCACTGCCATGCCAGCCGGAGAGTACTGTATCATGCGGCGGGATGTCCCTTTGCTACTCGCGGCCCAACTGGTTGACTGACCCAACCAGTTGACTGTTGAGCGGAACGTGGCGAGGATGGGGTAAAAATGGGGTAATTTCCGTTCCGAGAGGAAAAAATCCTCGGAGAGGACCCACCAACCACCTTGAGGCTCTCGGAGCGGCACTTCTTTCTACCAGCTGGATGACCAGGAGCCAGGCTTAAGGTTTTTTCACACTTTTAAGAAAATAGTTTAGACCGGGCAGCAGAGCTATCCAACAGCACAAGCTAGGTTGTCATATTGAGACAACAATATCAACACAATGATATGCTACTACATTTATATCTAACTAGAGCCATAATACTTCAAAGCCTGCTCCCAGCCAGGATTGACAGAAATGTCACAGCTAGGAGCTAAACAAAGCTTGACCGCCGCCTCCAATGCATAGACCGGGTATTTCCAGAATTTCAACTCCGGACTCATTGGACAACTCTCTTTCATTCAATCCTGTAATTGATACAAATAGAGGTGCTGTACAGCCATCAGCAGTCATAACTATACTGAGCTTCACTCTAATGCCAGTTGCCATAGATGCATTGTTGGCAGTAGTGCGATAGAGTGATCTGGTTCCCTTGCCAGTGTATGATGAAATAGCTGTGAAGCGAACTTTGTCAATATTGTCTTTGTTCAATCCTTCAACCAACCATTCAGTTGTGTCATCCATGGAAGCAATGTTTGCCTTTTTGACTGGCAAAAGAGCAGCTCCCTTGTGCAAGGCACTAATGGTGTTGTAGACATACTTTTGAGAATCACTGGCATGATCATTGAGAAATATTCTAACCGCTGGAAGCTCCACCTCTGTTGGCATATAGAGGGTAGACCCAACAACGCCGGCAAAATCCATACCAGAGTGCATTGAGTTTTCTGCAGTTTCTCTTGTGGGAGTTTTGGCTATAACACGGGAAGTACAGCTGCTTCCAGATAGCATTGACAAAGCTCCACCATAATTGGTCACGGTTTTCCTACTTGGAGATAGAACCTCTTCTCGAAGGATGGATGTGCCGCTATCTTCAAAACGCTTCTTTCAAGTCGTAGCAATGATGGACTCTATTTGACCGTATCCAAGAGAACTTCCTTTGTTGGTAGACAAATTGGTAGAGACACCCAACACTTCATTCATATTCAAGTAAGGCCTGCCACCCTTCGCTGCAAACCAAGGGTCATCCGGGTAGGTGTTCAATGAACCACCAGAAGCAATATGCTGGTTGTAGTGTCGCAACATAGTCCAAACCCCCTTCTTCTTCAAGGGGATCCATTTAGATTTGGCTGCAGGTTGGCCCCCCAAAAAGGGAAATCCACGGATCCTATTGTACCAGAGACCGAAAAGTGTCTGGTTGTATTGGCCTATGAATGCAAGGACAAATCTGTGATTATTGTGAAGCCAAAAGAGAGATCGACAAAGACGCAAAAGCCAATTTCAACGCGTCACCTTGGAGCGGTGGTTGTGATGTCCAGTCTATCCAGATTCAGTGTCGATGACTATGTATCAGCATCTACTTTCATGGCAACCGACTTGTGGAGGAACGAGGCAGGTCGGCTATTTGGATTTGGCACGGACGAGCTTGATTCAGCTTTGCTATCAAAAGCAGATTTTCTACAGTCAATGTTAGTTACGAGATTGGATTGGCTTGTCAATGGAAGTCAGCGCGTTAAAGAGCATAACAGAGACAATTGGTGCTGGGACTTCCAAGCAAAGACACTTGGTCATGTGTGTGCGCTTTTTGTTATGAAAGACATAATTGTGGACGATTTGGGATGCCTCAAACCAACGGACAGCCTACTGGCTGATCCATCCAATTTCAAGCTGGTTACTGTTCAAATGCGAGTTGATGGTGCCTATTTCTATTGGGACAAGAATCGCAGGCAGTGGGTCCGTGCAGGCATGGTTGCAAGCTCGTCTGTCAGCCCTGGTCGGTACATGTACCAAAGGGATGTGGAGCACAAGAATGGTGCCAAGCTGACCACTGCAGAGGCCAAAAGATCAGAATTCTATACAGGCTACCCACTTCTAGGAGATGCAGATCCTTTATCATTTGGTGGTGGGAGGCAGGGTTTCTTTGAAAACTTGGAACAATATGTCGGCTTGGGTGCGACTTTGCCGGCCGCCGGTCCAAGCTTTGGAGACAAACTTGACGAACAAACTGCACAATTGGTAAGACTATTTGATGTCACCCAAACAGAATCAGAAAAGTTCAAAATGATGAACAGCAAGCTCACACATGTGGAGAACAAAAGAAGAGCCATCCACTACATGTTGGAATGTGCTTGTGGTTTGCTGCTTGCTCCCAGCTGTAATATCTCATGCAACCCTGGCTGGGAGCAAGCTGTGAAGCAATACAGTTAGGTATCAGTGATAAGTAGTAGTAGTAAACAAGCTATTTGTAGCTGTGGCGTGACTAGCTAGCTAGCTTGTCACGAAGGTAGATAGCTAGCTAGCTGGCTAGCTAGGTAGCAGAATGCACGTCAAGGACATTCTTAATAACAAGGTATTTAGAATTTTACTTTTACGCATTGGCTTACTATTTCGTCAATTTTACGTTTCGTACAGACTGGTTCGAATGTGTATTTCGGGAAGGCGTTAGCCTGTACCGGTACAGTATGGAAGTTGATTAGTCAACTGGTTGGGTCGCGAGTAGCTTGAGGCCGAACCCGGCACAGGCTGACATCTCATGGAGTCATGGATGACGGCCAGACCAAAAAATGAGTGTGATCTTTCGCGTCAAGGAACTCAAAAAACAGAGACACTACTGCCGCCCATTCAACGAGAAATAGGACTGGTAGTTCTGAGGACGTCAACAAAGGTGGCAGTACCAAAGAGTTGAAGAGGACAGGACAACCAAGATGACAGACCAAGGAGGCCAGGCCCCCGTTCCTGAGCATGGTTTCGAAGTACCGGTAGAAAAAACGCTTGATACCCCTCCACCCGACAAAACACTTGATACCCCTCCAGCCGATGACCATAATGACCCCGTAAAAGACGAAGAGCAAGGCAATCAAGATGAAGGAGATGAAGAAGAGGAAGAAAACGAAACAGAGGCGCTGTTACCCAAAGGGTACGCGCTGACTGAACTCGACAAGGATATCTATTCACTTATCTTTACGGGCGACCTAAAAGGCCCCGGCTTTTGGTTCGGAATTTCGGTTGCTTTTTTCCAAGGCATGTTGTGCTGGTTGGTTCTCTACGATCTTATTGATTGGGATCCAGATTCCACCAATCCCATGAGAATTCCTGCGGGTAATGATCTAGTGGTCATGGTCGCACAAGCTCTTTTGCTTGTATTCATGAGCCAAGACAGCATGGATATGAATGAGGCGCTCGTTTTTTTGACTGATGGTTACTACCCGGAAGTCCTGCAGGTTTGCCCCACGGCGCAGTTTTGGAAGTGGGCTCTGTCTGGTATCACGCATTTGATTGTGGGATTGCTCTTGGCGTTGGACGTTTTTGTCTTGTTGATGCAAGAGACTACTGTCTTTGGGTTGGGAGTTGATTTCGTGGCTATGAACAAATTCTTCGCGGTGATTGACAACAAAGCATTTGCCATTGGTGGACGGGGAGTTTGCTCCGTACAACTACAGCAAGAAATCAAGAACGTCAGCAACGTCAAGGTTAGAACGTCAACAGAATACACTTGGAGAAAGAGAATTAGAGATGTGGTGATTGTGGCGGCCATCATGACGGGTTATGGCGTCCTTACCTATCAAATGCAACATGGGTTTTTTCTTTGCAAAGAGCTCTTTGTGCAATTTGGAGACGTCTTTAACCCTGGCATTGTAGAGATATCGGGGCCATTCGACATGCTACCACTACAATATAAGCGCGACGGAAGGGCAGTTTACCAAGAGAGATCCACAGGCCAGTTCATGCTCGCCTACTGCGAGAAAGACAAGAGATGGACCATGACACCGTATCTGAGTGGAATTTTTGAGCCATGTGGAAGCAGCGAAGTGGAAGTGCTTGCCAGATCCGGTGAGGATACGGGATACGATATTTTGAAAACCGTCGATACATGGGTCGTCACTTCGGTTCGACATGGCATGGGTTTCAATCCATTCGTTCATTTCAGCATGCAATGCAATGAGTGTGCTAAGAAGTGCACCAAGGGTGCAGGAGTATGCAACGAACGGAACCAGTGCATCTGCAAAGAAGGATACTACGGAGTCAACTGCGAGTTTGAACAACCCTGTACCGAAATGACACTCAGTTTCGCGACCGAAAGATTCCCTGCTTTCCTGAGCGAGTATCCTGTCCCATACGACTTCGCAATGATCACTTACAACAACACCAACGTTACAGCAGAGCGCCCCGGAACGCTCCAAGTCGAGCACCGACCAGGTAAGAACCCGAAGAACCCTGCGGTCTCCCTTCGCGTAGACATATTACTGCTTACTGTTCGCTCATTCCTTCAACTCCTGTAGTCTACTTTGGAGTGGGCCCCAACGCCAACTGGATCATGGCATTTTTGGGTCGACGTTGGGTCATCTATGGAGTTTCCTCTGATACAGGACCGAGCGAGGTAGCGAGTCGACTGGCAGCCGCCAATTTCAGTGCTGTCAACACTCTTTTTGCACCAATCTATGTAAGCTCGCCAGTGGATGTTGGGACACCGTCCGATGGACCTACTCCAGCAGATGTACAATGGTACAAGGCAACTCGAAAATCCAACAGAAACCCAATCGAAACCGACACATCTGCCGAACTCCTTGTTGACGGCGTTCCGCGGTCCTATGTGACGTCCTGGTGGGTCGACGAAAACCAGCCGCTGGACAGCCGCTTTGTTTGTGCTATATGTAACAGTGAGGCCAACCCGTGCAAGAACTTTGGGACGTGCAATGATGCCACTGGCATTTGTACTTGTCGAAAGGAGGTTGGAGCTTTGTGTGAGTACGAAATGAAGTGTACAGACCTTGTAGGTACTGACCTGGGCAGCTTCTATGGCTGTCCAGGCAATGCTACATGTGCCCCTAGTGGAGTCTGTTCTGGGTGTCCTGAAGGGACTACTGGAAATACATGCCAAGCAAACGAAGAAGATTTGTAAACTTGATTTATGTGTGAGGTATCTTTCGAAGTTCTCCTTTGAGGATGCAAAGTGAGTTTAATTGTATCCAGCTAGCCACAGCAATTTTTAGATTGAAGTACTAGCTAGCTAGTAGGCTGAACATTCGGCTCTTTGCGCGTGCAACCACCAGAGTCCGAGCCTGAAATTGCCAGAGAAACAAACCCGGGTCAAAAGTACGGTAGCCGCGAAAGTTTGCATGTTCGGTAGAAAGACGACCACAAGTGCAGTTCCGAAGCCAAGGCTTTTCGCAGGCCGAAGAACTGCTGCCTTCTACATGCACCAGACAGTTTGTCTTCATCAGGGGACTTGGCAAGCTAGCTAGCTAGATTTGGCATCTAAAAGAGGCGACGGAATCTGAAGGTGGCGGTGAACGGTTTTTGAATCCATCCATTAGTTAGGCAGATGGGTTGAAGCAGGACGGCTGCAATGCAGGGCCATGGCTACGTCTACGTGAGAAGTACGACCATCTTCTGTTGGTTGAAGCAGGTGCCTTTGTGGTTGTCAAATAAAAGTTTTAGTTCTGTTTATCAAAGGACGACCATTCCGAGGAGACTCTTGGCAGCTGCTTCTGCCTGAGTGGTCTCCACACTGCGGTACTGCTCTATATACCGTTGTAGCATCAAGTACCTTCTATGTATCATGGATTGGTGTCGTCAATCTGTTCTTCTTTTTTTCTGCAGTTGCTTTTCGTGGTTGTCAATGGGTTGTCAAGCACCGTAGTCGAAATGTATATTTGTTGTGTAAACGTGTGTACCAAATCAACATGCAAGTTGTCGTTCCTACTAGCCAGGAGGGCCTAAACCACAATCAAATCTTCCATGGGTTCGGCGGCGGTAACGGCATCTAGCAGCATGTCTGTCATTCGTGCTGCCGCGGCCATCATACACACTCGACCAATCATGATTTCGGCGAATTGCACGCGTCGTTGTCCCGTGGTTTCGGCGGGGTATAGGTGGAAGGGGTCCAGGTCAAGCTGTCCCGGAAAGTAGGATTTGTCATCTTGATGATCTTCTTCTACTCGTTCTCCGTACAATTCCAGTGCGGCTGGCAATCCCAGCGAGGCACCCAACAATTCGGGAAAGACACGTCCCTCCACAAATGGCGTGGCGCCCAAAGTGTCCACGACATGCGCATCGCTCCACATGATCGCAATGACGGCCTGTTACACAAAAAGAAGAACACTTTGTGTGAGATGCAGGAAAAGACATTGTGTCTGTTTTCTTTCAAAAGAGGACAACAAGATCAAAAACTCACCAACATGGCCAATCGAGCATGTTTCATCTCGGCTTTTCGGTAGGTCACCAGTTGTTGCGGAGTCTGGGCCAGATGAAGAGGATCAAAGCCGAAATTGCCTGGAAGATCGCTTCTCGCCAGGACATTGTCATTGAACGACAGAGCTTGCAACGTGGTGGTGGAATGGGGGCGCAAAGCAGGCGCAAAACCTGACACGGACAATGCCATGGTGGCCAAAATCTGGAGGGTTGCAATCATCTTCATCATCTTTCTTCTTTTGTGGGGAGCTGGAGAGCTAGCTACTTGACTATGAGGACGATCTCTGGGTTTTTGTGTCTTTCAGTGGCTGCTGGTTGATGGCCGCAGCTGTATCATAGGAGTATCATGGGTGGGGCTGTTGGTCTTCAAAGACACCATTTGCTGGAAGAACAATTGACAGGGAGAGAAGAACAATCCAGCAGATGATTCTTGCATTTTCGCCATCACTTGCACGACACCTCAGTGAGAACCCTAAAGATCTGTAATTGAATGATTAATCGAATCGAATCGAATCGAATGATCGATGATTCAATCGACTTGACTCGATCAAATTGAATCGAATCAAAATCGAACAACAACACGACCCGTGGCTGATGAATTTTGCCAGTGGCCAAGCAAACTCGGAGCTTGCCTTGTGTACCGATAGCAATGACGGCGAAGCATCGCAAACAGTCCACGTCCTACTCCTGAACATCATCAATGGCATCTACCATACCAATTCAAGTGTCATCCCCTTACGTCTCTCCTGCAAGTCAATGATCCCGAGCGAAGCAAAGCTTTCATCGGCCGTCTTTGGGAGCCGATTGCATGCTTAGTAACTCCGCAAACCAACCACCACGATTTCCTTGTGCCTCTGCATTCCACGGTCATCCGGCATCAGAATGATACGACTGTAGCGGTAGCACGCGTCCATCAGTCAGCACTGCTAGCTAGCTCGCTAACATTAAACATTATTGCATGTCTCCCAATTAAAAGTTAGTTTTTCTACAACTCAAAACAAGCATGCTTCGAATCAAGCAAATCAGAAGAGGTTGCAAGCTGTTACGTGCTTATTGGTTAACTAAATACTAAAGGGAGACAATCATTATAAAGGGCTACAGTCTCGCTGCCTTTCATAGTACGATACGGCAGGAAGACCCCTGTTTTCTTCTTCTTGGAGTTGACAAATAGAAATGAATGGATTACTTGCTTGTATGCCTAGCTAGTAGGCTCCACTCTCAACAACATCAAAGTCATTGGTGACAGTGACATCATAGACACAATTGGCAAAGGCGTGTGCATCAGCCTTCAAATGAGCACAAGCAGCCTTGGCAGCAGTCTCAGTGATCCCCTCACCAAGACGGCGAGCCTCCTTTTCAGCTGTGTCAGGAAGGGCACACTTGGCTGGGTACTGGGGAGCCCTGACTGACTGGAAGAGCATGGGCTCATCATCACGAATCTGCCACTCCTGTCCCATGGCATTCATGTCTCCACTCAAGTCAGTCACTCCATCACGGGCCAACATTTTGCCTTCAAAGTTACCCAACAAGCCCACAACTTTTCCAAAGTCTTCTTCGGTTGCATGGTGGACCCTAACAGTCACCATGTCCTTCAGAATGCTCATGGTGATGTTTGAATTCTCTGAGAGGATGATATCAAAGCGGTGGGTCTTACGACTGGTTGGTACATGGATGATGGGGTATCCTCCAAAGTGAGAAACAACCGTGCCTATTCGGATGGCAAGTTTAGCACGATCGTTGATCAAAGCACCATCGACCCCATTAAACGAATACTGCCCCCAACTGGAGACTTCCAAGGTATCATTTCCAAAGGTATCATTTCCAAGACAGATGGCTGCACTCTCAATGTAGCTGTACATGTAGCGACCAGCGGTACGGACATGAATATCCAAATCACTTTCACCTTGGAAATTGGAAACGTGCATGAGTTTTAGGTCACTTTATGGCAGGCGGCAAGTTGAGGTGATGTTAGCTTTGGAGCACACAAAAAGGGAACGGGTGTGGCCATGAACAACCTACCATACACCGTGATAGTCAAACCATGCTCCTGACCAGGACATGATGTGTGGGTCGCCACCCATCATGGAATCTTCAGGGCAGGCTGTAAAGTCACATTTAGGAGGAGGGCCACGTCCTACAACTGATCCATCAGAACACTGAAAGGTATCAGGGGGGCAAACCACAGTTGGACAAGCATCAAAGTTACATGAAGGAGGGGACCTGCTGACAAATTATCCATCAGGGCACTGGAAGGTATCAGATGGGCAAACCACGGTTGGACAAGCATCAAAGTTGCATGAAGGAGGGGACCTGCTGACAAATATCCATCAGGCACTGGAAGGTATCAGATGGGCAAACCACAGTTGGACAAGCATCAAAGTTGCATGAAGGAGGGGACCTGCTGACAAATGATCCATCAGGGCACTGAAAGGTATCAGATGGGCAAGCCACAGTTGGACAAGCATCAAAGTTGCATGAAGGAGGGACCTGCTGACAAATGATCCATCAGGCACTGGAAGGTATCAGATGGGCAAACAATAACTGGGCAAGCATCAAAGTTGCATGAAGGAAGAGACATGCTGACAACTGTTCCATCAGGGCACTGAAAGGTATCAGATGAGCAACCAACTGGGCAAGGGTCCAAGGCACATGTAGGAAGGGACCTGGGGACAATTGTTATTCCATCGGGGCACAGATCTGTAGCAGGGACACAAACAATAGGAGTTCCACACTGTGCAAATTGACGAGTAGGAAGGACACGGCCAACTCTTGTTCCATCTGAACACAGATGGGTGTCACTGCCACAGACTCGGGGGGTTGGAGCTGGGGCAACCCCCCCCCCCCCAGGATAAGTGGGTCCGGGTGTGGGTCCGGGTGTGGGATTGTGGTGCTATTACAGTAAGGCGGCGACGAGAAGACATGGCTGGGTCTGCAACAGTTGGCATTGGGGGTGTTTTGGATCCCTTAATAGGTACTGGTACCGGCGTGCAATAACTTCTTGAAAGGATCAGGGTAGTTCCACAAGAGATGAGGATGGCCACAGGCCTCCTCTGCTTACAGAGTTTCCAGCTCCTGGAGCTGTACCGATGTTATTCTATCACGATGCTGGGCAGCCTAGCAAGCGCTGTCAGCTTACCTCTTCAATGCCTACTGCTCAGCCTCAACAGGATGGGTATCTACTGCAAAGGGACAAGGAGCTTCAGGTCTAGGAGATGGTATCAATATAACACTTTACTTTCTTAGACTATGATCAAAGCAGCATCAGAATATCTGGGTGTTATGCAGGATTTGAGCACTCTGAGCACACTGAGGCTCCTGGATCCTCCTGAGTCACCTGATTGAGTAGATGCTCGCCTCATGGCCATACTGGGGTGATACAGTGGTCAAAACCTTCATATGGGACCATATGGGGCTTCCCTGGGTCCATATGTATGGCCTGTGTCTCACCAGTACCAACCAAGATTCTCTATATCTTGCTTGTTCCACATACCATGTGGTTACCAGTAACATAAGGCAGACATTGTTCTCACACTCACCACGTTGATCCATGGATCCAACCCACATTTTATCCCTCCCCTCCATCGGATTCACCGGGGTGAGGGTGTCCAGGTTTTCCCTTTCCAGAACTCACTGCTCGGAGCATTGTCCAAATCTGAGAATAGCTCCAATGCTTTGTGAGGATGTCAGCCGGGTTGATTTCTCCTGGCATTGGATGGAAGGATATGGTCCCCGCAGCGATGCTTTCCCTAACAAAAGGTAGCCAGTGCTGATCCTTTTCTTGAGGGGGAATGGGGCTGCGTCGAGCTTGTGCAAACGGACCCGTTGTCTCCGACATGTATGTGGGGCCTTGTACTGGAACACCAAGGTATCTCAATGTGATATGGGCAGCGACAGCTTGTTGGGCAGCTATCTTGGCAGCAACAAACTCGAACCATAAGTCGCCACTTCGACGGTGGCTTGCTTCTTACAGTACCATTCAAAGGGAGTCTGATTCACGTTAGTGTAGGACTCCAGTGACGCTCTCCCCGTACCCAATCGTGGTATAAGTTGGCATCCACGTAGTGGTGAAGACCACCGGCTTGCCCTTGGGAGCAGTGCGTCACCAGGGAGTTCCTCTTCAGCTCCTGGTACACCGTCTTTGTCCAATCATACTTCCTGACTTCCAACTGGGAGTAATCCGGGATAGCGGTTCATACACAGATGCCTCCATGCTTCATCTTGACCAAGTAACCGGTAATCCTCTTCAATCGATCCAGGTGGCCAACACGGGGAGCTACTCGGAACGAGGAGAGCGTCATGGTTGCAACTCCAACATCAAACCTCCAAGTGAAATAGCCCACTGGATTCCTCCAATCAGGGACTGGTACTTGGTGATCCCATCATCGTCAACAGTGGGGAAGTATCAAGCCCGGGTGATCATTCTTCTCAACCAGGACTGGTCACCTTGGTGGAACTGCTTCTCCCCAAAGAGGGTAAGTATTGTGCTTCCAAGCGCTCAATGTACTTGAATGTTACATTGTGAGTGTCCCTATCCTCATCGCGTTTGAAGTTCGCATCCTAGGTGGAAACCACCTCACCAGTGCCCTTGAGCTTGAACTTGTGGGCTCGGCCATCAACCCATCTATGATTACCTGGGGCTCACGTGATGCAATGAGCAGGTCATCAACGTAGCACGCAATATACTCATAGTGGTCTCCTCGATCTTTCATCCAGATGTCAGACTCAGCGCGTGAGGGCTTGGATCCCATGGAGTGTAGCACATCAAACAACTTGTCATGCCAGCACTTTCCAGAAGATTTTAATCCATATTGTGCCTTGATCATCTGCATTGTGTGTCCAGCCAGAGGCCCAAACTCGCCTCCGGCAATGAAGCATACCTTTTCAGTTGTGTAGGACTCCAAGTATGCATTACCAACATCCGTGGCCCACAACTCTAAGTCATTCAATTCCGCAATGAAGGTAACAAGGCGAATTCCTTGCAGAGAGACAACACCTGAGTACACAGAATCGGTTGGCGTCTCCGTCCTGTGCCCACCTGCCACAAACCTCGACTTGTGGCGTCCATCTATCTTGATGTCATACACCATGTGGCAGGGATCTTCTGGAAGCCCTTTGGCACTGGCGCCCCAAGACCTAGTGCACTACGCTAAAAAGCTAGTGTAAAGATCTTTCGAGTGTTTTGAGTTTGAGAGAATGAAATATGAGAGGATTATGAAAGCTATGAAAAACTAATCACGAGAGAGATCACAATCAAAGGATCGTAGATCTGAACTCCCGCGGGAGACTGTAGAAAGTGAGATAGAGTAGGTTGCGGTAGCAATCCTACTCACTCCACGATCCCAAAACGGAACGCGTGGAAGATCGTCTAGCATTTATCTAGTAGCCGTGGAAGTACTCCACGCTGGCTAAATATCTAGAGCGATGTTTCATCATCAACTAGTATGACTAGAGCGTCATTGAGAATTCTGTCTCTAATGACTATTCGCGAAGGACACGTCATGAGTCGAACTCAGACCCTATCTAGGATCGAGTCGCGAATAAGGCTAAGAGCCGTGTATTGCATTCGCCCCCTGACAAGGGTCACGGAAGGCACGACATCAGTCGGACAGGAGAACATATGAATTAAAAGTGCGGGGCACTCTCCGGAGATGGATGTAACATGTGCTCGCACGATGGCAATCCTACAAGGGCATCAGGCCTTGTATGGTTGTAAATACTTATGTTCCAAGTCTGGTAGACTGTGCCGCTATTGGCGGTAGTATGTCGGAGCGTACAGTGCCATGTTTATTGACTCGGTCTGTGTGGTAAGGACCTTGTCCGTTGCTGACCGTATTAACGGTTCTTGACACTGATGAATCATCATAGTTTCGTTGACATGGTGTTGATGAGGGACACGTGCCGTGTTCTCCTTATCGGTGTTTTTCTGGATAAGTCGTTGGCGACGTTCCTTAATGTATTTCCGGTTTGCTTTGAAACGGATGTGGTGAAGCTGTCACGATTGACGCGCGCAAACTTGCGACGAAAGCCAGTTCATCCCGGAGATCTCCACCTCTACGTGGACTCACGTTTTCTGTCCATGACGACGGTCATGGATACTGGGTAACCCACGTCTGGTTCAGAACGATGGTTACTCCGTCTGCTGTCTTGAGCAGCCCTTGGTAATTCATTGGTCCAATGAATCTACGAAGTTACTTCCTGTTGGTAGGAAGAGCGATAGCTGGATCGCATTTGTTATCTTTTTAGTTAAGAGTTGGCTTCCTTCTCGAGAAGTCCAATTGTCTAATACTCCAGTTCTTTCTATCGAGGAAGGCCTTGGTAGTGTTGATTTCAATCCGACTTCTTGAGTCTTTGGGAAAGGTCATCTACTGTTCAACGCGATCTGCGAGATCGACGCCGTTAGGATGAGTTGATCATCAACTATGCACGGACATTTCTAAGTCATGCATGCGTGCTTTCATCTTCCTTTGGAAGATGTCGGGACTATTACATAGGCCATTGGCAACCTCTGGTACTCGTGCTTTCCTTCGGGAGTGCAATGGTATAGTGTTGCTTCGAGTGAGGTGACAGCTCGATGTGGTAGTGTCCCGTGTTCAGGTCTAGACTGGTAGCGCACTTGAATCCATCTGGGTTCAAAGAGCATGTCCTGTATTTTTAGATAGGATAAGGCTTCCGCTTGATCCGTTTGTTCGGTTCCCGAAAATCCGAGATGAATCGTGCAGATCCCTCTTTCTTGGGAGTTATAAAAGTTGGTGCCGCCACTTGGAACGTTTTACCTTTTTGAGTGCCCCTGTTTCGCAGAGACGTTCAACCTCCTTCTTAAGAGTGTTGGTATGGACCCGTGGAGTAGGGTGAGCCCTAGTGTAATAGGATTTAACGTCGGGACGAACTTCTACTTCGTAGTCGTCCATTCGCAGCTCTCCAAAGTATCCTCGACTGGGTCGAAGCACTTGGTTGAAAAGGCATGAGGCAGTTCTTGCTCCTCCTTGTTTAACGGATTTCGACTCTGGCATATCTGCCTTAAGCCTATTTGTTCGTATGTCGTATCAAGAATCTTTCTTGAGACTATCTGCATTGTCGCTGACAGCGCAGGAATCGGAAATGGAGAAGTTCTCCTTTCTATTGGTGTTGCTCTCTTCGCCGGGAAAAATGCATGGTTCCACCCAATGACATGGTAGTGAAATCAAACTTGATTCTTAGATCGCAGAGAGTGTCTTGACCTATGATCACGTCTTGCGCCCCCAAGTTCTTGGTGACGTGTAAATTCCACTTGATAATTCTATCATCGTGGAACTCAGGAATCCGAGTGTGCCTTACACTTCGTGCGGGGTCTCAATTCCTTCATAGAAGCAGTCCGTATGTTTGGACGCCCCATGATTCTTCATGAGTAAACTCTTAGCATGAGTTTGAGCAATAAAGTTCCGGATGCTTTGTATCCAGTAAGCAACAGAGTGTAAGGGTTTTCGTTCCCTTTCGCTCGTCTGTTAAATCTAACATAGACGATAGTTTCAAGGTCTCTTGTCGTGCGACGTTGATGAGTTGATTGGCCATGGACGAAGTTAACGATGCTGAACAGATCGTCAGTGTCTAGTTGAGCAGTTACTAGGCAATTATCTAATTTGCCGTAGACTTCGTTAGTTGCAAACAAATCTTGTTTACTATTTAGTGAGATATCTTCATCACTTAGGTATGAGAAATCGGAACATGGTTCCGTTGAATCATCATCCTGGCCTAATCCTCAGACGGAGATCTCTCCATCCGATGATTGAAGTCGAATTCGGCAAGCGCCTTGTCGACAGCGGCCATCTTCTTGTCCATCATGTTGATGGATCCAACAGAGGAGTCGTCCTCGTTGTCGGAGTTGTCAGACTTGCGCTGGCAACATGGTTGCATTCGCTTTTCTTCTTGCGATTCAGCCTTGACCGCAGCGTTGGAAACCTTCTTCATGAGGACAGAGAGTTCCTTCTTGTGTAGGTCTTGGCGTCGTCGGACTTGCGTTTCCAAGTCTTGTTCTGTTGTACGCTGGCTTGTTATCGTTGTCAGACGAGGACTGAGACTTGGCCTTGAGCTTCTTCAGAGTCATGCAGTCAGCCGTGTTGTGAGTGCTGGACTCGTGGTAGTCGCACATTTTTCTTCTGTTCTTGGAAGATGGTCGTTGTTACGAGTAGACTTGTACTTCTTGCTGTTGTTCTTCTTCGTAGGAGCTTGCTTGGCATCACCCTTGTCAAAGTCTTCGGAGGATTCCCATGCGTTCGCAGAATCCAATGGTTTCTCGATAGGAGCTGAGAAAGGATCGAAGTCGTGTTCGTCCATCTTCTTCATCCACGAGCGTGAATTCCATGACAAACAAGTCAAGACTTCGTCATGGTTCAACGTTTGGTTGGGTCCAAAAGGTGGTAGACGAGGAAGTTCATGGTGTTCATCCGACTGAGGTTTGTTACATAAGCCCGAGTAGAATATCAGCAGGCTTACGCATCTTGCGGCGCATGAAGCGTTTCTGCTTTTCAAAGAGCCTTGTAGGGACAGACCGCTTCGATACAGGCATTTATGCCAAACGTAATGTCAACATCGTCCAAAGCAGCTGAGCTGCTCCGTTCCAGGCAGCTGGAAACGTACTTGGAAAGCGGCTTCGTCTTCCCGCCACGTACATCGCGTGGAGCAATCCGTTGACTGCAATCTGGCGCAAAGCATTCCAACGTATTTCACGATGGCCTGCACAGCTAGATTCGTAACTGCTCTTGGCAGAGCTTGAAGTCATCTCCTTGAGGAGGTTATGTTTGTCGCCAGGCGTAGCAATGGCAAGCCCGACGAAGACTTCTCCATACGTCCAGCCCACTTGATGGTTTGACGTGGAGTCTCAGATCCATTGATGATTTGGACCTTGAAGGTGTACTTGGCGCTGTTAGCATCTGCTGGAATAGTGCGAAGTTTGTAGGTGGTAGAGCGAGAATCGTCGATTTCGCATCATCATCGAGGTCGATGAGAGAAGGATTGGTTTGTCACGCAGCTTGGACTCGAAGCTGGTGTATGCGTCTTTGGCAATCTTCATGGTGAGGAATAGGTTAGGGGTAGCTGAAAGCTATTGTGTTTGTTAACAAAATGCACTACGCTAAAAGCTAGTGTAAGATCTTTCGAGTGTTTTGAGTTTGAGAGAATGAAAGTTATGAGAGGATTAGAAAGCTATGAAAAACTAATCAACGAGAGAGATCCACAATCAAAGGATCGTAGATCTGAACTCCCGCGGGAGACTGTAGAGTGAGATAGAGTAGTTGCGGTAGCAATCCTACTCACTCCACGATCCCAAAACGGAACCGTGGAAGATTCGTCTAGCATTTATCTAGTAGCGTGGAGTACTCCACGCTGGCTAAATATCTAGAGCGATGTTTCATCATCAACCTAGTATGAACTAGAGCGGTCATTGAGAATTCTGTCTCTAATGACTATTCGCGAAGGACTATGTCATGAGTCGAACTCAGACCCTATCTAGGATCGAGTCGCGAATAAGGCTAAGAGCCGTGTATTGCACTAGGCTCTTGAACGTGTCGTATTCCAAGAGCTGTTTGATCTCGAGTTCTTCTGAGTCCTGCCATTTTGTGTTTCCATTCTTTTCGTCGATGAACACTGCCTCGGCATGGTTCCTTGGAACCTGGTGCCCATACTTGTACACCGGCTTGTTCCGGAAGTTCTTCAGCCTGGCTTGATGAATCATTCTTGCGAACTTCTTTGCATTTTTCGTGTAGGGTCTACATCGCTTCCATCCATTCACGCCAACCAGGTTGTTCCTCACCGCATACAGGGAAACAGAAACTGGATCATCATTGAAAATGAACCCCATATCTTCCCATGTCTTGCACCCGCTTGCCCATTCGACAAGGATCTCGAACTTGGAGCGTGTCTTGGATGGTCTGTGGTCTTGGACAGAGTCAATCTTGAACATGTCGTCCAGGTCAAGGTCACGGTCACACCACTCGAGCATTTTGGAGTAGGCCTTGGTCTCCTCGAAGCACTTGTCTCCATGCTTGCATCGGAATCTGAAGACAGCCTCCTTGCCATCAGCATCAGTCTCACCTGTGGGTGTTGCAGACACGATCCTAGCTCTAGTCTGCTCCCCATTGTCATCCGGATTCGTGATGAATGTTCGGTTGAGCAGGTCTGATACATCAATGGTCGGCAATGTGCCACCTTGAAGTATGTCGTCCTCCCTCAGGTGTGAGGTAATGTCATGCCGGATGGCGTCATGGAACACTGTAGCGTCATGGGACTCCCCAAGGTCAATACCTCCGTCGATGGTTTTCGAGGGCGGTCCGTCTACAAATGGCTTGGGCTTGGGCGCAAGCTTGGGTCCTTGTTCATCCGCCTTCCAATTGGTGAATTCATTGCCTAGTCTTGCTGTTCTAGCGACAGCCCGATGGATGATCTTGTCGTCCTCGGTGAGAATCTTGTACGTCATGCCATGACCAACATACTCTGAGACGCCAACGAACCTCCCCACACATTCGGTTGAATCTTGTGGGAACTTCGCGTCATATTTCTGGTAGTAGACTGGTTCATAAAACTCAAATTGAAGAAGTGCAGATATGTCAGGTGTGTACCCATGCAACCACTCAAAGGGAGTTCTCCATCCAAGGCTCTCATATGCCATATGATTCTGCAGGGTGGTCACGTACTGGCCAGCAGTCAGCCAACACTTGGAAGGTGCGTTCTTGGTGTCCAGTACCAGCTGTGTCTTGGTCTTGGTATCCTTCCATCCGTGCTCTGCATAGTTCTGATTTCCTCTGTATGGCTCAGAGGTTCGGTCATTGATGCAAAAGGTTCGTAGGATGTCCTTGACCCGTTTGCTTGCTTGGGCCTGGGCATTGTCACTCCTGATGCAGTTCATTGCTCCAAACCTTCGGATGTTGTCCATCAGTGTCTTGACATAGCTTGCGTCGCTTGTGCCAGCTGGGTGTAGTGACCTGTAGTGGGATGTGCGTCCAATGAAGAACTGGGCTGCTACAGATCCGTCATCAACCGCAGGGACACTGCCATAGATAGTATCCGTAGCCACGTCTTCTTGCCTTCTCGGAATGTTGAGGATCGGATTGGGCGACAGTATCTGGCTTCGGAGAGTACGACCTTGGACGGCTCCTTTGGTACCATACTGGGTAGTGGCATCCAGTGTTCGCTTGAGTGTCTCATCACTAGTTCCCGGAAAGAACCGCCGCATCATTGGAATCTGCTCAGGGGGTCGCTTGCGGGATATGGGGGGCAGCTCAACACCAGTGTGATGCTTGGCCCTGTTGTTCGACCTGAGAATGTCTTCCCCTGCATCTTCAACGTCACTGGGGCTGTCATCATCATCGCTTGGGAGTACTGTCTCAACTCGTGGGCTTCTGTCAACGGAGGACTGCTTCTTGAGACGAGGTCGTCTGGCTTCAGGCTTCTTCCGAGTCTTTTTCTCCCCATCCTTCGTTGGGGCAGAGGGGCGGGTGGGGTGGGAACGGGAGCGAGTACTTGGAGGCTCCCCACGAAGCTGGCCACGGGTTTGGACTCCAAAACAATGGCGTAAGTCCTCAGTGTCAGAGTCAGAATCATCACCAGAGGAGTCCGAGTCTTCAGCACCAGAGGAGTCGTCATAGGGGTTCAAAAGGTCGGGGACACGGGCAAAGCACTGTCGGAGGTCGTCAATGTCAGAGTCATCCTCAAGGTCAGAATCATCGTCGGAGCTGGAGTCATAATGATGGCACTGTCGGGATAAGAGGGCGGGGACATCATCAGCACTGGCGGGGACCAGATCGTCTTTGACGAGGGCAGCCATGGCAGCAATAATACCGCGACGATCAATGGAATGCTTGGGGTGGCATGAGATGGGGTCAGGGGATCGTCATCCATAGTCTTGAGTCTTCCCAAGCTGTCTAAAGGGGACTCTGCATCATCAAGGACGGTAGTACTTTGGGTATCATACCAATCGTCGGACGGGACCGAGTCAAGGCACGAGGGATCCCACGGGTGTGGGCTAGTTAAATCTATCAAAGGGATGGAGGCATCGTCCATCTCGGCATCAGTCGGTGGCCGCCAGTCGACATACGGAAGCCCATTGCGCATAGCCATGGGGACTCGGAAACCATTGGGTGTGACAAAGTAGGGGTCCACGCCAGTCACGGTCTTGGCTTTCTCATGGACACAACAACCAAAGTGTTCCATCTGACCGGGACAAGCAATGGTACGGCCATCATACATGACGGCACCCTGGTGAATGCGACCAAGGATGGGACCATGATCACTTCGCATGAACACAACCGCGGTAGCCAGCTGGAGGTTTCGGACTGTGTGATTGTCAATACCATTCAAATCAATGAATGTACCAGATAAATTCACAACACGTACATCATTGCCAAGGATAAATCCATTGGCACCTCGATCCATCAAGGCACACCAAAGTCGTTTGCGGTGATGGATGAAGGCTGAGTAGTACGATACACAAGGGTGGTTGGGAACTCCAGGACCTAAGGAAGGAATGGGGGTTCCAACCCAGTCATCATCTGCGGAAGGTAGCGCCGCTGTGGGCTGACTGTGTGCTACCCCGCTGTCATCTGTCTCTGAATAGGTTCCTCGGCTAGACCAGCTTGAGACAAAAGCTAGTCGCCGAGCCGAAAATCCGCTCGATCAGGGCCAGGCTTGGAGGAATGGACAGCACCGGAGGCAATGTCATCGACGTGGTCCAGCATGCGGTGGAATGCATGGTGGGCGGATCGATTGCTCGGGTGACTAGCAGCAAGGTTACCTTCACGTGGCTTGGGTTTGGTGCCCATCATTCGAGCTGGATGTGCCGGGTGCAGGTCATTAGACTTGGACTGGGGTGCCGAGTGGGACGGACCAGCTCCAGGCTTAGCTTGTGCCTGATTGGCTTCCAGTGTGGATGTTGGTGTGTCATCTACTTGTTCAGGGCGATCCTTCTCCTCATCCTGCTCTACCATTTCAGAAAGGTGAGCCTGTCGTGCAGGTGGACCGGGCTTGGGTGGGGATGACTCCATCAAGATCTTCTTGGCCTGGGGGGACAGCCGGTGCCAGATGGACTTGTCTTCACGTGGGAGTTGGCGGAAGAACTCATCAGGCAACCGGGTGGTTGGGTCCATGTTGACATTGAATGCATCAATGTCTCCATCAGCTGGAGCCTCAAGGTCTTGACCATCGCAGTTGTCACTATCAAGGTCATGCCAATTGACAGACCGACGGCGTGACGTTGCCCTGTTCCTGTCGTAGCTAGCGGCAGTCACCTTGATGACTTCGTAGTACTCCTCGAAATTGTAACCTGGCTTGTGCTCCAAGGTCATGCGCTCAATCTCACGGGAGGTGACTGCATGGAGCAGCGGCACGTCAGAAAGAGCACGCTGGAGGAGTGTCTTCTTGGTGGCATCAGTGATGCGCTCAACCTTGGTCTTGACGGCTTCATTGTACCTCTTGAAATTCCGATTGAACTTGACAATGAAGTCCAAAGCGGCCTGCTTGGAGGGTGTAAAGGTGGTGGTGGTGAGCCAGCTGTAAAGCTCAGCCTGCTCCAACCTGCCATCCACAGAAGCGTGTGCATCACGCCGTAGTGCAGTCATGATGGCCTGGCAGTCAACATCATCAATGTGCTTCTCCACAATCTCCTTGCCGACTTCGGTCTTGACTTTCTCCTGGAGAACACTGTAGAACCAGGCCTTCATGCGGTCGAGTTCATCGGCGTCCTCCTTTGACTGTGGGATATAGTCTCCACGGATTGCATTGGCCAGGCCCTGTGCCCTCAGTGTGATCATGGTGTGGGTGAACCAGGTGCTGAAGTGTTTGGTCCTGGTCAGCTCCTTGTAGGCATCCCTGTCAGGCCGAGGTTGGAACCACTTACCATTGTTGGGTGGTGGGCCAGGACCGCCAACGGCACTATCAGGATTTCCAGGTCCACCAGGGTCTCCAGGTCCACCATGGTTGCCAGATCCATTGTGGGGTGAGCCACCAGGACCTCCATGTCCACCATAGCCTCCAGGTTCATCAGGTCCTCCAGGTCCACCATGGCCGCCAGACTCAGGCCTAGGGTAACGACTTCGCCTCCAAGTACCACTGTGATACACCTGGTCTGGTGCTGGTGCCTTGTCAAGGATCTTGAAGGGGGTCTGGTGGTTGGGTTCTGGTGAAGATGATGTAGTTGGAAGCCCTCTGGGCTCCATGTGTTCCCATTCACCTGTGAGATGTAGGAACTTTCCATTGGGATACATCCTTCCCAACCAGTGCTCAGGGGTCATGGCTACATTGGAGGGTAGCTGGGAGGCATCAAGAGGATGTGGATATCTGATCCAAACCCTTTTTCCAATCCAGTTAAGGTCATACCTTCCACTGTAATGGGTCTGCTCACCAGGGGGTGCAAGGTCAGGGAAGATGAGGTCTGGTTGCTTGGCATAATCAGTCTGTTGGATGGTAATCCTGGGGATGGTAAAGGGTGGGAGAACAACTCCAGGGCCTCCAGTGGTTGATGTGTACTGGAGTGGGTTTGGTTTGAATGCTTTCTCCCCCATGGAGGGAGCCTTGACAGGAACCTTGGCAGGAACCTGGGCAGGGTGGACTCCATTGCCGGCGAGGTAGGTAGCAACATCAAAGAAGGCACCTTCCTCCGTCTTCAAATCAACAGCATCTCCAGGCTGGTCTCCAGGCATGGTGTTGGGAGTGAGTGCAGTGGGTCCTCCTTGATTCTCGGCCAAGGGCTTGTTAAACGCCTTCTCCTGCTCCTCAACACCGTGTGGTTCCTGGGCTACAGTGCGGATTGGTGAAGCCAAGCTTGGTTCATAGAACCTATGGCTGATCTCCATGGAGTCCAAGTGTTGTTGGGCCCTCGCATCAAGCTGATTGATGGACTTCTTCAACTGTTGGATGAAGGAGGTCTCAATGTCCTGGTGGCGCTCCTCCATGCGCTTGGTGAGAGTGGCAACGTCGGCTTGCTGTGCCTCAAAGCGGATCCATCAATCACTTGGCGCTTGCCAATGGCCTCCACAGAAGCTTGCTGCGCCTCCATGGATTCTTGCTGCATCTCCAAACGCATAAGGATAGTTTGAAGCATAGCATCAGTGGTGGAAGAGGGGGTGGTGGTAGCAGGTGGGAGTGATGGTGGATCCCTGCTCCCATCATGGGTGGAGGTAGCCACTGAACCATCAGCATCAACAGCAGGGGGATGAGTGAGGATGGTTGTGGGTGGCTGGTTGCCATCTTGAGGAGTGGCTGCAAGCTCTGCTGCATTAGCAGCTGCCATCCTCCTTTCCTTCCTCCTCTTCTTCTCAGACTTATTCACCATGTTGATGCTTGTGTAGTGTGCTGTAATAGACTGGGAGCGCACCGAGTGAAAGCACAAAGTCTGGAAATCACCAAAAAAAAATTGATGTGAAAGCACGGGAATTCGTTCGTAAACACGTTGCGCGCTTGTATAAGTCTTCGTAGGGCACACTCTAAGTCTTCGAGTTGATCCGGGGGCTTCCAGGATCAATTCTGATGTTCCGCGCGATCCTTGGGCTTCCGTGGAAGCGATCCGATCGTTCCGAGTGACTTCGAAGAGTTAACGCGCGAACCGGTACAGAACAGTGAAAACTGCACGGACACTTGTGACCTTCAAGAAAACTGCATGGACGTTTCGGTCGTTCCGGGTGACTTCGTGGAGTTAAGGTCGTTCTTGCCCTGACTGGTACGAGAACTCGTGGATACTGCACGGGTGATCTGATTTGCTGAGCCGCTTCCGTGTGACCGGTAAGATCTTTCCGAGTGCTTCTGGTAACCGGTACAGCGCACCTCTGTGGCTGTTCGTTAACTCTTTTCGTTCCTCTGTAACTTGACCAGTACCTCCTCACAATTTCGGTCTGAATCAGGACTCCTCTGTACGTATCGATCGATCGGTTCGAGTTTCGTGGACTCGAGGTTGGTAGCCAGCTCGATTTTGACCTTGGGAGTCTTGGAAAGACTTGTTCTTGGGTAATTCAGGAATGCCGGATCCACTGGTGACCTCGAATAACAACAGAAATGGATGTGTGGATCAGTAGGGGTCAAAAGGTAGGATTTCTTGGAGATCTCCACTTTGGACTCGAGCTCTGATTCACTGGGCCTGTTCGTCTGTAGCAGTAGCTTCTCTTGTGGTGCTTCTGCGACAAGTTAATCCAATAACTTCTTGAAAGGATCAGGGTAGTTCCACAAGAGATGAGGATGGCCACAGGGCCTCCTCTGCTTACAGAGTTTCCAGCTCCTGGAGCTGGTACCGATGTTATTCTATCACGATGCTGGGCAGCCTAGCAAGCGCTGTCAGCTTACCTCTTCAATGCCTACTGCTCAGCCTCAACAGGATGGGTATCTACTGCAAAGGGACAAGGGAGCTTCAGGTCTAGGAGATGGTATCAATATCAACACTTTACTTTCTTAGACTATGATCAAAGGCAGCATCAGAATATCTGGGTGTTATGCAGGATTTGAGCACTCTGAGCCACACTGAGGCTCCTGGATCCTCCTGAGGTCACCTGATTGAGTAGATGCTCGCCTCATGGCCATCTGGGGTGATACAGTGGTCAAAACCTTCATATGGGACCATATGGGGCTTCCCTGGTTCCATATGTATGGCCTGTGTCTCACCAGTACCAACCAAGATTCTCTATATCTTTGCTTGTTCCACATACCATGTGGTTACCAGTAACATAAGACAGACAATTTGTTCTCACACTCACCACGTTGATCCCATGGATCCAACCCACATTTTATCGGCGTGGGTGCTTGGGTGCTTGCTGACGTCGAATATGGGTAAGGCTTGGATACAAGGGTGGTCCCCGCTCGAAGATGTGACGAAGGGATGAGGTTGGCTTCTGCTGCCATGGGAAGGAGAGCAGTTGTGGCCAACCAAATAGCCAACAAGTCAGTAAAGATGAGCTTCATGGTAGAAAGGGAAAGCAATGCGAGAAGAGAAAACCAAAGAATTGTAAGGCAAATTGTGAGGAGTTTGTGAGCTCCACTGTGTTGGAATTGATGTGTTGGAAGTGATGTGTTCCACGGTTGCACTTTGGCTGGATAGAACTTCTATCCAGCCAAAAACAGATTCAATCCTGATTGGCCCGTCCAATGCAACTATTGCCTCTTCAGCGGAACCTCCCGAGAATGGGGTTAATTCAAAATCCAGCCAACCAGTCCACGTCGTACCTGGTACCATACTTGCCTACTAGACTAGCTGGCCATAGTACGTGTAGTTTGATGAACCGCTCATCTGCTCGTTTCTTTTGTTTGACCGCAGAGGCCACCCACCATAAGCTTATTTATTCACGAGTTGCAAGAGACTGGCAAGGTCTTCAAAAATACCCCGATCACCAAAGAATGTTACCAAGTCTCGTGATTTTGGCTTGTCATTTCTGTTTCAAGTTAGTTTCAAGACGACGCCAACTTTTTGCACAGCAGGTGGTACCACCGGTACGACACTTGTAGTTCTCGGTCTAAGTCTATATATTTTAATTCACATGACATATGTTGGTTCAGTCACGAAAGAGTGCCCCCCTTTTCATATGCCTTTGGTTCGGGACTAACACTGCTCAGACGCTGGAAGTCAAAATTTTAGAACAGGCTGTTCAGGTAAAACATAATTGTAATTTTACAATTTGTTTCCCCAACACCTCAGCCATTTTTCATTCACTCTGGAAAGAGTCAGTCATCTGAAAAGAGTCGGTGACTCAGTCCCGAACAGAATGACGAATACTCGAATCGAATCGAATTATGCAATCATTTTCGAATTGAGTCGAATCGAATCGAATCGAATTACGTCTCCTTGAGACGACGCTCCTTTTGGTTACCCCCGCAGTTGCACTCTGGAATCGATTTGCCGGCGTTTACTGTGTAAATTAGAGTAGCCACACTTCAGTTGCAGAATCAACGGTCATGTGTATCCATAAGTAACAGGTTCTCGTTTGATAAAAATAGATCGATTCGTGGATAAAGGAACCGTTGAAATTACTAAGGTTAAGGATCAAATCGAATCTATTATCAAGATTTGGCTATTAATAAGTCATTGATGACTGATTGAGTACCGTACGATGAATGAGGGCAAGCTGTTTTGGGAAGTGTCATTGGAGAGTACTCTCTGTAAACAGCAAAAGATTCAAACAGACTTCACAGAACAGCCTGCCTGGCTGGCATCTTCTTCGAAAGAGCACTCGCATCGATTGTCCATTCAACCAACAACAAGCGCAACACAACAAGAGCAACACAATGGTGGAGGAGCGGCCGATCGCTGCTACTGCTACTAATGTTACGACGAGGTAAGTGTATTATCAGGTGTATTATTGAAGGCACAGCACTGACATCTCGCCTTCATTGAATTTCTATGGCAAACAGGAGAGAAATCCAAGCTTGGCTGACAAGAGTGGTGTTGGATTGATCGAACGACTGGTACGGTACGAATCAAGAGTGTTATTGAAGGTGCAGATTCGAAAACCACCCCTCATTGAATTTCTATGGACCGAGGGAAGGCAGTCAGATCTCGGCCGTCAACAGGTGAGTTGTTTTATTTATTCGAGTCGATCGTTCGCACCTCTATTATCTCTATTATTAAGCCTCACTCAAGCCGTCAGTCTCTGGTGCAGAATGGAAAGCCATCCCTCATTGAATCCTATGGTCGATGGGATGGCAGTCAGTTCTCGGCCCATGACAGTCAAGTTGGTGGAATTTGAAATATAAGAGTAAGTCTCCGGTTTTCTTCAGTATCGGAATAGAAGAGAAAACCACATCTATTTCTTACTTTCTCTTCTCTTACTGCTGACGGCCGAGGAAATCGCATTGTCACGATCGATCACTCTGGATAACGACAAGAGAGGAGAGGAGGCTGCTGTCGATTGATCGCTACGGAGGAGGCTCTGTTAACTCCAACCCTACCAACAACATGAACAAACATCGTCAAGTCATTGAATGATGGCAACAGTTAACCGAAGGAGGTGACAATACACAAGAGAATTGATCATACTACCCGATTCACCCCTCCTTTGTTATTTCCTGTTATTTTTGTGGTGATTTCTGTGTTCATACCCATTTTCCCGTGGGAACAGTGCTTGTGGAGCCTGGATTGACAATATTCCTGTATTCATTGTAATGGTGAGGCAATGGAGTGTAGTGAGCAAAACCGAACCTGAGTGTGTCCGGTACTGTTGCCAGTGTCACCGATTGATGTAACTCTACGGTAACTGGCTACAATGGCTGGATTGACAATATTCGGTTGTGCATGTATTCGTCATAAGGATCCAATGCGAGGTACCGGTAACCGTAGAGAGCAAAGCCAAACTTTCGGTACTGTTGCCACTGTCGTCAATATAGCTATACCGCAGCCGGCTACAATGGCTGGATTCATAATGTTTGGTTGTGCATGTATTCGTCATAAGGATCTAATGCAAGATACCGGCAACGGAGTGTAGCCAGCAAAGCGGAACCTGAGTGTGTTCGGTACTGTTGACACTGTCGCCGATGTAACTGTACGGTAGCCAGCTACAATGGCTGGATTAACAATATTCGGTTTTGTGCATGTATTTGTCATAAGGATCCAATGCGAGGTAACCGAGTGCAGCGAGCAAAGCCGAACCTGAGTGTGTTCGGTACTGTTGCCACTGTCACTGATCCATGAACTCTACGGTAATGGCTACGATGGCTGGATTGACATGTTCGGTTGTGCATGTATTCGTCATAAGGATCCAATGCAAGGTAGCTACCGGTAACGGAGTGTAGCAAGTAAAGCGGAACCTAAGTGTGTTCGGTACTGTTGCCACTGTCACAGATCGATGTAACTCTCTGCCTATGGTACCGTAGCTAGCTACAATGGCTGGATTGCATGTATTCGTCATATGGATCCAAGTAGCGAGCAAACTGAGGAAACAGGAGACGAACGCTGAAAAAAAGCCGAATCATCATCAACACGGCCCTGCAGCTTCAAAAGCTCTGCAAAAGTTAGGGATAAGGACGAAAAATGAGCTTTCCAAGCTTCTGTGCAATTTGCCAACTAGCTATTTTTAAGTCAGCAGGAGCTGCGATACCTCGGCAGAAAGACAGATAGAAGAAGGATGACATGTTTGAGATTGCACTCTTCTTTCAAGGTAGCCCTGGCGACAACACCCAACTTCGTCGTGTGTTGCCGCCCCGTATTATTCCCTCACTATAACCTTCTTTTTTATTTTAAAAGGTAGCCCTGGCGACAACACCCGACTTCGTCGTGTGTTGCCGCCTGCTAACCATAATTTTACAGCTGTCACTCCCGTATGTACCTGTAACTTTTGTAGCTTCTGCTGGCTTATTGTATTGAGTGCACTAACCTTGAATATCCATGATTTATTCCTACCCCTAAATTTGTAGAGTTGGCTTGTGCCTATCTCTATCCCTATATTTTGGCTTCACCGGAACAGGAAACAGGAAGCAGGAAACAGGAAGCAGGAAACAGGAAGCAGGAAACAGGAAGCAGGAAACAGGAAACAGGAAGCAGGAAACAGGAAACAGGAAGCAGGAAGCAGGAAACAGGAAACAGGAAATACCAAAAAAGGGGGTGAGGGCTCAGGCAGATAGACTGCCGAGGTAAATAGTACCAGTACTGCAATAACTGCAATGCATGCATTCATCAGCTTGGACACTGCTCAAATGCTGGCAAAAAGATATTTTGAAGGATGCGGTAAACCTTTTCATGTATTAAAATTGTTTTACCTCAACCACGTTTCTGAAGTCCTCCTGAGCTCATTTTGCAAAATTTGCAGATCTCACCCGGCTTTAAATCATAAAGCTTTAAGTAACCGGAGTAGTGCTCCAGAAAAGGGAAGGTTTGTTTAAACATTTTCAAATCAGTATCTGGCTTCTAAATCATCAGGTTCCTTTTAATCACTCTCTTTTAAATGCAAGATGCCCCTGGAAGCAATGTTCTCCAAACAGAATTACCACCGACCTCGCCTCGACTTTCACTCTCACGTCTCTCCCAACTCCCCGAAAGTTCGTAACCCCTCTCTGAGCTCAAGTCCGATGCTCTTCATGCATGTTCAGCTTTGCAATCAATCACCCCTTCATCTCTATCCATCTCACAAAACCACGACGACAACGAACAAAAACCAAACCGCAAACAGCAGCAACTAACTAACCAATTATTATCCGTCATGATCAGCCGCAAGTCATTCTCCAGAGCCTCTTCCAACAGCTCTTCTGAGAGCTGGTCCGATTTCAACCAAAAGTACGGAAAGGATGGAAGCCAAACGCGTCTGTTGCAGTCTCTCGGTGAGAGCTTTTGCATCCCACGTCAAGATCGCCGAAGCGATTCCTTGAAGTCATCCAGTCATCATCGGCTCTCTGATCGGTCCCTTTCGACAAGTCCTGTCAGAAGCAAGATCCATCGACCGGGAAAGCGCGGAAGCACCATGTTGATGAGAAGCAAGAGTCAAGGCAACATCAAAGTCGGCGTCCCTTCGCACCGAAGCTCTGTTACCGCTCATGCCGCATGAGGAAGAAACAAGAGCGAAGCACGGGCCCACTGGCGAAACCGGCAACAAGGCTGGATACCGCTGTCTTTAGAAGATCAAACAAGTGTAGAATAGCAAGAATACATGAGATAGAAATTTTGTTTGGTGATTCAATCTTCTCTTTCCTTTGATCTCAAATGGGAAGAGGTCGCAGAGGTGCATTCATTAGAATCTTCAACCAAGGGAAAGTACCACCATCTTTTCCATTCCTTATAATGTGATCTATTTTGTGTCCTGGGAAGGTATTCAGATAGATGTTCTGTACCAGAGCTATCAAAAGTCACCACTCCGGTATCAACTCCCTCCATGCGTTGGCGAGATACTCCAGACTAGCAGTTCAATACCCTAATGGAATGCCAGAAAAGGTTGGAAGCCTATCGAAACTGAGCACTGCTTGCTTGGCGGTTTCATCATCCGTAGTTCGTCCAAGGAAGCGAAGCGATCCAAGGAGACGAAACAGTACCAACCCTTAACTTTAACAGCGATGCACTGAAGTCCAAAAGCTCGGTTTCGGAAGCTTGTTTGGTTCCACCCTTTCAAAAGACGAATGACTCAAAAATTGATACTTTGAGCTGAACGGGGGTTTAGTTAGAGTAGGTACTAGATATGCTTTTCGCCTTTTGGCTAGAGGATTTCTCTATAAAGAAACAAGAATCTTTGTTTGGCAGGAGTAAAGAACCAATGCTACACACTACACAAAATATGGCAATTCCTACTTTCTAGTCTTTCGTCTCTTTGGCCTGGATTGTCTCATAATAGTATCAGTGTCTTTCCCTGCTTTGCGATGCTTGGACTTTTCGTTGCCAGCAGAAGTAGCCTCATCAACCGTCAAGTCGGGAAGATTGTCGGTGGCTGCTACCTTGGCGGCTATCCAGAGCACCTTGGCCACTCGAGCTGCAGTCCATCCTCCTTCTAATGTATTATTATGAGCCAGTTCCAAACATTTGGCATTGATGCGTAGATAGATTGGAAGTGTGTAATCTCGTTTGGGCTCGAAGCAATCAATGACTTCATCGTACATGTAAGCAAACATGTCCGGCCGTACGCGACATAGTACAGCGGTGGCCGTGACAGGACCTACTCCCTTGAGTTGGGTCAATTCTTTTAAGGAGGCTTTGATTGTTTCGAGACCATCTGGCGTGAATTGTCCTTCTTCTTGGGACGCCTCCGCTTTCCTGGCCAACTGAATGGCTCGTTGAGAACACTCTTGTACCATGGAGTCTGCATTGGAGTGGAGCAAACCCATATTCTGTGGTCGTGGCTTTCCCACGGCAAATTTCCATTGGACGATATCCAGTAACTGCGTCTTGGTTATATGCGTTGTTTGGTCCAACGAAACGGGACAATTGGTTTCGGCTTGGAGTAGTTTGTCACTCCGAATGCTCTCGTATTGTTGTTCCACGCGCTCCCAGAGGCGAACATCTTGACAAGATGCCAGACGAATGGCAGCCGGAACACCGGGACGTTTCTTCTTGGACATGGCAGCAGAGAGGGCTACCAGTGAGCGTGGATAATACTGGAGTTGAGACAGATTTCTGGGTAGCGTCGAAGTCAGACTCGAAGCGGGTGCAAAAAAAAAAAGAATAGCCAAGAGGCGCAAGAACATGAACAGTGGAAGACTATTCTAGTTAGATGCCGTCTATTCGGATGATAAACAACTGCAATGCTTGATCTACCGCTGTTAGTAACCGCTGATGGAGGCAGAGTGCTTTATCTTCGCAGGATCTTTCATCCGTCATTGGGTCGAAGGTCAAAGCCTCTGTGCAATATTATTGCTACGGTACGCAATTAGCTTCCACCCACGGAGCCAGTAGTAATTTTGGTCGCGCCAAATTTGTTTGTGGGGAAGAATTTTGAGAATTCAGGATTCAGGACATCATCTGGTCAAATTCAGTGCTTCCATGCATCCAAGCTTTGACCATGACGGGATACTTCCGGCGTTGGACCACCTTCTTCTGTGGCAGCCAAAACTGCGAACGGTACGTCTTCTATCATCTATGGGCTGAATTTTCAGAGTGCCACTATAGGCATGGATTGATGCGTCTCATCTATGTTCCGAATTCCTCTCTTCTGTGGATACTAGATTTGTCCCCTTTCAGGGTTCCAAGACATCCTTTCGAAGCCATCTCGCATGGGCCAAGCGTCGAAATGTCAATCTCAAGGAGCTTGCGACACAACGATGTCTCAAAAGCACTACCGTTGTGGCGCTCATTATCAACACCAACTTGGCCATTCTATACAATCCATCCGAGGTGGGGGACGAAATCCGAGCAGGCCTCAAGGCCGGGGATTGGCGTACTATGGGTTTTTGGATTGGAATTGCTTCTAGTATTTCGGTAAGTGCGTGCAACACACACAAACGATATCTATCTACTGGCCATTATCGATATCAGGCTCACGCGACTGTTTGCTTCTTTAGCTGTTCCTCTCGGTATTTGCCCTCATTGCCAACTACACCGCCTATTCCATTTTCAATTCACTGAGCACACAAAATGCACCCATCATATTGCGATCCTCCATTGGAAGATATACCTGGCAAAAGTCGGGAGATCTGGTCAATCACAGCATGAAATCGCTCTTTGTCGTGGCGGCACTCAGCTACATTGAAATTGCCCAGCCGGGTCCTCTGGGAGCCACATTTGCCACCATCTGGGCGGCTCTCTTATTCTGGTGCCTTTTGACCACAACGTCCCTGGGGCATACTATTATCCATACCGGAGCCATGGGCCATGATCCCATTTTGCGACAATGTACGTATAGTATATGCCTGAACATGGTGATGAAGAATTGGATAATCGAATCGCCTTGCAGCCAACCTATCTGACCGTTCCTTTGATGTATCTATTCATCCAGCCGTGGAAGAAAACATGGGGCCAGACCAGCTATCGGATCATCTCCTCCATCAAATGGATCTGGCACGAAAGGCCAAAATTCCACTGAACTACCAATACCAAATACCCTTTCACTACGTTCTCAAAGAAATAGAACGCGGAAACGTTGACTTACCCATCCCGCCCGACAAGCTAAACAACATGAGAGAGTCACAATTTACCAGAAAGTGGCACCGATACTAGCTAGTCGCGATCAATGGAAAAGGGAACGAACAAGTGATGCGAAAAAGTCAGAAACAACAATCTACGTGTGCTGCCTGGACCGCCAATGGACGTTTCCGTAACTTTTTGGGGGGGGTAGGCACCCTCCTGGGGGGGTAGGGGCGAAAAAGAGAAGAAGAAGGAGAGGGTTAGATTCTAGATTCCCTGACTGGGACTCGATCCATGACACGTACGGTCATTAACTCGAAACTCTAAGACTACGCGATACATACAACAAAAGAGGGGCAAAGGCAGGGGCAGGTGATTAATCAGTACCGTCTATTAATTCTTTTGGTCTTACCCCGTGTTCTCTAAGCGAAAAAGGTATAGGATGTGTCATCTCTCGCATTCAAACAAATCGTGCTACGGAAGCTACAACTCATGAATCAAAACCTGTTCGATTTTTATCTGGTTTTATCCTTTCTATTCCTAAGCATACGTATACCCATTCACAAAATTCCTCCACCGGCAGTATGGGTGATGTGGTGGACGTCCAATCCGCCGCTGCATCCATGCACAGTATGGTTCGCAACACCCACCACGAGGTGGCCGATAGCAATTCGGAAATGGTAGTAGTTGTGGCATTGGCATTTGTTGTGGAAGTATCATTTGGGGTAGAATTGGTTGGTAGTGTGGCATCGGTGGAACAAACGGTGCCGGTGCAGGTGCTGGCGTTCGAATTTGAACCGGTACGATGTTGTTGTTGTTGTTGTTGTTGTTGGCGATGGTGTTAACGTTCGACTCTCTAACTGGGATAATAGCCGTTGATGATTCTGCGACATCGTTGTTGGTAGTGGTAGTATCGGCAGGTGTTGTTGGCGAAGGATTTGAATTTGAATCAGGTGGAGCCTCGCAGATTTCACAGACGCAATGGTCGCCATTAAATTGGATAATCTGTAAGTGTGGTTGCGCGAGGTACTCTGAGAAAAAACGCTCACCATTATCCTGTTGCAACAATTCCACTCTTTTGAAAGGTTTGACAATGACACCAACAGCAGCCGCCATTTCATTGACATGATGCAGCTCAGTGTGGTTCCAAAAAGGAACCACCTTTTCCCAACCGGCCGGAAGAACACCTCTTTCTTCTTTCCTTGCTGTCAGCAGGGACCGTTTGTGTCGGATTGCAAGATTGTATCGTGCTGTTCCACACAAGTTAAGATTGTCAATGAGCGAGCGACGCATGCCACCATTACCAAAATGGGCGAATCGATCATGGAATGCTTCCAGTTTTGATTCTCCTCTCTTGGACAAGTATTCGGTGAGTCTATGCTTGGCGTTTGGGCTTGGTTCAATGACATCGTACATTTCGGTAAGTGGAAGAGGATCACAAATGTGTTGGGCCTTTTCTTTGCAGTTCTCAACAGCGAGCTTGGTGTCACTGGTGAAGAGAGAGACATTTTTCATGGGATCAAGACGACCCTGGGCTGGACGATTTACAGGATCGGATGAGGTGACCTTGTATCGACAGAACCACTCTTCAAGCAATTGAATCATTGTGTTGGGTTCTCTCATCTGCTTTCGTAAGTACTTCGAGTAGCGATCACGGAAGTATTTGGATTTCTTGAGATCCGTGATGTCTGCTGTCGAGTGGTTCTTGGAGCCGATTCTTCCTTCCTTTAGCGCAGCAAGAAGTCGCTCGTAATCATCAGGTTGGTACACGTACAAGCAGGAAAGGAGATCATTGACGGCATCCATGAAATCAACATGAATTTTCCTCATTGTCGAAATGATTCTCTTCTCAAAATGAAACAGGCCAAGTCTTCCTTTGATGTCTGGAAAGAGGGACTCCCAATAGTCATCCTTGTTTGGCCATGTGTCGGAATACATGACAAGAGGGGTGAAGTCTTTTCGTCTTGACAGTTGCTTGGCTGCGTGAGCAAATCCCGTGGTCTTGGTGTTTCTCACCAGAACAGCTGAAGCAATCTCTCCAGTTGAAGTGCCGACATCCCACACGGCTGAAGCCCCAATATTTCGCTGGTAATTCTTCACAGCTTGGAATGTGTGGTCTTGACAGAACACTCCTTCTTTGCAAGTGACACTCTGAATCTCGCGAGTGTGTCTATCATGGTCGCTGATGCCCCACCTATTCTTTTTGCTTGAGGAGGCCTCATCGTAAACATCCCGAATTGTATCTCCCAGAGGAGGGTATTGCCTGACGTACTCGCCATCTTTCTGAAGATATGGCTTGACCTGCAGCGTTGGTTGAACACTCTTGCGCTCTTTGGCAAGAGAGTAGTAGGATGTCACCGCTCGAAGGTACTCCCTGTTGATAGAATCATAGATTAACTTGCTGCATAGTTCACTGTTTCCATAAGTTAGCATGATCGAGGAAAAGACTTCTGTTGCGCTTCTAGAAAGATGTGAAATTCTAGAAGCAGCGGCATACTTTGGCTCCACCGGATACAACAAGGATGCATGTTCAGGGATTGCCACCAAAATATCAGCGGCGTTAGCATCATATCTTCGGTGACATGATTGGCAGGTCATCGACTGCACAATGCACCAGGCAGGTGGACCATCGATGCCGAAGATAGGAAAGAGAACCTGATTTTTGGAGAAGTTGGTTCGTTCAGTCTTCAAGTAGCGACCTTGGCAGTCGGGATTTGGGCAGGGCACATCAATACCCAGCCGTTTCCAGTCAACAAGAAGTAGCTTCTGACCAACAATGGAATGGTAAAATGGCTCAAGGGCACCCGAACTGGGGACGTTCATCGTCATACCCTCAAAGTACCGTTGGAAGAAAGCAGCACCCTTGGCTGAATTCAGAGTGGTGGTCACCACACTAGCCAAAGCCAGCATGGCAACTGGGGCCATTTTCCTGGTGTGCTTCTCGCAGAAAGTCTTATCGCTCACCATTCTGGTCACCTTTTCACAGAGAATGCTGGGCGACACCTCATCCATGTTCGCTTGTTGTGGTTGTTGTGGTTGTTGTGGTTGGGGCTTATTAGTTGGGGCTTTTTTGGGTTTTGCCGGATTTGTTCGAGGTGCCAAGAACTTCTGAACGTTCTCGTGGGTTAAGTTAGCCGCAGAACCTTTTTCGTGTGGTTGAACTGGTTCGTTGAAGTGCTTTTCCAATCGTTTCGCCTCTTTGTTGCACTTGACGGTGTGTTGATCCAAGTTTCCAGCGCCTTTTGTTTCCTTGTTCAGAATGCAAAGTTCGTGATGCCGCCTTTTTGGAACTGTCACATCCAGGCCTGATTTCTTAAGCGCTTTCAACCTGCAGATGTTGCAGTCCTTCAATGCATCGAATGCTACTTCTCCCTCCAGAGTTTGTTGCTCTCCTTTCTTCCTCTTCTTCTTGGTGTTGCTCGCGAGCTGAAAGGCTCTCTTTTGCTGATTATTTCGCTGCTGACTTTGCCGCCCCATTGCTGCATTATGAGCCACCGATTTGCGGCTCTTCGCATACGGATTCGCCATGGGGGTTGCAGGCGCCATCCTAGTTGCTCTGATACCTCGAATTGAAGCACTTTGTCATGGTGCAAAGTGACCGCAGCTTCCTTCATTGTCAAGTTCAATGGAATCTTGTATTTCTTTTCGAAAGAAAAGAAAATCCTTGGCTTTGTAGCACAGTTGATCCTTAAAGAACTTGTCACGTTGTCTAAATACTTCGATGTCTTACATGTGTCCTCGACCAATCATATGACTGCCTTCTGACCCAGCTAGCCCCCACATGACTTATAGGGGGGATTAGGCAGCCCCGCAGGGGGGAAGAAAAGAAAAAAAGAGGAGAAGGGTTGGGATTGGGATTCTCGATTCCATGGATACTTATGACTGCGTCTTACGTCACAGGTAACATTTACTTATTCGGAAAAGGGCTTCAGGCAGTCATAAATACATATACATAAATAAAATGGTGTTACCTCCCCCTTCCTGTATCGTCATCCCCGTTCCTCAGACGCAAAAAAGACATGGAATAGACATCGACGTAGCCTTCAGGAGCTTCAAAGAACCTTCAAGAGACCGTTAGCTTCACTCCATCCAGACTCCCGACTCGACCCCACTATTCAAATTTTTGGTTTTCACTATGATAATTATCTCTGTTCTATTCCATTGGACCTTGACACTCTGGGCCATGAGGAGGACGTCCTCTTGGTTTTGGTCTGGTTAGTTTGTATATACGATGCCGCTCGCAGCAGATACCATTCTGCCTCCTCCATGCGTGCCAAGCAGCTAGTTGCATCGCTTGGTATTGCCGTTGGAGTTGCTGGTATGCTACCCAATTTTCATGTCGCTGGAGCTGCTGTTGGTGTGCGAGTTGCTGCTGTTCGGTTGGCGATGTCCGCTGCTGCTCTTGTTGTTGTTGTTGTTGTTGTTGTTGTTGTTGTTGTTGTTGTTGTTGTTGTTGAGTATCGGCATGCTCTTCTGGGATAGCTGTTCTAGCTGCTGGTGATGGCGATGGTCGCTCAAGTAGCCGTTCGTCATTTTGAATCTCCTCGATTTGATTTTGAATTTGATTTTGAACCGATGGTGCACATTTGTTGCAGAGACATCGACCATGAGAGTCGAAGGTAGGGCGTTCCTCATTTAACCATGTGATGTATTCTGAGAAGAAGCGCTCACCAGTATCTTCTTGCAGTGGCTCAACAAAGGAAAATGGTGGCGGCGCTCCAGCCTGGCTTGCCAATTGATTAATCCAACCCAATTGACAATGATTGAAGAAGTCGACGACACCTTCCCATGCCCATGGGATTTTGTTTCTGTTGGTGCTCCTTCGCAGGCGGAGCTTGGTGCGAACAGCAAGGTTGAATCTGGCTGTGCCTGTGAGATTGAGATTATCTGCCAGACTGCTCCGCATCCCATTGTTGGCAAAGTGTGCCAACAGTCCATGGAACGCCTCGAGACATGATTCACCTCTTCGCGAGATGTATTCGTTGAGGCGATGAGTGGAAGTCTCGATTGGTGGTATTACCTCATACATTTCATCAAGCGGAAGCGGATCTTGGAGGTATTCGGCCTTCTCTTTGCAGTTGTGGAGAGCAACCCTTGTCTCCTGAGTGAAGAGAGGTTGATTGGTGATTGGATCATACCGACCTCCTGCCTCGCGCGAACCATCACTGCTGCTGCATTTGTATGCTGCAAACCACTCATCCAGCCTTGTTCTCATCGTTTCTGGTGGGAGAATCTCCTTGCGTAAGTATTTGCCATACCGATTTCTGAAGGTGTGGGTGCCAATGAGATCGTCAATCTCATCATCTGTGTATTCCTTTCCAGATGCCGATAGGGTACCGTTCTTTAGAGCCACGAGGAGTGCCTCGTAGTCATTGGTGTTGTACACGTAGACGCAATTTAACAGGGAGGAGATGGCTTGTAAGTAATCGGCATGTCTCTTTCGAAGTGTCCGCATAAGCCTTTGAATGAAATGGAACAATCCAAGGCGACCGATCACATCTGCACTGACTAACAGACTCCAGAAATCACTCTTGCATGGCCAGGTATCAGAATACATAACCCTTGGAGTGAAGGTGTTGCGAGCAGAGAGCTGTTTGGCTGCATGAGCGAAGTCAGATGTCTTTGTGGAGGGAACCAGAACTGCTGCTGCTATCTCTCCCGTTTCAGTTGAACAAGTCCACATTGCAGTCGCACCGAGTCGCTTCTTTTCAATGTAATTTTTGGTAACTTCATGGGTGTGGTCTTGAGCGAAGATGGCAGTGCATCGGACACTTTGGATCTCTCTTGTATGCCGGTCATGGTCGCTGATACCCCATTGGACCTCACTGTTCAAGGACGCATCATTGTACATGTCTCGGATGACATCACCGGAGGGTGGGTAGGTGGTGATATATTGGTCTTTGGTAACGTATGGGGTGGCTGGACCATGGGTTGTACCGGCTGGATCACTCACCGGATCATTGGCAGCAATAAAGGAATAATAACTCGATACCCTTTCCAAATAGCCCTGGTTCATTGCTTGAAACAGCAATCGACTGCATAATTCGCCATTCCCATAGGTAGGCAAAAGGAGATCAAAGACGTCCGTGGTCGATTTGGAGAGGTGACTGTGTCGAGTCTTGAAAGCATACCTCACATCAACAGGATACGCATTTGACGCATAAGCTGGCAATCGAGTAAGGATAACACTCTCGTTTGCATGGAACCTTCCTTTACAGTTCTTGTCTTCACAAGCCATAGACTGCACCATACACCATGCTGGTGGCCCTTCAATTTGAAAGATAGGATGCAAGATTTTGTTTTTTGACAAGTTCGTTCTGGTCTCTTTGAGCTTGTGTTTGTTGCAGCAAGGGCAAGTGACTTGCAATCCAAACATCTTCTGCCAATCCACAAGAAGCAACTGTTGGCCAACAATGCTATGGTAGAATGGATCCTTGCAGTTTGGCAGGGCTGGAACTGTCATCGTTAGACCATCAAAATAGGACGAAATGAGTCTTCCATTGTTGGGTCGAACAATATTTTCCACAACAACAGAGGCCAAGGCCATCATGGCCATTGGACATTTGCCATCTTTATGATCGTCGACAAATTTGAAATCCTTCATCTTTGCCTGAACAAGGGCACCAAGATCGATCTCGTCATTGGCGGGAGGAGCTACGGCGTCATCCATTAATCGATCCATCCTCGCTGCTCGAGCCTTAACTCGTTTTCGTGGAGCGAAGAATCCCGTACCACCTCCCAGGTGGGAAGCACTGTATCGAATAGGAGCAGAGAAATGTCGCCTTAGCCTCTTCTCCTCTGCCAATAATGCGAGTGTTGCCTCAGAGGTAATTCCTCGTGTCCTTCTATTGTTTGCGCAAAGCTTATGATGAGGTCTATGGGGCTGTCGGAGACCGTAGAATTTGGCCTTACAGATTCCACAATCTTTTATAGGATCAAAAGCTCTCTCACCGTCAAGTCTTAGCTGAATATCACCACTCTTTCGCTTGCGAGATGATCCGTGGTTGTCTTGTTGCATGCGATGAGTCCTTGTCTCTTGACTAACTCGACGCTGGCTCTGACCACCCATTTCGTTTGTTTGTGAGGATTCATCTTGCCCCTGCTGTTGCTGCTGCTCTTCTGCTGCTGTCATCTTGTTGCGATCTCCTTTTTCCGCTGACAAATGACTTCTATTGTCCCATCATTGTCATGGAATCAGCCTTCATCAATTGTAATAGAGCGAAAACTCGCAGCTAGCCGCGGCTTGGATTCCACTTGTGATGTAAAGATTGCATCAGTAAAGCCGTCTTAATCGTTATATCTTTTTCTCGAATTCTTAGTGCCACGGTACTGTCAGCCAATCAGATCACTGCCTTCTTTTCGTTTTTGGCTCCACTTTTATCGCTGCATTGCAATTGAGCAGTGCTGCCTCCAACACGGATTTGCGTGTGTTGGCAGGTCTTCAAAAAGTGCACAACTGCAAGCTACTGGTACGGTAGCGCAAAAGAATGCAGCGATATGGTGGCTACCAGGCGCTTTACGGAGCCACTGGCGAGGAGTTCCCACTCCCAGCACACCATCCTTGCAGTGCAGAACGCCTACGGTAGCTAGTAGGAGGGTTATTCAGCTCCGGCCACAGAAGGACTTTACTGGCCGCAGTACTATAGCTTTTTAAAACTATTCTCCTCCGAGGAGTACTGAAAGGTAGTCTCTATTCTTTATGCTCGGGCATGTCAAAGGCAAGCCAAATTTGTCGGACACTTCAGGTCAGGGCTGGGGTCGCAGGTCACCAAATTTCGTCATGACCGCGAAAGATGGGATTTGAGTCGAGTCAGTCCATCAATCGGTTCTATACTGATGTTCTGAAAAGGAACATCGCCCACATCAACAGACAGCAAAACGTTAACGCGATCGAGGATAAGGACTGAGGGAGGCTTTGACAAAGATGAAGGGCCGAATTGCACTATGGATGGTTTTCCTCTTCGGCGTGACAAGGTCGCTGACGGAATATATAATCACCATAGACCTGAGCAACACTTGGAGGCAACATCTAGGTAAGCCATGGACTCAGCGTGCTGCTCTCTCAGAACGCGTCGCTGATTCTTTGGCATGGACAATCCCTCCCTCATTATGTGTCTGAAACTTGTTGTTCTTCTGATCTTTTAGTGTGGTCCAAAAAGAATGGAGATGAGCTTAAGAATGTTGTCACTCAGCGATTTGCTTCTTCAACAGTGTTTCTGTCCCTGCTGTTCAGCAGCGAGCTCGGCATTCTTTACAGTCCCTCAGACCCTGGAAAAGACATCAGATTAGCCCTCCAGGAGCGACAGTATGGTTCACCATTTTATTGGACTGGTGTAGTCATTTGCTTTGCGGTAAGAATAGTGGATGGCGATTGCATGGCCTTACTTAGGATGCTGCAGGAGATCTTTCCCTGACATAAAAATGTTGACGCGAACCACTTCCACTGCAGATTTTTTTCTCGGTGACCTCCCTTGTTGCAAACTTTACAGCCATGTCTGTATTCTCATCTCTGAGCAAAGAGAACGCCCCCATTGGTAAGACATGCTGCCTTGGAAGAAGTCTTTTTTATCGCGTTCGCTCACAAGATACGCTTGCTTGTTATGCAACAGTCCTTCGCAGCACACTAGGTACGGGCCTGATGATATGCTTGTGTTCGCTGCTACTGTTCAAGGTCGATATCTTCTAATGGATTGTGCTGATGGAATTGAAGGACTCTACACTGCACAATTACCCAGTCGCCTCGGTAAGCTCAACAGGAAGTAAAGCCCGGGCATCATTTCTCAGGTACTACTTGGAATCTTTCTCACTACATGCCCTCCTTCACCACAGTTACTGGCGCAATCTATCTTTTCTTTGTAGTTGTAATCTTTACATGGGTGATCATAATGCCACAGGAAGTTGCGATTAGTATGAGCATTATAGCATCATTGCTGCTGATCCATATTGTCAACACTTTCTCATCAATGGGGCGAGTCATAATGGATTCAGGTAGGCAGTGCTGCTTTCCAGAAATGAAGCTCGTTTGACCTCTTGTGTATGATTATTGCTCACAAGAGTATGAATGAAAAACCACAAAGGGGCCATGAGCCACCTGCCAATTTTAGATCCGGAAGAAGAGGAAAAGTTGGATCCACATGAACTATCTAATGTGCTCATCAAGCGGGTTATTTTGGCAAGGAAGGCACAGGTATCTATCAATCATCAATACAAAGTTGACTATCAAGAAACACTGAGAGATGTCCAAGCAGGAAATGTAACCTTTCCGTTGACTGCCTCTGAGTTGGATCACCGAGCGACCAACTTCTACCTCTCCAGAAGTACCATGGGTATTGCAGCAAGAAACTTTCAATACACTGTATCAGAATCATTGCACTCAGCGGGCAGTGTGGCTAGCAATGCAGCCAGTGTGTTTTCCTCGGCAGCTGGTGCAATACCGGGCTCTAATGTGGCTAGCAACATTGCCACCAAAACAGCAAACACAGTGGGCGCTGTCATTCCGGGTTCAACGAATTTGACAAAGATTTCAGAGGAGGGAAATGAAGTGGGGGATGAGGGCGACGTTGGCGAAAGCCAAGAGACCACACTGGAGCCTCCAATGGTGCAGGAAGAGGGGATGCAAACGTTGGATGATGAGAGCCAAGAGATTGAGGAGATTGAGATAATTCAAGCCAAGTCCAGTGAACAGGATGATGGTTTTTGAAGCATTCCTACTTATTCTGGGTAGGGCTTCCTGGCCTCCATGAAAACATGGATCTACAGTTGTAGTAGTGTAAGAGTTAGCTAAAGGTCTTTTCTAGGTAAGACAGGTCATTCGGATGGGAGACCCTGGATGTTTTGGCTCTGACTGGGTTGAAGGTGCCGGTACAGCTTAGCTGGCTACCATGGGAAAATGTAACGTCAGTCAAAGGGAACAAGGGAACTGCCAAGGGGCAATAATCCGTTGTGCCGGTACAAGTACGCCAGCTCCGTTCAATAGATCTACCAGTACTCCAGAGTCCAGAGTGCAGGCAACACAACAAACCGCCACATGCAAGGTTTTCTTTTTACCCACACAGAACTGTCATCCAACCTTCCTTCCTCCGGTGGCCCTGGGTATTGCTCCTTGCTTCTGCATCGGCTCTGAGATACTGGCGAGTTGTCGCTAGTATAGTAGGAGAGAGCAGGTCGTTGAATAATAATGGTATTGCGACCAACTATGCATAGATCGAAGAGAAGGAAGAGGCTCCACTGGTTCAAACGGTGGGGCATCTTCTTTTTTGGGATGCCTCGGCGATTATCTGATTATGTTGTGTCTGTTGACTTGTCCAATGAATGGAGACGCCACTTGGGTGAGTGAGGGACGTTTCTTTCTTAAGGATAATGCATGGACCTTCTTCTCAGAACATTTTGGTGTTGATTTTCTGGCGGTATTATACCCAAAGTTTGGTCGAAGAAGAATGGGGATGATCTCAAGGCTCTGGTTACAGGGAGGTACACATCTACCTCAGTCTTCCTATCCCTTTTGTTCAGCACTGAAATGGCTGTGATCTATAGCCCGTCTCGCCCTGCCGACGAAATCAGAGAAGCATTGGAGAACAAGGAGATCCACAAAGTAGAATTCTGGGCGGGGTTGGCTCTCTGCGTATCGGTGAGTGTGGCCGTCAAAGATGCAGTACTGATTCGTGGGATGGGAATCTTCTCTTATGCTTCAATTGTTACCCCTTCCACATGCAGATATTCTTCTCTGTATCAGGTATGTCACAACAGGCACCCTGTGCTTTCAATAATGTAAGAAGGTATTCGCGTCCTGTCCTGACCAGTCGAGGTGCATTCATGTCGGGCAGCTCTCGTTGCCAATTTCACAGCTTGGTCCGTCTTTTCTTCCTTGAGCACGGAGAATGCCCCCATTGGTACGTTCAGAGGAGGCGGACACGAGAGTCGCCTCACAATGCTGTCGTCTTTGTCACTGACTAAATAATTGCACCTTGCCATTGATCAGTCCTCCGATCCAACGTGGGTAAGTCCCTTCCTCATTGTTCGTTGTGCCTGCCGGGATCAGTTCTCTTACGTTGTGGACCTATCACCTATGTGTTATGTGTTCTCTGGGTATCCTTTCTGCAGGGCTGTACAGGTGCGAATTCATGCTTGGTTTGTGTAACTGTTGGGCGGGTTGTTGAATAATGTGCTTTCCATGTATCTCTTGCAGCGCTCAAGTAAGTAGTGCACGACAGACTTCCAGACTTTGTAAACAGATACCATCCTCCATCTAGTCTAACTCCTGATTGTAACCCTGGCACAGCTTCCATCAAGACTGGTAGTTTTGGCTCTATACCTTTTCTTCGCCGTGATTGTGCTAACGTGGTGGGTGGTCATGCCGGGGGAGGCAGCATTCTTTCTGACTCTTGGGGGCTTTCTCGTGATCGTTCATATTATCCAAACATTCAGTGCTACGGCGAATCTGGTCATGTTGACGGGCGCCATGGCCAATATGCCGATAATAGAAGAGGATGAAGAGGTCCATTTAAGCCCAGGGCAACTATCCGATATTCTCATTGAGCGAGCTCGTTTGGCCAAGAAACTAAAAGTCGACGTGATGAAACAGTACAGGGTTGACTATCAGCAGTTGCTTCGAGAAGTGGAGGATGGAACCCTGCAATTCCCCATTTCGGAGTCTGAATACAATCTACGAGCTAGCAAAATGGTGCATATGCGCCGCCAAATGCCGTCTAGATTCCTGGACGTTCGTGTGGGAAGTGAATTGGACATGGTTGACGAAGAACACGGGTAGCACTTGTTGCTGAGGACTTTTGGAAATCGGAAAGGGCCGGATGCGAAACACAACTGCCACAATCTACTATCAATATGAAACGGCATTACTTGAATGCGCGCGTACCGGTATCAACGCACAGATGCCCATGGAAGATTTACTTTCAACTTTCCTTTTGGATGCACCAGTTTCTTGAACCGATTGCGCGCACATTGCGGATGATATCGACCGAAGTTCAATAGAAGCAGGATGGCGATTTCGAAATATTGCCCGACAAATGTGTACCCTTTTGCCTGACTCGCCCACCAGGGAGGTGTACTCATGGACACAATCCAAATTACTCTGGAGTCTTCGAGAGGACACTTGCCATCCAGAAGTTACTGCTATCTCATCATTCGTGTTTGGAATGAACCTGCACTCCACAATTCGAATTTTGGTCTTCTGGAAAGGCGGAGGAGGTTCGAGACAGGCACCGATATCCTGCAGTATGCTTCTGCCGGCTGCCGTGTGTGTTTTGTCCGCAATGTGAACCCCTAGAACTGGAAAATCAAACGCCACGGAGACGGACAAACCTAAATCAATTCACTTTCGCAGACGAAAAAGTTGCAAGCAAGTACGAAAGTGCACCGTACCGTGGTGGTGGCGGGAAACTGATTCTCCTCGCATGCTGTAGTACTCGAAACACCAATCCAAAATCGGCAGTGATGGACAACATGAGGAAACTGGTTTTGGTTACACCGGCACACTTTAGATTTGTCAATCGAGAATTTACTTCCAATTCGAACACCTATTTTTGCTGGAGTGGTTTGCTATCGGCCAGTTCTACTGTTGCCTTTCATGGCTCGAGCATTGGCTTTCTTTGTACGTGCTGGCTCCAACCCGTACTTCGAAACACAGCTCTCTGATGCGGAGATCACGCCACTGTCAGTTTGGTGATCCTCGAATACAAGACGCATCCAGGGATTATGATCCACCTAGGCAACTGAATGTCAATACCTCAGGCTTGGGTTTCTAATTCACAGTGCTTGCCGTATTCCCGAGTACGCTTCGGCAAAGGAATACTTGTTTCAGGCGCGAAGCCAGGATGGCAATTTTAGTTCCACAAACTACCATAGCTACTTGTTTCTGTGTACACTCCTTATTGAAAGATCATAGCTTTGATAATCTAGAGTTATTTCTCCTGTCTTCCTTCGTAGTCAGTCTGGCGTATCCCTTGTCCACAGCGACCTGTCTTGTCGTTTCGTTGATGACGACAAACACCAACGTCCAATCGCTGCTAGTCGAAGACGTTCTCCAAATCCTCACCTTTAACGAATCCCCCAGGAACACTGGTTTGGTAAACTGACAATCGAGTTGTGAGAGCACGTAAGGCTGCGTACCGGTACTGGACATGAGCAGAATAGCGCGTGTGGCAATTCCCAAGGTGCACAATCCATGAAGAATTGGTTTGTCGGCAGCGCCCTCCAACACTTTGGCCATGATGGGATCTCCAGTGACGTGAATTTTGTTGCTATCACCACTGGCCAGTCGGTACAAGAGAGCTTGGGTGGGAGATGTGACGTAGGTCCATTCGAAATCTGGTTGTGTATGCTTGGGTATAGATACCTTGTTGGAGGAGGCCATTCCCTTATCCTGCAATGGAATCACGTTTTCCTTGGGCATTCCCAATATCAGCACAGTGGATTGAAGGGTACACAGCAGAGAGTTGCCATCAGCATGGGTTCTACTAGTAGTGTCTTCCAAATAAATGGCAGTTTCGGATGTCACAAAGGTTCCAATGGACTTGGGTGCCACTGTTCGCACACGTTTTTCCAGACGAGTCCGAATCTGCGAGATTGGAACAGGCAGTGACCTTGTCCATTGAACCGATTGGTTCATGTGCAAAACGGGATATTGCGAGATGTCTGGTTGGCCCCGCAAATTTGTAAAAGGAATGGTCCCCGTGGATGAAATACTGACGGGAGGAAAGGGTGGAATCTCATAGGAAGTGGCATACCTTGCCTCCTTTTGGGCCCAAAAGCCGAGGGCAAAGCAAAAGGTGGGAACGGCGGTAAAGTCAGGATGATGCTCGTACAAGTACTTTAGTTCATCATGGTTTCCTTCAGAGCTTCCAAAACCCAACGAAAGGGCATAAAGGATCAAGTCTCGTTGATTGAAAGTGGCGTAAAGAGTGCTGCTACCAGAATCAGCGTCGTTGTTGGCGGTGGTGTCCGTCATCTTGCTTGACCTTGGAAATGCATACCGCAAGGGAAGGAGAAACGCGGAATCGAGATTGATCGATTGAATCATTCGATTCGATTCGATTTTGAAACCTCAACCTTATGAAAAGATACACCCCCACGCGTGCACGCACAAAAGATCCGGTCGAAACGTCGTACCACCGGTACTAGTAGTCTAACTAATGTCTGGTGCACCGGCCGCTGGCCTTTCCACGGCAAGAAATAGACTAATAGATGCGACCAAAGATGCTTTTGCTCCGCTGCCTTTTGCCTCCGCCACAACCGTTAGAAGCAGCACGAAAAAATAACAACCCAAGGACTTGTAGTAAACCAAGATGGGAGATCGCAGTAGCAAGAGAGGTTTAGACTGCAGCTTATTAGTAGCAATACCTGAGCAACAGAAACAAGCAAAAGGTCAAGCAGATGTGGAGGAGACACCATCCATTTTGAAGCAAGAGGACATTTGGGTCAGCAAGATTTTCCCTTTTATTGGCATGGGCCACTTTGCCTTTGTGGCACCAGTCAGCCACGCAATGAAAGACTTGTACAAAGCATACTGTGAAACAGTGGAGAATCCTCCAATGATTGATGAGTTTGACAGTGATGGTCATACGGGACAAACATCCTCGGCAACTCCTACAGATACTTTCCACAGTTCAATTTTCTCTTCTGTGCCCTGTGCAGAGTACTGGTACACTCACCGTCATTCTGGCACTGGTTACGGCATCCTCGATTCTACTGCCTGTTTTAAAGTTGCCAAAGCAGGTAGTCTTCTTGTGCTCCAGTGGGCCCGGAAAAAGGGATTTGATTGGGACTCAAGCACATCACTGGCTGCTGCAGGCAATGGTAATCTGGAATGCCTCAAATTTGCCCATGAAAACGGCTGTTCATGGAGCACATGTGAATGCAGTGTGTCTGCTGAAAATGGTCATTTTGATTGCCTCAAATATGCCCGTGAAAATGGCTCCCCATGGGATGAAGCTACATGCACATTTGCTGGTGAGAATGGCCATCTGGAAATCCTGAAGTTTGCCCACGAAAACGGCTGTCCATGGAATGAAAACACCTGCACCAGGGCTGCGTTGAACGGTCATGTGGAAATCCTAAAATATGCCCACGAAAATGGCTGTCCATGGGAAGAAGACACATGCCAACATGCTGCTAAAAATGGCCATTTGGAATGCCTCAAATATGCCCATGAAAATGGCTGTCCATGGGATGAATACACTTGCTGCCTTGCTGCTCGCAATGGCCATTTGGATTGCCTCAAATATGCCCATAAGAATGGCTGTCCATGGGATGAAAAAACCTGCCTTTTTGCTGCTGAAAATGGCCACTTGGATTGCCTCAAATATGCCTATGAGAATGCCTGTGATTGGAATGAAGGCACATGCACAGTTGCTGCTGACAATGGTCATTTGGAATGCCTCAAATATGCCCATGAAAATGGCTGTCAATGGGATGAAGACACTTGCTGCTTAGCTGCTTGGAATGGCCATTTGGAAGTGCTCCAATATGCCCATGAAAATGGCTGTCCATGGGATAAAAACACATGCGGATTTGCTGCTGCCTGTGGCCGTTTGGAGTGTCTCAAATATGCCCATGAAAACGGCTGTCCATGGGATGAAGAGACATAATTCGCTGCTGCTAGGAATGGCCATGTGGAAGTGTTCCAATATGCTGTACAGAATGGTTGTCTATGGGACAGAGATGAAGTCTTGAGGGAAGGTACTTCAGAGGTGAGGTCTTGGGTTCAAAATACGTTATCCCAGAGGCATGCATAAAGTTTCTTTAGTTGTTGTCAGGCAGTAGAATTGAATCATTCAAGCATATTACTTTATGTGCAATGTTGTATCGTGTGTGATGTCCCCTTGTTCTTCACCCAAACCCTATGTGAGTCTGCATTCTGCTGAATATTGCATATGCGACACTAGTTAGTCTACGTATAATGGTTTGATGCCATAGTCCCAAGCTGCTGTCAATTTCCTTTATCCCACATTTGGTGAAATGGTGCACGATTTCGAAACGGTACCAAAGGGAAGGATTTCATCTGGACGGATTGGCTATTATGAATGGACACTCCCTCTATCATAGTGCCTGTCAACGGAAAATGCACGTCTCTTGGTCGTAGCATATACCGAATCTGAACACAATGGAACCTTATGTCATTGGCTTTGTCACTTTCAACAATGCACCTGGAGCCCACCAACATGCAATTGAACGGTACTATTGCGGAAACTGTGTTCAATCGAAACCTCAACCTTGCAAAAAGATCCAAAGATATTGTACCGCAAACAACTACCTATTGTCCCAATCCATTTGGGAACTAGCTAGAGCATAGGCATTCACATACATATCCCGAGGAGCCACTGAAAAACGCGTCGCTGAAGCTTTGCCAAAGTCAGTACCGGTAGAGGAAGAAGAGCGTGACCAAACCGAGTACTGGAACAATTATCTCAGATATATTATCTCCAAAAAGAATCGTCGATTGTGACATCATCATCTATCTAAACTTCATCGCTGCCCCGCCGCTCGTCGCTGCATCGCCGCACTAATGGCCGACGACAATGCCACGGAAAGAACAATTCCGGCAACCGTCCAGGCATGTTGTTTCAATTGCAACTCGAGCGACTGCCGTTGCAAACGCCATTTCTTTTCTTGCAGCCGCTGCATGGCCGCTTTGGATGATTGCATCGGTTGTTGCTGGTATCCACTATTGGAAATGAACTCAAAATGAGACTGTACGACGAAATCGATAATGGCACTTTCGAGGGAATCTTGTTGTTGTTGTGGATGTGGCTTGACCACTTCGTGCATGGGCCATTCCGTGACGTCGGTGGTATGATTGCCCAATTCCGGTGGCGCCAGAATCGACACTTTTTGGTATCGCGTGTGAAGCAGATTGCCAATGACCAAATGACAATTGTACTTTTGGACGGCTCGTTCGGCCTTTTTGCGTAGAATGTTAGAATCGGTTTCCAATTTGAAGCTGACGCAAAAGGCGTCCGGTGCCCACGCATCTCGCAGCAATCCCATGGTTTTGGGAACGGGTCGCAAGTGGAGGGTGATGCTTCCGGAATCTGATTGTATTTTGTGTTGTGATTTTTCGTGTTGGGGAATGTAATAGTCACTGACAGCAGCGGCCAGATAGACCAATGCGAGTGATTTGGATTCTTGCAATGCCGTGGATGCCAGTTTGAGTTTGGCGAGGTATTCTTCAATGGATCGAAAGGGAATGGTCAAGAGTCGTTGTTCTTTCAATGCCGTGGCTCGTTCCTGCAATGCCGTTTGGAGTTTGGTCGAGTAGAGGACGTGTCGATGGAGAGCAATGGAGTGGTGGTGGTCATTCCTATTCATGGTGTGGGCATTATTCGCTGCCGTGTCGTTGTTATTGTTGTTATTATTGGGATCGGTCAACCATGGATCTTGTTGATCGAGAACCTGTTGCACCAGTGCTTCTTCGTCATCCTCGTCTCCTCCCGCAAACAACTTTCCCAAACTGTCCACATGCAATCCATCCTGAGCGGGTTGTTGGAGTATTTCTTGACACAAGACGCGTCCAAACGGCGATGCACTGCCGCGTCGCCACAAATGAACCACGGCATATCCTCTCTTGAGAAACTCTTCGACGGAAATGGCCCCTCTGAGACCGGTGGAAAAGTTGTCGAGACATCGAACGCTGTTGACTTCCAAATCGGCCGCAGTACCCCCGGATGTCACCAAGGCAATGGGACGTTGGTGATAGTGGCAAGACACGAATTGGGTCAGCTGCAATTCGAGTTGGGTGCAATCCGCATCCGAGAGACAGTCGGATAAGAAGGACGAGATTTGCTGATCCACAGTAGTATAGTCTTCAGTGGTGGTGTTGGATGAAGACATGGCTGCTTTTGTGATACAGTAGTAGTTAGCCTATTAGTGAAAGAGAAGAAACAGACAAGTCTGTGCTACCCGCGTGTCGATGGATGTGGGGTTTTGTGGAAGTTGATGGTGGATAACGGTGCCTTTAAAAGATCCAACTGACGTCACAGGCATGTTTCAAAAGATCCATCCAGCGAAATTTCGTTCTGTGAGCTTTGAGCGGTTGCCTGGACGAAAGAAGATTATGTGTGTCCCTTTTGCGAGCACCTATCTGCACCCCATGAACGAGCGCCGTTGGGTCCATTCCATTGAAACTGATTGAAACTGGAAGAGCCTACGACCGAGTCTTTATCAATTTTTTCAGGATATTCGATTGCTTGGAGGGAGACAGAGGTGCCTTTCAAACAACACAACTGGAGGGAAAATCCATCCGACTAATAGTATCTACCGGTATCAAGGGTAGCATTCATTATCTCAACTAATTGTTCTGCGGCACAACCCAAAAAGTCGGATAATTGATTGATTGGTTGAATGGACGGAATAATAAAACAATGACCATGAAACTCACTAACGGCACTACTACGAAAAAGAAACGAATGAGCAAACCGCTTCCACTGAAGCAACGGACGTCCAGTGTCGATGCTCGTCGAGACTACAATGCCGAAACATGGTACTCGGTGCTCGGATTGCTCAAGGTGCGGGAATACATTATCACGGTGGACCATTTCTCCATTTGGCGGCGCCACTTGGCTTGGGCCATGGAAAATGGAAAAAGTCTACGAGACCACATGACACAGCGATACTCCTCTAGCATGGTATTCATGTCATTGCTGCTTTCCACAGAACTCAATATTCTATTCAATTCATCCGTCATTACCACCAACATGAGGCGGTCTCTACAGAATGAAGAATACTGGAGGGTCGAATTCTGGATTGGAATTACCATTATATTCTCGGCGGTTCTGACGTTGCTCGGTCTCATTTCCACTTACACTGGTAAGTTCTTTTATACGGAAGTGCCTTTTGTCTTGTTTATACTATGACTGACTGATAGAATTGATTTCCCTTTTTTAATCTCCTCGTGTCTATGTTTGCATGCATGCATGAAACAGCCTGGTCCATGGTCAGTTGCGTCGACCCCAGCAATGCCCACTGCGTCTTTCGATCCAGCATTGGACAGTACGTGGCAGAATTGCCGGGAAGACTCATTGTCGGATCCATCTACACGTTTCTCCTATGGGTCATGATGTTCTTTTTTGTATTGCTGCCCATTGGATATTGGAGCATTGCGCTAGCCATCGTGTCCTTTTTACTATTTGCCCATACCATTTGTGTACTCAGCGCCTTTGGACGTATCATTATGCACAGTGGGGCCATGGGACATGAAAAAATATTTGAACAAAACTACGAACGTGGTCTATTGCCACATAGTTTGCATGCCCACCTATTGGCCAAGGCACGGGCCAACTTGTCCAAGAATACAAGTATTCTACGACAGTATCGAGGCCAGTCGCGACCCATTGATGGAATGATCTTTTCCGACGAAGAAGAGGAAGCAGACTTGTCGGATTCCTACCGATCTTATCAACCACAACCCTACCATCGACAGAGCCAAGATGGGGATAGTATTACCCAAGCCTTGACAGAACGGACTTCCTTTGATACGGGATACGGATACACGGATGGCTATCGCGACTCGTCCATGGGAAGTTATGCTTCGAAAGGCAGCAGCAACAACAACAATCCGTATTACTATGATGACGACGGCCCTCCTCCTTCGTCCGAGCCGAGAAGACGTGCGGACTCAACGGTCCGATTTGCCGACGAAGTTGACATGGTAACGTCGTCTGCACGAAAGAACGATACTAGCAATCCACAGACCAGCGATTCCATGATCCCCGAAGTGGACACTCCCGTTTCAACTAGATCCTCCCCAGGTTCTGCGTTTGAGTCCAAGTCAGCCACCGCAAAGCATCCAAGTGAAACCCTTCGTCCCGGGGTTGTGCGGCGCGATCGGTCCAACACTACCGCCACAGACGGCGACTTTGAAGAAATGATGATGTTTGGAAACAAGACGCCCCGGAGGTCACCTCCGCCACCCATACCCAAGGTTCCTGTTCCAGCTCGGGCTGGATCCGAAGGTTCCAACAATCCGCAGGACTTGCGCGTCTCTACTGCTCGACCACCCATTGATGCAACGAGGTCCTACAGCAACCCGGACAGGCGACCCACGCCGCCTGGACTCTCCGTGTTGGAGAATGCTGCCAAATTGCAGCGACAGTGGCGAAACTCGTACCCTGGACCGGGTGAACGAGGATTGCCCCCACCGTCACCGCCGAGTAGGAGACCGCTGCGTTCCCAGTCACCCGTGGAAAGTGAAGCAAGCTTGCAGCAATTATGGGTCAGTTCGAGTCCCCAAAATATTGCGGATGTGCGAAAGGACTATCCAGTACAGCAACAACATCAGCAGCCAACGACGAGAATTAGCCCCGTGAACGGTGCTCCTCCCCAAACTAGTAACTATCGTGCCAAGACGAGAATGGAGTCTCCTCCTCCTCCTCCCCCGCCACTCCCACCGGACATTACGACTACCATGACGCCCGTGTCTTCGTCGGGTGCCTTGTCATCGGGAGGCGACACCAACGCAGGAACGTCCCTCTCGGAAGAGGAGGAAGAGGCATTTGCAAGAGATTATGGCTTTGACGCGGAGGATCCCTGGCCGCAATCCACCGAAACTGCGAGCCTTTTGCATGGTCCAGACCGAATCTCTCAGAGTTACATGTCTGTGGGCGATACGAACGATCCGACGACGAGGCAGAGACATGGTTGACACAAACAGTAGCTAAGGGCAAAAGGCAATCGTGGCAGAGGCCAACTTTGCGTATTGTCGGCCAATCCAATTAGAGATACTTATAAACAACAGTAGAAGCGGGCCTCTCGGCTGATCATCTTGGAAATTTATTGCTTGTCGGAAGGGCCAGCGGTGCCGACTGTGCGGTACCTGTAGTTGCCACCAATACCGTAGTGTCCACTGGCATGGCGCCTCATGATCGAAAGACTGTTTGCCGCGGTATTGCACAGCTCCTTATTTCCATCCTTCTAATAACGATACCGGTAGTTACCACCGGGATTTCTACAACTCATCGTGGCCATCTTCTCCCTTTACCATGATAAATGCATGTCCTCGCACCGCTTCACCTCTTTCGTATCGGAATCCATGCAATGGTTCGTAGTGTTTTACATGCAGATTGTGGCGTTTCCCAACTTCCATGACGTATTCTTTCCGGTGCGCAAATCGTCCGGACGCCGTTAGTTGCCATCTCCAATCTGGTTTAGACTCGGTCAGACTGACAATCAAACAAATAATTAGCAGCCAGGGTTAGACCTACAGTTATCAAATACATCACAACCAACGCTGAAAAATAAAAAGACGCTTACCTCTCCTCGCTATCTTGCGAGACATTCTCAAGCGTAAACGCTGCATATCCGCCACTGGCGAGACCATCCTTCATGGATCCAAAGAGCGGGTCTAGATCCCCAAAGTAAATGTAGGAATCAGCCGCGACAATCATGGAAAGGGGTGCTTCAGCCCTGAATACCTCCGTGACATCTCCCACCCGCACTTCATCGTACAAGTTGGGCCGTGCCTTTTGTGCTTCCACAATAATTGCTTCACTCAAGTCGACTCCGATCAGGTGCTTGCTGACATTACGAAACTAATATCAAAATGAACGTGGTCAGTACCGTAATGCAAGAATACTGCTCAACACTGCAAACCAGTTCATGACCATTCTAAACAACTCACCTGTTCTCCAACCAGCCCAGTTCCACATCCAGCATCCACCACTTTCTGGAACATGGGAGGGTCCTCTGGTTGAAATGCCCGATCAAAGACTCTCCGCAGTCGTTCGTATCCCGTGTATCCTAGTTCTTGTACCAATGAATGTTCAAAGCTACATGTAGGTAGGTAGTTTGTTCAAGAAATAAAATGGTCAGTAAATCATGCAATGGATCCAACAAAAGACTGAAGTGTACTACATGTACTCACTTTTCGGCATAATCGTCAAAGAGTGACTTGATGTATGTATTGGAAGCCCGACTCATGGTGGCATCGGCAGTGATGGTAGCCAGCATGTGTTTGGAAGGTTCATTGTCGGGATCGTATTCCAATGCTCGCGCAAACGCATTGGTGGCTAGTTCTTTGCAGGATACGGGTGTATCGGGATCATTGTCCATGGCGCATTTTTTGTTGGGTGACAAATCATGGGATATGCAAAGTCCAATGCGATACTGCAATTGCGACAAGATGTAGCGTGGTTCTTCGGGTGCATCGGTGGGAGTTCGTTGCGTGTCGGTGAGAATTTCGTAGGCGGTTTGATAGGCCGCCAATGCCTTTTGATGGGCCGATAGACTGTCGTGGTAGACGGCCGCCAAATTTGCCACACTGGCCCAATGATTGGGATCTAACACATGAGCATAGGAGTAGGCTTCTACGGCATCGTGAAATTGTTTCAAGTCCTGATAGACCATTCCCAAAAAGAAGGATGCTTGAGCGGCAATTTCGGTGGCGTCTCGTTTGAAGGATTCTTCAACGATATCATCGATTTCATTGGCATAGTGGGTCAAGGCGTGTTGATATTGTTCGGCTGCTTCCTGGTCTTTGCCGATGGATGACAAGGCAGATCCATGGTTGGTATGAAGTGATAAGATGATCAAGAGAGAGTCTTCCTCGGGATCTATTCGCTTGATTCCTTCTTGATAATAGGGAATGGCCTTGGCATTCTCGTCTTGTGAAAGGGCCGTGTCTCCCAGAGACAGAAAATCTTCGGCAGTTTCTTGGCAAGACACTCCAAGAGCGGAAAATTGGAGCAGGAGAAAGAGAATTCTAAAGAACCCCATAGTCGACATGTTGCGTCTGATGCGTATAGCTGTTTGATTTTGGTCGACAATTGTCTCCTGGGCAAGGCGGATAGCTCGCTTCTCGCTTCATCTGTCTTTGTTGGTGTGTTTCGTTTCGGTTGATGGTTGTTGAAGTGACTTGGATGGTGACTGACGTCAGTCCTACCTCTCTCTGTTGGCTTACGGAGTCACGAAACCGGAAAACGCGTGACACAGCTGCCACCACCCGATCTTTCCTCGCTTCCATCTTTCTCCGAAGTTGCTTCACAACAAACCTGTTCCTATTGGGATTGTTGCTGTTGTCGTTGTCTCTTCCTATTACTACGAATCCAGTTCTACAATGGTCTCTGAGAAAGCGTTTCCCCTGGCGGATGCCGAGCTGACTGTGGCATTGTTGGATCTGGTCCAACAAGCGACCAACTACAAGCAAACGAAAAAGGGAGCCAATGAGGCTACCAAGACGCTCAATCGAGGAATATCGGAACTCATTGTCATGTCGGCCGATGCCGAACCCATTGAGATTCTACTGCACTTACCACTCTTGTGCGAAGACAAGAACGTCCCGTATGTATTCGTCCCCAGCAAGATTGCCCTAGGGCGAGCCTGTGGCGTTTCCAGACCCGTCATTTCTTGCAGTATCACCACCAATGAAGCATCCCAGCTCAAAACCACTATTGAACAAATGAAAATCAAAATTGAACAATTGTTGGTGTAATTGGAGTGGATGGATTGTTTGTTTGTTTGTTTGTTGTTGTTGTGATTATTATGGAGGAAATCAATCAACAAAGCAAATGTGTGTGACGTTTTAATTGGAAGGGGTATCATGGATGCTACAATCTGCAGGACGGTGTGGTTATGCTGTTTGTGTGGTGTTGTGGCGAGTAAGAATTTTGGAGGAAATGGAATGAAATTAGTGAAATGAATGAGCAAGGGATGCTCTTTCTTGGATGACTGAATAGATTGTTTTGGCGTCTCTTTCTCTTGTAGCAACCATCATCAAGTTGCGACAAGGAAAGAGACGGGTTCGATGAATCTCAGTGATCGATCACCCAGACTGGACAACTGACTATTACTCTTGGCTTGCTAGCAATCCAAAAGGAATGATGTACTACAGACTGGGACGTGAGAGAGGAGACATATCTTGTTTGTTATAATAGAGATTTGAAATTACAACATTGTGTTATTATTGGACACATATTCTACTGTTACGTGGTATATCAACTTGTGTGTGTGTGTGTAGGTGTGTGTTTATAGCTAGCATCTTTCCGGTCTAGCAACCACAAGCTTCATGTTTGGCTGGCATCGTTGCCAACTCTTGCTTTTCTTCTCCCAATCATCTCGTCTTTGAATCGAATCCGTTTCCAAATAGCCACCCAAAAAAGTTGTCATGATGGCCTTTCTTTGACTGTTCATTGCATCCCTGTCATTGATGATATCCTCCTCCCAACTGCAAAGGTTCATGCAATATAGCCAGCTGCATTAGCTAGAGCAATTCATCATCATCATCACTATCCTCTCTGGCCAAGTCGGCATCCACAGTCATGTCCTCCATGATGCTGTCATCAAGCCGACGAGGACTGCCCTCGCTCAACACGGACACGGGCGATCCCAGCACAATGTCACTGTAGCTCTTGCGAGGAGTGGTCACATCCAGCAACAGACCCTTCGCAATGGCATCTTCAATCTGCTGTGTTTGCGCATTGCCATTCTCTTGCTCGTTCTTACTTGGCTCCGCGGTAGCAGTATCGTCATTGCCACTATTATGCAAGGAGACGAGGTCTTTGGGATCATAGTTATGAAGTGCCCGGCGCCTGTTAATAATACAAGGAATATACAGTAGTCGTAAAGAAGCAATGACAGAACAAGGTCAGAGCATGACAGATAATGCATTTTTTTTTTGCCATTGTCATGTCATGCCATGCCATGCATCGCCTTTGTTTTGATGGAACCAACGGCTTTAAAAATCATCTGCACTAACAAATTGATAGAGAAAAATCAACTCACCAAGCCTTCACCATTCCCTGCCAGCGCTTGGTGGGTATATCCAGAGTATGATCCGGAGTCGGAGGAGTTTCCATGGATCGAGGCCTTCGCTGTTCTTTGGGAACCTGCTTGCAATACGCAAGGTAACCAGGCGTGTTCTTGCCAATAGTGACAGCCTTCCGACGCTGTTGGATTCGCCGACCGTGTACAGGATCCCACTGATCCAACTTGGGAAAGATTGGGTCCAATTCCATGGGTTCATGGTGGGTCTTTTGTCGCTTCAGGCCGGCATTGTTGTTATCGTGATTCCGACTGTTGTAGGAACGATATTGGTTGCCACCACGAACTTGACGCTTCTTGCCTCGAACAGAAGGAGGGCTGATCTTTCGGACGATCTTCTTGTCGGCAACTGTATTGGTGTCGGTTGAGGTATTCATGTTGCTCATCATCCCAAATAATATGATAGTTGCTGCTTGTTGTAATGGTAGCTATCGATAGCCAGCCAGCAAGAATGAAGAAATGCGTCCAAAATGCTGATCCTGAAAATGGCGCGATTTTGCCATTCGCACCGGGCGACTTTCCAGCGTCACAATTGGTAGTAACGCCGGCGGGTGTGCCAGCAAACTATAATAGTTGCTACATGTAGCGAGCTAGTAGCTAGCTAGCTAGCCAGTTAGTAAGTAATCAATCTTATGCGTAAAAGAACCAGAGCCGAGTCTTTAGCTAGCTAGCAAGGGATCAATCAGCTGGGAAGCATCCACCATTATCGCAGCATTCTGTACAGCATCCTTCCGGACAAGTGAACCTGGTTCGAACAACCATATAGGCCAAGCAGTCTGCTTTGATCACTATTTCCTCTGCAAGGTCCGCGTGGCTGTGAACATTGTCGCAGACTGCTTGAGGAATCTTACCATGCAAGCCTTCGTTGTAACTGACATCAAGTTGGTACAGCCCAGACAGCAATGACAATTGTTCGTCTGGTAGCCTCCCCAAAAAATCGTTACTTGACAAGTCCAGCTTTGACAGGCTTGTCATGAGTCCGATTTCCGTGCTGATATCTCCTGAGAAAGAGTTTCCACTCAAGTTCAGTTCCTCCAACGCCGTCAATGTATAGAGCTCTGATGGCAGGGTTCCTGTGAGATAATCATTGTCCCGCAAATTGAGAATTGTCAATTTCGACAACAGAGCCAACTCTGTAGGCAACTGCCCGTTCAATTTATTGGAAGTCAGTGTCAACTCAGTTACATCACCAAATGCGTTGTGGTCACATGCTACTCCTCCCCAAATGCATTCATTGGTTGTTGACAGCCAATTAGACCCAAGGAATCTTCCTTCAAGTGTCTCACAAGTTTCGAGTGCTTTATCTCCACAGTTCAGCCAATGCTGTGACTGGGTTGTGTGAAAGTATAAAACTGCCATTATGAACCTTTGAATGAACTGATCGTCTTGGGGTGATACCACATCACGATTCAAGATCCAATCAAAGGCCTTGTACTGTGGAGTTTCATCCTCTTTCCCTTCAAAGTAGTCGTCTCCAAAGACATCCAAGATTGCCCTTTGATATTCCAAATACTTCTCTGAGGTTGGCCCGAACGAATGTGCCATCGATCCTTGCTCGCTGCCTCCACCACACATGCCACTTCCACAAACACCACCGATAGTGGCGATCACAACAAGAACAACAAGACAAAGAGTTACAAGAAGAGTCAATGACCTCGTTTTGGTGTTTTTGTTGTTGTTGTCTGGGGACTCAGACAGCTTTTCAGCCCCCTTTTGATCAGCAGCTGAAACTTCCGCAACCAACGTGCTTTCTGTTGCATGGTTGCCACTTTCCCTGCTTTCATCGTGATGAATGTTTGGTCCACCACCTTGATGAAAAGCTCCAGGAAAACCTTCATTAGAGTTTGTTGATGCAGCCAGTGCCTGGCTTAGTTTGGAAGGTGGTATGTGTTTTGTAGCGATGCGTGGACCACAATCTTCTTGTTGACCAGAATCTTGGGTGTCTTGGTTCTCCTTGGGTTGTTGACAAAGTGGACCTTTTTCGCCACTCGTGCTTTTTGAAGCATCATCGCTTTGCTTTAAAGGGATATCCGCCTTGGCTGCTTGTGCTGCTGGTATGCTCAGTGTGGGAGGATTGTCGTCTTGAGGGCCTGTGGCCATCTTTTTCGCATCATCTTTGATTTGGGCATCGCTCATACTGGTTGCTCTACTATTGATACCGGTAGAAAGGGTCCCCACTTGAGAAGTCGATTCTCCTTCCGTTTCCTCTTGCAGAGCCATCGTTCTGTCGTTGTGCCTTGGAAAGTGGCCATTCTGTTGGTGAGTGGGTGGCCCATCGATGCCTTCTCGAGGTGCTTGTCGACCGCTATTGATTGGCCTATGGAAAGGATCTTCCACTGTTTCATCATCCGGCACATGTTGCAGTGAAGGATAGAAATCAGTTTGATAGTGCACAGTGTGCAGATCTGTGACATTTGAGACAATGGTCTGATCGTCTTGACCAAAGTGAAGGGTATCTGGATAAACCACAGAAGGATCATCTTGGCGGCGTCTAATCTCTTCTGCAGCAAAAGCATGGAGGTCATCATCTGAATACGGTTGTTGTTCGGTGCCATGGAAGTCTGGAATCGGTTGTTGTTGTGGTGCACCATTGTAGTCTTTTGGGGAGGCAGAGAGTCGGTCACCATACCCATGTATGTCACCATACTGACGTCTGTCGGCAACGGGGTGGGGTTGGATATCATGCTGGCCACCCCGGTAATTCACTGAGGCTGCATCGTATCCATCATTGTGGGTACCATGCCTTGTTGCTGGTGGGGCCGAATAGTGGTAGCCGTATTCATTGTGATGATATTGACGCGAACGAGTGTAATCATCGGCATTATACCCATCATCTGCGTGATACCCTCCATCATCTGCCATTCGAGGACGGGACGAATTATAATCCCCGCTAGCATATCTGTCCCCCATCATGGGATAGTTGTCTCCTGAGCGTAACAGATCTCTATTATATCATCTGTCATGGAGATCCCTTTCCTCTCTTCTTCGTTTGGCAAGTGCCTGGACGCGGTGCCTGTCTTGTTGAGCTCTTGTGCATCTATCTTGTTGTTGGTTGTTTAGTTCTTGTTTGTTTCCCACTGTGCCACGCATGGATCAGCTGCCGGTGGGAAACAAAAGAAATAAGTGCCTGTACATGCCATAGCCACATGCCATGGAGCAGCTAGACTATTAATACTGTACAGGTACGGTACCAGTAATAAGTGAAGTCAATATTGAGACTTTCGGTTGCCGAGCGAGAGGTTCCTTAATTCCCCAATTCAAAAGTCATTGTCAGGAGAACCAAGTGTAAAGGTATTGTAAAGCACGTTTTTCGACGTCATGTTGTTCTTCATGCGGACATGCTTTGCGGTTCAACGACTGACTGGACCGAGAGCTGATCCTTGCTCTTGCATGCACAAGCAGCACAACGTCGCATCATAGAAAAGACAAGGGAATCCAATCAGTCAACACGAGGAAAGGAAGGAGCCTGACATGAGAACAGAGCCAGTCTTTATTTTGGCAGGCCAGTCGAACATGGCGGGGAGATGTGATGCCACGGAGCTGCCAGAATGCCTGAAACCCACAGAAATCCAAGATGTGCACTTTCGGATGTGCTGGGACAATGATCACAATTTGGGAGAAGGGTGCAATTCAAGTGCGAAGTTTGAGTCACTCCAAGCCCAGCATTCTCCTGGACTTGAAATGGATATCTTTGGACCCGAAATGGCACTTGCTCATGCTCTCTCCCCCAGACTCAAACAGCAAGGTATCCAACAAGCCTACTTTATCAAATTTGCCATGGGAAGCACCAATCTGCACAGTAACTGGAATCCTTCCAATCAGAATTCGGAAGGGAAAATGGCAACGATCGGATATTATCCTCGTTTTTTGGATTTTTGCAAGACATCTCTAGCTTCCCTTCGGGAGGAGCAGCCTGATGTTGACCGTCCACTTGGCGGAATGTTTTGGCTGCAAGGGGAGAGTGATTCTTCCAAGGCCAAAGACGCCAATGCTTATTTGGCGAATTTTCAGCACTTTACAAAGACATTCCGAGAAGACATGGCCTCTCCCGACATGCTGGTTGTGGTAAGCCCGATCATCTGGAGCGGCAAAAAGGTTCACGTCGTCAACGACGCCCTTCAACAGGCAGGGAACTCGGCCTTGGAGCACTGTGTTTGTATCGATCCTCTCGACAAGGACGAGTTTGATGTGCAAGGTGCTGAGGCTGGACTTTGTGCAGGCCACCTCACGGCCACTGGGCTGTGTGAAGTTGGTCGAAGGATGGGCGAGGCAATGCCATTGGCCGCTGTTTCAGAGCCTAAAAACTAATGTACACTTATTTTAAAAAAAGCAACACATAGACAGGATGATCACTACCTATGGACACCCTGAGTGGTTGTCGCTATGGCCACAAATAACTAGCAGTCTTGCAATCCTAACCATGGGCTCGGGGGAGAAATTTTGACAGGGCCACGACGCACCGATGCTTTCTTCGCGCCCTTTGATGGCAAAGGCAAGTGCACCCCTGAAGGAAGGAGCATCAAAACCCTGCTTGAGAGCTAGCCAGCCAGATAGTAGCGCCTCGGACAAGTCAAAGCGAGGCAACGGGACCGATGAAGATCGTGCATATCCTAACGGGGTCTGGGCACGCTGCTACGTACAGTGTAGCACCAGCTTGCTTGCTAATCTGCTGGTGATGTTCCGGGTCTTTTGTTTTGAGTTCTAATCTGCTTGTGTGTAAAGCCCCAGGATTTTCAGTCAGACCTATTCGAAGCTCTAAGACGAAGCCTCGGCGATGACGGCTGTGATGGCACAGCCTGTGGGTTGCACGGTCTATCGGGCACGGCAAAGAATCACAAAACCCAGCCCAGTACGGAAAAAGAGCGCGTCTTTGTGAGCGTCTTTGTGAGCTTGTCTATTCAGAACGCCGTGGGGCCGTGGTGCTGCATAAAAGCCATAAGGCGGGGCGGGTGTTGGGCACACAACTAATCCCCCACAGAGACCAAACACCACGAGGACGAGCTCCTGGTCAGTAATTTACACACTTAACTCTTTTAATTAAAAAACTACTTCTGCGATTGCTACTATTCCTGTTTGTATCCCTATTCAGCCTTTCGGTAGCGCTCACGCTTCTCCGCGCGGCTCTCGGGGGTGTTTTGTTCCCTCAAGGCTTGCCCGGCCTTGCGACGGGCTGCCAACTTGGGGATGACGTACCATCGGCTGTTGCTATCATCCAGCTTGAGGAAACGACGCCCCTCGGTCATCATCTCCTCGACAATATCCTGACTCAGGATTGTCTTCTCGTACTTTTGACACTCTCGGTACCGGGGTTTGGCGTCTTCAATGGCCTGGCGGTAGCGCTCATTGCCAGGCCAATTGTTGGACTTGCCTCCGCGCCCACTCAAGATATCGAGCTCGTTTGGCTCGACATATTCCTTGTGTTTGGGCTCGGAGCGGCGGCTGGGGCACTTCTTCTTCTGTGACGTCTTCTTGGAAGGGGCGACTGCGACTGTTGCCTTGGCTGGAGCAGGAGAAGGCGCGATGGGGTTGGCGAGTGTCGCGGCGTACATGTTCTGCCATTTGCTGTTGCTGCTGTCGCAGTCAGACACCACAGCTGCGGAAGGGTGTGATGTTGTGATGGGCTGCTCACCCGTCTTGAACACTTGCTCAGTGTATTCAATGTCCCTGTGGTTTCCCGTGTATTGGCTCATCCAATCCTTGCTTCCATAGATGCCTGGAAGTCGGCAGTCGTGCTTCTGACCCTCAGTGGACCCAGTGTCAAGGGGAGGAAGGGGATGGAGAGGAAACGCGTCGTAGCCGACATCCCTGCTACCAAAAAGAGAGTCACGGCTACTCATAAAGTTCATGAGGAATGACTGAGAGCTAACAGGGGGGATTGTTCCAGCCACCAGGCCGGCGACCATGTCGATGCTCCTGAAGTGCTCTTCGGCATCTTGCTTAGCCGCATCAGAAGATGGCGCCCCCGGATGGCCTAGAGGAGGCAAGCCCAAGCTCATGATAGAGTCGGCGCTAGTGAAAAGAGCAGCAATGTCCGTCGACGCAAACAGCGTGGCCGTGTCGGTCGAACACATCATGGATTTCAACCGATCTTCAGTGTCGGCCGAACACATCATGGATTTCAACTGATCTTCAGTCAGCGGCTGCTTTCCGCGGCTGGGGCTGGACTGGGCCGTCGTTGTCGTTGTCGTTGTGGTGGTGGTGGTGGTTGTGGTGGTTGTGGTGGTGGCCATCTTTTGCTACTAAAAACGATGTATCTATCTAAGAGGAAAGATCGAGGACCGATATGGGGGTTTGCTTCGGTGTTGTTGGTTTTGTGGATTTGTGGATTGTGGCTCGAAAGCACGGAATGCAAAAGTGTTGGTGCTCTCTTCTCTCTTGAACAGGGCCTCATTGCAGGGCAAATCGGACTCATCCAGTTGTGCCCCAATCCACGTTTCGAAGCAGAAAGATATGAACTGCGTTCCTACTCTATTATTAAGATACTCAGTATGTATTATCCTGGAACCACAATTGGCGCCAGTTGGCTCTGTGGTGCGTATGCATATCTCTATCGAATGATTGATGATTCAATTCAATCAAATCCCAGTGCCTGTCCCAAGGTAGCACAACCACCATGTCAAAAAAAGGCGTTTTCCCAGCAGAAAGGCACAGCTATACAGCTAGTACTGATGAGCAGATTTGACGAGGTACTCAGTGCTGAAGAGATGATACCAGTATCCCATTGCTGATCAGGAAGTTATAGTTAGTGGTACCCGTTGTCATAAGGGCGTGAAATACCTGTCAGAACGCTACTGTGGAAGAGGCTCTCAATTGAGATTTGTAGTTGTTTGACTAGAGGAGGAAGATTTGTACTAGCGCGGACGATTTTAGCAAAGGGTTGCTGGCTAAATTAGAGGGGGGAAATTGCAGTTTGACAGCTCTCATTTGTCTCGAAACACAGATGAGCAATTGGCCTTTGTACTTTGCAGATCAGCCATCATAGAAGCTGTTTGTTGCTTGGCGGGTTCTTGAGGATCCAGCCAGCCCTGGACTTGGGGTACCAGTATGCCGTCACAGATACCGGACCGGTACTGGTACTGTACGATGTCCCAAAGGACGCATAATTTTGCCGCATATCTTAAGAATGAGTGATAGTATTATTCCCACGCAAATTCCCGACTGACACTTCGCTTATTGGGGAAATGCCCCTTTAACTAGCTAGGGAACGCAAACCAGGCACGACACAGCCATTCCCGACGTGCACCTTGCTCCAGTAACAAGTAGAGCTAGGTTTTTGGTATGGAATAACTTTTCCAAAGATGCTAGAGAAGACTCCGCTCATCCTCCCATCCAACAGAAACACGCTTCGTTATGATTGTCGCTGCCTATCATTCGACCCGGTCGAATGATAGGAAGTTTGGTGACGAGGCTGCCCTCTCGATAATAGAGACACGAGACGGAGCATTCACTCGTTGATCTTGAGCTGCCGGATGGCTCGCAAGACACATGGCTTGAATCAAATCTATACTAGCACTACTCAGCAGTTGAGATAACACACGTTGACATTGCACGTTTCGCTTGAATAGCTGTCTTTGGGTTGGAAAGGGGTGCACCATTGATGATGTGATCACAAAACCGGATGGAGGGGTGGGTAATAACGTTACCAATTTTCGCTTCCAGCGACTACAAAACGAGCCACACATACTCTGGCTCAGTGAGTCTTCACTGCTGAATTCGGGCTTCGTCAATCTAAAATCCACGAAAATTGCACCCCTGATGAGCTTGCATTGAAAGCCAAAAGCACACAACGTTAACTCGGCCCCCTTACTGGGCTCCAATTTTGATTGAAGCAATGTGCGTCTACATGTATTTTTCCTGGAACATGTTTCACAAAACGTCTCAATGTCTCAATGTCTCAATAGCTAACGGTTTAAATCTCTCTTTCCTGTTGAGTTTTGGAAAAGATTTAACATCGAGGTAAGAATTACAAAACCGGTACGCTCAGCGATTCTGATTCGATCTGCTGAAAGACTACTATTATACTATTATATGGTACCGGTACTCTAGCTATGATAGTAGACTACCGGGACCTTTACTGCTCTAGTAGCTACTGTACCGGTAGTACTAACCAAGTATCGTAGCTACGGTAGTTTTAGCGTAAGGTGGCGGTTGGCGGGAGGGTGGGGGGGTGGAAAACACTCAAAGCTATTTAATTTATCTACCGGTATCCATAAAAGTAGCAGTTCATCAATCCAGAGCTTCACTCAATAATCAATAGTTGTGAATAGTACAGTAGGTTTAACAACGATGCATGCAATGGGAGACAGCCACCGATGCCCCACTGGCTCCACCGTTACGGAGGGAGATCGTCATGATGCTTTGGAGCAAACGGAGACCGACTACAACGCCGACAACGATCTCCACGCATTTGCTGCTGCTCAGCAACAACATGCTGTAGAGGAACCGTCTGAGGCTTACCCAAAAGCTCTCCAGTTCAGCCAAGATGATCAAACATGCGTGTCAAGCATCACAGATTTGCGATCGGTGCAGTATCAGAATATGATTTATCCGTCTTTGCACAGCATCCCAGATGACAAGACAGTAGAAGACCTATTCCAACGAGGACGCAAACCAAAATCCCACCAACAAAATAGTCCTGGCGGAATGGAAGGGAACAAGATGGTGGCGCTCATGCTCTTGGAAGAGCTGAAAGACATGCCATGGAATCATGCGTCTCTTCGGAGCGATAGCGTTAGTGCTGTAAGCGATTCCCAGCAATCCCCGGCCAAAAAAGGTACAACAATCATGGAAAAGACTCCCTCTGATCAACATGGGGACCAACAAAAGGAAAATCCTCGACAAACCCCAGAAACGAAGAGCAGTTTGGAAGACGATACTGCTACGGACGGTTCCAAAACGAGTACGGTCTTATCCGCATCCAACAAATCGAGGGCACAACCCGAGAACGAAGGGCGTTCTGAAGCGAGTTGGGATGGAAAGAACCATAAACGACGTTTCAGCTTTCGCTCCAAATGGCAATGGCTGCCCCGGCCACTACTCTCCGCTGCACGAAACGATAATCGATAGACAGGAGGCGCCTCGATACCAAAATGGCATGTGTGACGGCAAGTGTAAAGGTGGGTCCGTGACAAACACCGGGGACTTGTCTTTGATCCGGATATTCCATTTTCGTGGCTGCAAAAAGAGCATTCTGGCTACCTGAAATAAGATGCTATCAACGCTCAAGCCAGACAGCTGCCAGACCCACAAGAACTTTTTACCGACCTTTTCCAGGGGTTCCCCAAAGAGTTATTTTAGAAACTTGACGTTGCCGTGGCACTGTTGAAGTGATAGCGCTGACGGTGAGTTTCTCTCGAGCGTCGCCACATGATCCCACCTACCGAGTGGCAAACTGTTCGCCGTGGTTTCGCTGTTGGGGGGCGTTGGGGCCATGCAAATGTGCTGGTCCGTTCGAGCAACGAGGCCCGGTTCACTGAAGAAATCATACAAGTACAATGCCAGATGCACCGTATACTCAAAGATATGCAACGATCTCTATAGTTGGAATTATTACAAACTAAACATGGACAAATATACAGTAGTACGTCGTACATGAAATGATGAAATGAAACAAGGGTATGACGCTCATCGGCTTTAGAACAGGGGGCACCTCAGCTTCTAGCCTGCAGCGGATGGTTGGTTGCTACTTTTCGCGCAGTCTATCGACGCACACCACTTGCAGCAATCAACGTGCCGTATTTGTGGTTGGGGCCCGTACGCTCGTGCTGTCCAACACGGCGATAAAAGTCTCTCTGGAACTCGTCTTGTGAATTGAATGGATTGGAGTATAGGTCGACTCCCTTGGCCGAGCTGGCAGTGCTGCTGGTCACGGAGCGTATTGACTCTTCCAAAAAGTATCGCGTCATTTCCATTCGTTCCGCAGCCTGTACATCCGCACAGGGGGTGTACGTCCACACCTCAATGTTGGCCACGTCGAACACTTCTCCCTTAGACATTGGATCGATCAAACAAGGGTTTCTGAATGTGCCGCACGGGCTTGTGGTCCCGCTGAGCAAGTCATCATCAAGAGCAATTCCAAAGCCGTAGCTCTCGCCTGCTTTCAGGTCGTCCAGTTTGATCCCATGTCCGTTATCGCCGCTAGGTTCTTCACCATCCGGAGTGAGTTTTCCTCCTCCAATTGCCAATCGATGCTCGTCGCACACCTGGAAAAGATCATTGAGACCGCTGGACGCGTACACATCAATCTCCGATTCTAACTGAGCTTGCTCAAACAAGGAATGGCAGACTGTTCGTCGATTGTGTCGCATTCGCCAAAGAAACGACGGGGCACCACCAAAAAAAGTAGGATGATTCTTCCAGATGTTGGAGGTGAATGATCCAAAGACATGTCCTTTTGTCGTCTCAATGGCAAGGAGTGTGCACGGTGCTGCCTTGACATACTGTTTGAGTGTGTAAAGCGAGGCCCCGTCGCGTATCAAGCTGAATTTCATCCAGTAGTTTTCCATCGAGACTGAAGTTGGTGCGAAATTGAGCAAAGAGTCCATGAGTGGTGGGCTCAGTACATGAGGTTGGGCTGAATTGTCGTCTGCAGAGGTTCCAAGAATCTTGAATACGTGTTGCAAGGTATCATCGTCTTCTTCCAGTGTGGCCTTGATGGAATGAAGGTTTTCCTTGTAATCAAATCCAAAATCTTCGGCATACCTGTAAAGTGAATTAAGGAAACAGCGTGAGTGGTGGTCTTCTAAAAAAGAGATAGAAGAGTTTGCTGATGCTTCAGTACTTACTCATCCTTGAGCACCTCCCAAGCATCATAGTGGGTTGGTGCTTCTTCATCCCAAGATGAATTGTCATCATGCTCCAGTCCCGGTCGGACTTCGATATCCGTCTTGACACTCAGTGCTCCAGCCCACGAAGCCTGTGAAGCCTTGCTTCCCTCGCTGGCTATTCGTCTATGGTTTGGTGTACTGGAAGGTTCCGCCAAAAACCCACTACTACACTGTCTTGTAGGAAGACGATTGCTGGAGGATTTTCTGTTGTTCATGACCAGATGATGGACTCCTTCTTCGTGGGCTTGCCAGAGACCAAGAAGCTTCTTTTCATTGCGACCAAACTTGTTGCTTGCTCGCACCTTGTTGTTGTCGCCGCCAAACGGCAGCTGGAAGAGTACATTGTCGTCAAACTCTTTCTTTCGTGGCTCGGGAGAGTGGCGATACTTTTCGTACACATATCCGTTGTTGTCGAGGCACCCCAGCTTGGCATCCATGGGTGGTTCACCGGGTGCTCTGTCGAGCAGTAGAGCGCGGAGGCAGAACTCTTCTGCTTCTGTAAAGGATCCACGCCGTGGTAATCTGGCGCTCCGTTGACTTCGAAGGGGTACCGGTATGGAAGCCAGTGTTCCGGAAGTTGCTGTCATGTTGTTTTTGTTCGCTGTTTGCTTGGGTTTTGCAGTGATTTTTGTCTGCTGTTTTTGTCTGTGTTTTGTGAGACGATTGATGGCCTGATGATGCCATGACACTTGCTGTTGAAGCTAAGGGCAGACTAACTCGTCAGAGATTACTTGCTTCTTGGCAGTGTCAAAGACTTGCTTGCTGGGAATGTGATGGTGATCCCAAGCCCAGTGGTGATTGCTTTTGGGTTTGTGGGTGAAGGTCTTGGCGTCTTGGAACACTCAAGAAAAAGAGAACCAGCGAGAGAAGCTTCTCGTTTGAAGGGTTTCGGGAAAAGCCGAGATTGGGCTTCGCGTTTTTAGTCATGGTTGCCCTCAATGCATGTGTGAGGCTGGGTCACACTGGCAGCTTTGAACTGAATTGCAACCATCCCTCTATCTAGCTACGGTAGCTAGTCTGGCTAGCTGGCTGGTACCGTACGTATGTAGTAATAGTCTAGCCATACCGGTATGGTACCGTGTGCGTTGGCTGAAGCCTTGAGGTAACAACTACAACACCGGAACCGAGAACAGGCAGCTCACCAGAAATGCCCATCAAGGGCAATGCTATCGATCGATTCATCAGGTAGTGGTGCTGCACCCGCACAACAGCCGAGGCCAATCATCGCAATGAGGACTGCACGATGCTTCCTTTCGTACATACATGTGTAGCGCTTTCTCAGTTCGCTCGATCGCTCTGGATGCAATTCCTCGCCTTCGAATAATTGATCATTCGATCTCTAGAATCCGTTGCAGCTAGTAGCCAGTGGACTCGTCTCCGCGCTGGCAATGATGTCGTACATGTACCATATGGTTGCCTTTCGAATCAAGCAACTGCCGAATCCTCGGGGTCTAGCTAGCGAGCTAAGATGGAAGGATGCCTCTTATCGTCTCTGCTTTGTTGTTATGAAAGTTACTCTATGCATACCACTGGTACCACAAACATAAAAAGCTCTTTTTCGGTGGGAATGGTATCCCACACTGCCAGCCTCCTCTGATTCCAAAATTGCTCGTTCCTTCTATGATTGTCAAATTGCTCGTTCCCTTGCAATTTCCGCAAAAGCAACAAACAATGGTCATAGAGAGAGGTCTGGTCTTGAGCTGAAAAAAATCCACAAATGACACTTCCATACACCTGGGACACTGTGATATATATTGTACGTTGACGCAGAAACCCATTTGCAGCCAACTCTCGTCTCTGAGCTCCTGACGCCTAGTAATCTTCATCATCGTCATCCAGCAGACCTTCCTCGGCCAAGAATAGGTCACGACGCAATGGCACAAGTGTGGGGTTACCGCCACCAGGCATTGGTTGTGGTGGTTGCGTCATCGGGAGAGGTCTGGGGGTGGGCTCGGGTGTGGCAGGCCTGTTGGTAGGTTCTGGAGTAGGACGACGAGTCGGGCGCCTGGTAGGCCTTCGAGTGGGGCGTGCAGTGGGATTTCGAGTAGGCGTCCTGGTAGGGCTTCTGGTGGGTGTGCCAGTGGGATTTCCGGCTGCTGCAGTTGGTGCACCGGTGATGGGGGCACCGGTGACAGGGGCTACAGTATCAGGGGCGACATTTGCGCTTGGCGCAGGAGCTGCTGGAACAGGGCCCATAACTGTGATGTTGTACATTGTCGTAGTTGTACATTCTGTGCCATTTACAACACCTTCACCGGCTGCATCAAGGCGGAACTCGAATGTGATTCCCTGGGAGCCGGTAAGGTTCACAACCGCAGACGTCTCCGAAGAAATACTCTCGTTATATGTCAGATTGGTTTGCCCACTTGGGATCAAGTTGACGGGGTTTGGTTCAAAAGGGCTGGAACCAACAACAGCACCGTTAAGGGTACTCTGGATGATGCCAACAGCTGTGTTCACAGTGCTGTCGACCCTCGAGTTTGTGACCTTCATGGTGATTGCGATTGGTTCAATTTCGATTTGACTTCCTTGAGCTGGGTTTTCAAATCCGATCAATTGAAGAGCCCCATAGTTGGCAAGCAGCGTCAAATCTGATCCGACAGTACCTGCACACCCCAGACTCACGGTTTCAAGTTGCTGCAAGAGGTCTCCAGGGGTACCACTGCTGTTCGTATAGATTGTGATAGTGAGACTATCAGTCGTGAAAGGTCCGCTGACCCTGATGATTCCACCAAGGGGGACAACTCCAGCGAATGCAGTATTACCATCTTCAGCAACTTCAACAAAGGCATCGACCCCAGTAATGGTTCCCGTGTCGGTGCAGTTCGGCGTGGATTCACAACTGCTCCCAGTCAACCAGAATTCCACGGCACTGACACCATTGTCTACATCATTGCACACTGTCTGATTTGGAGCAAAAATGTTGTCACAACTTTGACCACTAAAAGTGGTGCATTCAATGGACGTCTGAAGCACACAGGTGTCTCGGGTAGGGTCGAATCTTGTTCCTGCAACTGTAGGGGCTAGTGTGACCGGGCTGTCGGTGGCCGCTGGTGTGGGGCTGGCAGTGGGGCTTGGCGTGGGGTTGCGTGTTGGGTTGCGTGTTGGGTTGCGTGTTGGGTTGCGTGTTGGGTTGCGTGTTGGCCTTCGTGTAGGTCTTCGTGTGGGCCTTCCTGTAGGAATTCGTGTGGGAGCGGGCGTCGGGGTTGGCCTGATGGTGACAGGCATGGCAAAGGTAGGCGCAGGAGTGGGGGTAGTATCGAGCACAACTGCAATGGCATCAATAGCACTGTTGGTTTCGACCCATGTGATAAAAAATAAAACTCGTCAGCAAGCTACCCGTACCCACAATCACAGCTTCAAACTACTCAATGGTGCATCAATAACTTACGTCTCAAAAGCAGGCCCTGCCATTTGGACAAACTCAAAAATGAATTCATACTCGAACGTGTCCGTGGCAGTATTCAATAACGCCTCAACCTCAGGGTTTGATGGGATACTTCCTTGGGTACGGAAAACGGTTGCCATGTTGAATCCAATACCGATGATGAATGGGCCGAAATTCTCTCTACCAAAGGGGTCCATGTCAACTCGCTGAAAGGATTCTGGATAGGTGGAGGCAAACACCCTCCTGAAAAAGGTCTGGGCGAGGCGTTCCAGGGCTCGTATCTCAGCCCCTGGGACTGTACTGACGGGGATCAAGAGTTCTACTCCCACGCCAACTTCCCATGTGTACGTCACAGTCTCCTGCTGCGTCCTGCGGACATTTTGATCTTCTGATTCGTGAGCAGTACTAGTAGGTGTTTCTCCTAGATAAGAAGATGATTGCAACTGCAGTTTCATTCGGAGTCTCTTTCCCTCAAGGTCAAATTCGCTGCGTTTTTCTCCATTCTCAAACCGGTGCTTCTTCTCGCGAAGAAGCTCTAGCTTGGTGCTATGTTCATCCTCAGTCTCGACTTGGGCTTGGACTTGGGAACACAAGGCTACGCCGAGGAGAACCCACAGGATGGCAAGGAGAGAGGAATTGCGCTGTTTCAGGATGTTCATGTTGTTGTTGGTATGGTTGAGCACAACGAGAAACCGAAATGTGAGGAGAGGAAGTCTGTATCAGTGGACCATTGTTATATCGGAATGTTTCAATTTGGATATCAAAAAAGTGTATACAAAATATGTACGAAACAGAACTGCGCCTCGTGCATGTAATAATGGCCGTGTCCACCAAAAATACTATTTCCACGAGTGAGAATGGGTGAAGTGGCTAAGAATCTTTCGCAACAAAGTGGAAGCAACTACATTCAAATTTGCGTCTTTCGGCTAAGGCCCATTGTCTCTCTGTCGACTCCAATGCCCGCTTGTGCACAAAACTCGATAGTGACTTGACTTGTGCCGAGCCTGTAAACTGAAGCCTGAAGCATCATGCACGGCTACTGGTAGCTAGCTACTGTACGGTACATACCAGTAGTACTCTAGCTATGATAGCTAACGGTACCATACCGGTAGCGCACCATGGGACGTGGGAGTACAGTACAGCAACGAGCACTCCGTACTCCGTACCGGTACATGTAAGAACATCCGTATGAAAATTTCGCTGGATCTATCTTTGTACTGTAAGTCAATCGATTTTATCGAATGATTGAATCGAATGATTCGATTCGAATGATTCGACTGGTACATGGTACATGTAATCAGCCAATCGAATGAAGATAGAAAAAGGGCTCTCACTTGCCCCGGGCAGGGTGGCCAGCTACCACTACCAGCTCTAGCTAGCAGCTAATGTAGCCCAAAAGCGGTAGAAGGCAGTAATGTGATTGGCTAATCAACCTATGACATCAGCAAATGCGTCAGCAAAGATTCAAATATACTTAACGTACCGTTTATAAAGATTACAGAGTTAGTGTGCTATCAAATGGCGGATTTCTTCTTTCGCGAAAACCGAAAGGAGGACTCCATCGCGAAAAATCGACAATGACATCCTGCCGCTCGCTTCAACTCGACAGTCATTATCTCAGCCAAAAGCAGCACCATCAGCCAGCACCATCATGACCGGAACAGCAGCAGCAGCAGCAACAGCAGCTACCACTCACAATGGAGGAATGGGCTGCCAAAGTCAACAGAGGAACTCAGTGTTGAGCAGCAACACGCCTGGGGAACCCCCCGTCCGAGTTTCCACGCCCCGCAGCGTGGAAACTTGAACCCTGATGGGTTCTCGCAACTATGACCCTAATCATGGTTGCCGAGAGGACCATCTCACAATTTGCAAAATTAATTCCCGCGCTCCTCACCTACAACTCAAGTACATCTCTACATCTCGCAGGTCATCACCTGCGTTCCGGAAATGGATACCCCACATGATGATGCACCGCATCAGCTCCTCAATGCCTCTCGAACAAGATTACCCTTAAGGCAACGACGCCCGTCCAAGACCACATTTGGCAAGATCGACAGCGGCAACCATGAATCACTAAAGCCAGCGACCTAGCCAAGACCAGCCATTGAACTGCCGATCGCAAGAAGGTTGTCTCTCTCTCAGCTCACAATTCTTCATTCAGCCGACGCTGAAGGCAAGAACCTAGATTAGATTAACCCACCTCTCCCTCCCTGGTTGCACGACTCAAGGCTGTCCCGTGGAACATCACATTCCCGGGACTCCCTTTTGCCGTGTGGGATCCATCCGGGACTCCCCAGTCCCGAATGGTACCCCGGGGACTGGAGACGGTCGGCTCAGTAAATGGCCGAGTCTCTCCACTCACCTAATCCTCTACTAGTCGTGTCTAGCTGCTCTGGGCGAGCGCTTGCCTACCAACTGGCTGCCAACAACAACAACAACAACAACAACAACAACAACAACAACAACAACAACAGATCCAAGCGAGCCAGAGAAGAAGGACCACAAACAACACTGGGAGGAGAGGTAGCAGAAGTCTTTGATCCGTTGAAGAAGTGTGTCATCTGTAAGGCCAGACATCTTGGTCTCAGAATCCCAAAAAGATCACACCACGTTCTCTGTATTAAGAATACAGTAACAAGAGGAAGAGGAGATTTGAATGAGCTGACAATGGAAACTATCAGAGAGAGCAGAAGACTCACAAGGCACTTCAGTGCTCCTCTTCCACTGAATGAGAGAGGAAGCTGGAAGCATTCCACAAGAGAGAATGGAGATGCCTTCTTCGCTGCTAGAACGAACACAGCCAATCCGAGCCGGCAACAGAAGACATCCACAAGGAACACAACCAGCACAACTCCACTAGCTCTCTGTCGAAAGGTCACCACTCTTGTGAAGGATAATGCCTTTGTCGAAAAGCACAAGACCAAAGGAGCACCACTAGCTATGCTAGCACTGGCAGAAGCTGTGTCAGAATCCATTACCCGGCCAAGGAATCCACAATTCCACCAACATTTTGAAGGACTCACCATGACAGTTCCATCCACAGAGGAGCAATTCAAGTCTCCACACTATCACTCTATTGTTGGCCAGAAACTCCTCCTGGTGGACTGGAATCGATGTGGAATTACAGTCCCTTGTCCCGATGGAAGATGCTCTGGCCAACTCAAGAATGCGAGGCATAACTGGTCAAAGAACAAGACCTTGTTCCCTATCTTTGGCATCACTGGAGCTCCATCTTGGTGCATTGTCATGTCAATGGTCTGTGACTGTTGCAAGAGAAGGTTTGATGCCAACAGTGCTGAAGTCTTGTGCACAATCCCACAGCATGCTGCTCTCTTCTATCCTGTGGAGTCAAAGTATGCCCTTCCAAACAAGGCATGTCACCTGGATAGGACCGCCACTGAGACTTTCGAATCCATCATGTTGACCTATGGAAATGGAGAACTCTGCAGCCGGCTCATCTACAATGCAATCAACAGAGACTTCATTAGGTCCATGACATCATACTACACTGATCCAGATCCCTTTCTTCAAAAGGATGGCACTTACATACGACAGTTTCCTCCTCTTGGTGACACCATCCGTGACATCTATGATGCTGCCTGTGCTTCAAACAGGAATCCGTGGAGGATCAGTGACAACCAAAGGCACACAAGAGAGATTCAAAGTGTTAAGTGCAACAAAGGAATCTTCTGCCAAGACCATACCTTTCAGGTGGTCAAGAACTACTCCAAGAGTCTTGGTGCTGGTGCTGTTTGGGATGCTGCCACTGAAACAGGAGAGATTGCCTCTGCTGTTCTTGTTCCCACCACCAAGACTATCCACTTCTCCCATGCTGCCATGCAGCTAGCAAGGAGGAGTCACTTCAGCCCAGCTGCCATGTACAGCGACACATGGCCCAACAAGGATGACTGCAATACACGGCTCTTAGCCTTATTCGCGACTCGATCCTAGATAGGGTTTGAGTTCGACTCATGACGTAGTCCTTCGCGAATAGTCATTGAGACAGGGTTCTCATGACTGCTAGTCATACTAGGTTGTCGATGAAACATCGCTCTAGATATTTAGCCGGCGTGGAAAGCTTCCACGCTACTAGACAGCTACTAGCTGAAGTTTCCACGTGTTCCGGAAATGGACCGTGGAGTACGTAGAGTTATTGCCATAACCTACTGCACTACGATATCACACTTCGAGGCCTCCCGCGGGAGACCAACTTCAATGAGCTTCACAACGATCTCTCTCATGGATTTGTTTTCGTAGCTTTCTAATCTCTCTCATAACTTTCATTCTCTCAAACTCAAAACACTCGAAAGATCTTTACACTAGCTTTTAGCGTAGTGCATTTTGTTAACAAACACAATAGCTTTCAGCTACCCTCAACCTATTCCTTCACCATGAAGATTGCTCAAGGAAAGCATGCGTTCACCAACTTCGAGAAACAGTTGCGTGACAAACCATTCTTCCTCTCGTGGACAACGACGAAGATGCCGAGATCGACGATTCTCGTGCAACCACCTACAAACTTCGCACCGTTCCTGCAGATGCAAACAGTGCCAAATACACCTTCAAGGTAGCCATCATCAATGGTTCCAACACTCCATGTCAGACCATCAAGTGGGCTACGAATATGGAGAAGGTCTTCGTTGGACTCAACCTTGCCAATGCCGACGACAAACATCGCCTTCTCAAGGAGATGACTTCCAGCTCTGCGAAGAGTGCCTA